CATTAGCTGCGTCATTGCCCCAAGCGCAAAGATGATTTTACTGCAACGAGAGCCTCTTCTTTTTATATCCAAAGAAAACCTCTTCACTCTACTACTACTTCCGATGTGGGATTAAAAGATTTAGCTTAACCTAGCAAACAATACATATCAACTCTACTTCTACCGATGTGGGATTAAAAGTTTTAGCTTAACTACTAAGGCCCATTAATGCCTAATACCCCGCCAATAGATTCCTTTTCGACTTTGGAATAATTTTTGGAAACGAGTTTTTGAAATTGGTTTTAGGTTTTCAGCTGCTACTGGAGCAAACACAGGACATGGACTTGGCATAGGAGTTTAGCTCAAGTTTGGTTAACGAGAAAGCTTCTATCAAAAGAGGATTGATAGTTGGCGTTTCGGTTTCTGTGTATGTTCTTTTGACCTCATTGGTCGCAGTACCAGTGGTGATTTGGTTTCGGAAGCAAAGTAAGTTGAAAGCAAGAGAAAAAAAAATAAACGAAGATCTTGACCGAGAAGCAGGACCAAGGAGGTTTGTTTATAAGGATCTTGTGTTAGCAACCAATAGATTCTCAGAACAGAGAAAACTAGGTGAAGGAGGTTTTGGAGCAGTTTACAGAGGATACTTGAACGAAATGGATATGATGGTTGCAGTGAAGAAATTATGATCTGGTGGTTCAAGGCAGGGGAAGAAAGAGTTTGTGACCGAAGTTAAGATCATCAGCAAACTAAGACATAGAAACTTGGTGCAAATCATTGGTTGGTGTAATGCAAAAGATGGGTATTTGCTTATATATGAGTTTATGCCAAATGGTAGCTTGGACACTCACCCTTTTGGAAAGAGACCTCATCTTTCTTGGGAGGTAAGGGACAAGATAGCTCTAAGTCTAGCCTCTGCGCTTCTTTATCTTCACGAGGAAGAAGATCGGTGTGTATTGCGTAGGGACATCAAGGCAATGTAAACTTCAATGTAAAGTCTTTCTACATCTTATTTATTAATTATTAAGAATATAACAGTCAATGTAGATATTTATTTAAATTTAAGGTTAAAGGCCTACAACTTTGAGTTACTCTTTTTGTAAACTGTAACACTTATGTTTCAATTGAAAGGATGTTTTAACGGATCATTCTCAAAGTGTAACTCTCAAAATAAATTCAGTATGTTCATTCGTTATGTTACTCTATTATATATTGTTTGATTCTCTTAATACCTTAAATCATCCCAATTAAAGCAATTGACTCTACAGAATACAGAAAGATAAAAAATAAAATAAAAAGTGACCATGGAAGGTAGGATCCAAGCTCTTCTCGCAACATTTCTAGTTGTGACTTTGTGTGCTACTACTTTTGTTAAACCGGCGCTAGCTCAACTTCCTACAATTCCTGGATTTCCTTCCATTCCCGGCTCTCCTGTCGATCTCACAAAATGTTGGTCATCGCTCTTAAACGTTCAAGGTTGTGTAATGGAAATCTTCAAATTTGCTTTCACGGGTAAGTTTGAAAACGTTGGAGCTATGTGCTGCAAAGAGTTTATGGAAGTGGATGCAAAGTGTTGGCCACAAATGTTCCCGTTCAATCCATTCTTCCCTCCTCTTCTCAAAGATGGCTGCTCTCGCATTAACGTAGCTCCTCCCACACATAACTAGTGAAGTAGCTACGGTTCTATTATACCCAAAACGCATTGAATTAGGCTTCTTATAGCTTCTTGTTCCAATTTCCAAGAGTCACGTTTGCTCTGTTCCAATAAGTCATGGAAGATATTCACATGCATGATTGGTTGTTTTATTATAGATTTTTGATCACCTTCTGTTATCATATATGAATTTCAATGTTTAGCAATGCAATAGCAAATCACAGTACAGTCTTTTGAGAAATTTAAAACAACATTAGGAACTATTTGTAAAGAAGGACACTGAAAAGATTTAAACATCTCTCTCACACACTATGACGAAGAAAGTGGTAGTTGAGTTCCATTGGAGTTCATTCAGTTTTAGGTTAAAACTTCACCAAGAACATTAAAAAAAAGGGAACCTGTCAGACAACCGTGTGACCACCCCAGTCGGGTCAAGACCAGACCAGGTAGCGATCGTCTACAGCACGGAGACTCAGAGAGAATCGTAGCCGTTAATCACACTCAAATCACACGGTCATTATTCATCATCCAGGTTTTGGGGCCTGTCTCCTTGGAAATCAAGGATTCAGAGGTACGAGCCTATAGGAAAGATCCTGTTCAAGTAAGGTCGTGACCTTCGTTGCTCTCTGAGTCTTATATATACATCAAGTTAACTCTCTAAAATAACGATGTGGGATTTTGGTAAACCAGAGAGGTTCCTTCTAGTCTACACCGACTAGTTAATATTAGTTAACCGCCGGTTTTTAGTGATCAATTCTTGGTTTTTGGGATTTTTTCCGTTTTGCTTAACTTTCCGGATTCCGAAGTATATGCCCGTTACTATTTAAAACATCTCACCTTCTCCTCTCTTAGCGAGCTCAAGTAAAGTTTCAATAACGTTCTCAAGTGGTCAAGCTTGTTAGCTAAGAAGAGAGACCTTTGTATGTGAGATTGTGAGGGACAAAAGTAAACTATGTTGTCTGGTTCCGTTTTTCTCTTAATTTTAATGGTTATGTAGTCTTTATTAGATTCGATTGATAACGCTTGTTGCTAAACCGCGAGTCAGTGCCAAAAACTCTACTTCTTTCATATGACTTGTGCATTGTTTTTTTTTTTTTTTTTTTTTGCATAGGTTACAGAAATTTAGATCTATCTGAAGGAAGTTTCACAATTCTTGACGCATATCTGATTTATATAAAACCGACCCAGCAAATAACTGTGTTGCTTAAGCTACAAAAAAAAAAAAAAAAAAAAAAACAAAAAAATCCATTCGAAACTAAAAAAATACTGAAGAAAATGTAGTACATTAATTTTGTCTGTTATAAAAAAAAAATGTTACAACTTTAAGTCCTCGAATGAATCTTATTTACTTCAACTTCCACGTGTATAATTTAGACATCAGTGACCGGTACGGTCGATTCATCAACATTTGAATCTGAAATTAGTGAGTTAAAAAATATTCAAAAATTAATGCCAAGAAAACAAAAAGGTGGAAATTGGAAGACTAATTAAATCGTTTTTTTGAAAACTAACAAATAAATAAGTGGTATACCAATATTAATCTTTGAAACTAGTTTTACAAAATAAGTTTACCAAAAGAGAAAGGGGAACTGAAAAGTAGGTACGTAAATGTGTAAGTTTTTTATCTTTTTCTTTTTGGTCTGAAGAAGAAACAGAAGCTGGAACTTGGAAGCTAAGTTGGAAGTGGTCTTTGTATGTACTTTTGTAAGTTTGGTTCCCACCAGAGATATATGCACGCTCTACTCTTAACCACCGCAAAGACGCACGTGACAGTGACTCTCCCCCATTTTGCCTACCTCATCCTCTAACCTCCATTTTCTCTTTTAGTTCCAAATTTTGTATATATATATATATATATATATATGTAATGTACGTGCATACAGGTAACATCAACGCAATGTGTAACGACATATAGGAAATATACATGATAATCTACAAAGTTTATTTGTAATAAAGTGAAAAAGCATTAGTTTTTAGATGTTTAGAACTAGAGATGAAGGAAAAAAAAAGTTTTTTTTTTTGTTAAGAAACTAACAAATTTGTTGGTTTTCTATTAACAACTGTTGCAAAAAGCTAAAACAACTCACATCACGCACTTACACCTAAAAAAGTTTCGTTGGTGCCTTGTTGGTAGTAAACACAAAGCATCTAGCTCATATAAGAGTATGTTTCTTCTTGCTGTTTACGTATTAGAATCCCTCATCACTTATTCACTATATGTATCTAATATATATTCACGTCAACCCATAACCCATTTGCTCCTTTATTGAGTATACACTTTTGTAGTTTAAATTGTTCACTTTTCCAAAAGAAACCAGGGAATCAGTAGCTAGCTGGTGCATCTGGACAAGATTCCATTAAGAAACAACCTGACCATGTATACTAATTAAAACCTCTAAATTTTAAAAAAAACCTCTAATTTTCTCTAAACGGTCTTATAACAGTTATAGGTTTGATTGAAAATTTCACAAAGCGTTCAAATATATTGTACGTTAATCAATTGTTAGTAGGTAGTGAAAAAATAACCTGGTGGAATGTTTCATTTTGCCAACATGCATACCATATCGGCCCTTTTCTCAATTTCTTGGAGAGTTGGAGTTAAGCTCTCATACTTAAGGAACACGTAGAGATAAGAACGCTACTTGCACTAGTGGATTCGAACACTTCATGGATCCGATTCTAATTCCGTCTATAATCTCACGTTCGTTACTTGCCAGAGAATTCATCGAAGACGCCGAATCTCCCACACAAAGAAGATCTACATAACTTCTTGACAGAATCAAGAGTCGATGAAAATGATGCTATGTTGCTAATGCAAAAACTAGTTCGACTTGCCTTTCAAGTAACTTCCTCGGTTATATATTGCCCACATTACGCTTTATCAATGTCGGTAACTCTTGATGTAGTTCCTTCGAACGCTCATTTCTTCTTGATGGCTCTCGGTTTGAAGTGGCGATTCGAGCCTCACTCGACGACTACGAGACGAATATCGGGTTTGGACCCGCAAGCAAGTTAGGAGTAAAGTCCTTGAGTAAGATAATATACAAGACAAAACGAAAGATGACCAGCTCAGTTATTACTTATTACTAGTCACTATGTGTTAGCAACAAATGACTTTGATCCTAAGAAACAACCTACTATATTCTTCATGAGAAATTACAAAATGTTCTATGCTTAGGAATGTATCAAATGAATTTGGGAATTTTTCCATATTCATTTTGTTCAGAAATACGCTTCTCTCTCCATATTCTTTTTGTTCTTGATTATATTTTTCAAATTTTTCTTCTTTGAAAAGTGTTTAAATTTGACAAGTGAAGGAATTTTTCAACGAAACTTGAGAGAGAAAAAAGATAAAAGATAATTAAAAAAAATGTCAGCTTGGAATTTCATCAAACACTTTCCGTGCAAGAATCTCTCCGGCCACATCCTCAGAGTCAGACCTCGCTGCTTCTTCACTTCCTCTACTCCTCCAACTTCTTTCTCAATCTCTGCGTCTTTCTCTTCATCATCTTCGTGCTTTCCTTCTGCTACTGAGTCGCTCGCTGCACCTTACCTCTCAGTTCGTATCCACTGTCCAAAACATGTCGTCGTATGTATCTCTCTCATTCTCTCTCTCACAGGCCTCTTAAGCATATAAGCATCTACACGAGTCTGAGAATTGTTTATCTTCATGTGGGTTTTTGTTAGGATCCATTCTCTGAGGCGCTCTTGTGTTTTGGAGCTAGCTCAGTATCTGTTGATGGAGATAACGAAAGTACGGCTTCTTCGAAAGAGGTAAGTGAGAGAAAGCACCAATCTTTTGTATGATTGAACAATGTTGAACAAATTAAAGCATAAAAGGAACGATTTTTGCTTAAGGGTTGAAAGATTTGCAGAAAGAATATGAGAACTTTTTCATGATATAGCTCACATGGCCTCTTGTAAAGCTTGATCTTTTGTTAGCTCTTTGATCTTGAAATCGTCAGGGTTTATTGCAGATATGTGTGGAATCAATATTTCCAGTGGACCAAGAGGTGAAAATGTGCATTTCACAGGCTGCAAACTCCATAGGACTGAAAGAGATACCGAATTTCCAAGTTGAAATGGGAGATGAAATTGACTGGATCGCCAAAAACCAGGCGAGTTTTTTCAGTAATTGCTTCACCTTCTGTTTCGTTCAAGAGAAGTTGCATAGTTATGCTTAGAAACTAACTCTCCCACTCAATGCCCACTTGAAGCTATTATCTTTTGGTTTGTAGGAATCATTTCAACCTGTTGAAATCGCCGAGGGACTTTGGATCGTACCTGAGTGGACATCTCCTCCTGTATGTATCTAAAGAGCGGTCCTTTGCAGAATATGAATCTCACTCTTTCAGTGTCAGCATAAACAGAGGGAGATACATAAAGTTATGTGTGGTTTAAAAAGTAACTCTTTCACTATCCTTTTGCAAGGTCGCTGAAGCGGTGAACATAATTCTTAACCCTGGATTTGCGTTTGGGACCGGAGAACATCCCACGACGAAGCTGTGTCTATTGCTTCTACAAAATCTGATAAAAGGCGGAGAAGCTTTCCTCGACTATGGTACTGGCTCAGGAATACTTGCAATCGCTGCCCTCAAGGTAAAGTCTCACACAGCCTTTTCTCTCACTCTATCTTCATGTATCCTTTTGTGTATCACTCAGTTTCAAAATATTCTCTAGTTTGGTGCTGCATCATCTGCTGGTGTTGATATTGATCCTCTGGCAATAGAATCAGCAACTCATAACGCAGCTCTGAACAACATTCAGCTGGAGAAACTGGAGTTGCACCTTGCACCAAGTGAAAACACCTCTTCTGGAAAAGAGTTACCGTTGCGAAAGGAACAGTTTGATGTGGTCATTGCAAACATACTCTTGAATCCCGTTATGGAACTGGCGGATTATATCCTTTCGTTTGCAAAACCTGGAGCAACCATTGGCATTTCTGGTATCCTCTCTGAACAGGTACATGAAAGAGTCGATTTCTCATTAATTGTTATAGCAAGCAAGAAAGACCATAAACTGACTAAGTTCAATGGCCCTTTTGCAGCTTCCAAGTGTACTAGAACGGTACTCTCCCTTCTTGGAGGACATTTCAGTAGCCACAATAGGTGACTGGGTATGCATCAGCGGTACCAAGAAAAAGGAGCTTATTGATAACTAATCACTTCATCAATGTTATATCAGAAAAGAGGCAATAACAAAAATGACTAGCAAGAACAGATCTGCCTTAGTGGAGTTGTGCAAGTGGCTACAAACTACACATGACATGAAACTTGATGTACTCTTTATTGTTGTATTCAAAGTTTTAAGTCTGATAATTCAAATTTTGTGTTGTCTAACCACTGTTCAAACAGCCATTGTATTTAGATTCAACTGAAAAAAAAAGGAACAAAAATCTGTAAACAAAAAATCTTCATGTCATTGCTTCACCTCTTGATCAGTTGCCTTCTTCCAAAAGAAGAACTCTTCTTTGGAATGTAGACCTTATAACTCACCTGAACAAAAAACATTCAAAAGATTCAATAAAAAGTTTGGACTCACATAGACTTGCCTACAAACTACAAAGGGAATCAACATTTCAAGCATTGGAAATAATTTACCTGAACCATTTCTCCACCCCTCATCACAGTCATCGTTTTCTTTTCGTACTGTGACTCATCTTTCGTTTCATCATCTGTCTTCTGTTCAGGCTGAGACCCTCCTTTGGTTTCATCTAATGTCTCAGTATCAGCACTAGAAGAAGACTGCGCACTAAGAGCAGAGCTAGCTTCTGTACGCTCAATGTTATCACCTCCATTCTTTCTTGCCATAGTTAGAGAACTTTCAGGAACGTTCTTGTCAAGAGTACTGCCATTGATGCTCTCTGCTTCAGCATCTTCTTTTCTGCTAGCCAGATTTAAACGTTCTTGTCCCAATACCGGTCTAATCAACTTCCGTTTCGTTGTACAAGAACTAAGACCAGAACTAGCTTTAACCTTGGCAGCGTCACCAGACTGTTGAGAGGCAAGATTAGCCAACCCTGTTCCAGATTCATTGACATCAACAATCTTTTGTGACGTCTCAAGATCTTTACTTTCTACAGCAATAGAGAGCTTCTGCTCCATAAGACCATGGTCTTGTGACTTCTCAATTTGTTCAGACTCGGTTTGAAGAGCTTCTCCTTCAGAAACAGGAGATGCTTCTTTTCTTGCTATCCCACGAAATCTTTTCAGATTCTCCAATGCTCTTTGCTTTAGCATAGCTTCCAGGTCATCATCCTTCAAGCTATTCTCTGGATAAGAAGATTTGCTTGTTTCAGAGTTATTATAATCATCTTCCTCAAACTCATCATAGCCAAAAGCTTTACGGCCACTTTCATCATCATCATTAACAATCTGATCCTCATAAGATTCATCATCATGGTCATCAACCATGTCTTCCTTTCTCTCATCATTATCATACCTATATGATACTACAACAATCGACTTAAGCCTTCTGGGATTACTCTTCTCGGTGGTCATAACTTCATCTTCCACTTCTTCCTCTGACTCAGCCTTCACCTTATCAAGTCTTTCTCTGTCCCTAATCCTCCTATTCCCATCACTCTCACTACCATCATCGCTCTCGTTATCACTACTTGAACTCGAATCTCTCCTACGTCTCTTTCTTGAGCTAACTTTCTTCTTCTTCTTCTTCGTCCCTAAATGTTCGTCCTTTCTCTTAGACCTTTTCTTTTTCTTTAGAAGACGAGTATCATCATCACTCTCGCTACTAGAATACCTCTTCTTCTTGCTCACTTTAGATCGACGCTTCTTTCTCCTGTAATCATCTTCTGAAGAAGTAGAATACAATGAAGAATCAGAACCGCTTGATTCACTCTCATCTGAATAGTCTCTAATCCGACGAATCTTCTTTGATTTGCTTCTCTTGGTCTTCTTCTTCTTCACCGATCGCAACTGCATTAGTAAATCACAAATATGAATCAAATATCCAATGGAATCTAAACAATGTACAATCCCTAATTCGACAACTTCGTTACTTGTGTAATCAAATCAAAAAGTTTCGATTTTTATTCTCAGTGGCCTAATCGGAGATCATGGGTAAGTCAGATTCCATTCAATCGCACGAAAAATCAAACCTTTACGAAGCCTACAAGAAAGAGAGAGAGTACCTTAGAAGAATCTTTAGAGGGTTTGATTTTCTTCGAGGAAGATGAAGATTTGCCCATTGTTGTTCTACTTTCGATGAATCGCTTTTCTCTTCTCCAAATCTGTAACCTGCAGAAACCGCAAAGCAAAAGGGATCTGAGAAAATCGAAGAGTCGTTAGATTTGAGAACACACTGTTGATTTCTCTTCAGGGTCTTTAGGTTCTATCTAATATAATGTCGATTGAATTAATCAATTTTAAGAAAGGGGAAAGAGATTAAACCCTAAATTTTCAAATTTCCTAATTTGTATACCAAACGGAAGAGAACGTTTCCTTTTCCTCTTTAAGATGTTATCTTAAAACTTTAATAAGAGCTTTTCGTGATTTACATTCTATATGACTTTTGGAGTTTTGTTTACAAAAAGAGTGATTTTTTCTCACAGGTGCACTTTTGTATGGAGTGTAGTGTGCAGAGATGACAATTCTATCCTTAATGAAATTGTGGTGAAAAATATAGATTAAGTTATTTGGGGAGTTCTCGTCACAACAGCGACTGCAAAACTGGCGAGATCGACAGTTTTTCTTGAAACTGATTTCAGCAACTTTGGACAAATAGAAAGTTAGATTTGAATCACATGTGTTTTCTCACCAAAATCCTACAAACAGAGTTCGATTTGGATATATATACAACTATTTTTCTCTCTTAAAAGGCACATGGATATTTATTTCTGGTTGTAATGGAAGTGAAAGGTGTTTTTGTACGATCGACGCTTAGACATTGATTTCTATTGACATTGTTTCTGGTTTTGAGGGTATGTTTTATTGACATTGATTTTTATTGGATCTTCTGATATTAATTCTCCGTCTTCTTAAATTTCTTTGATTTCAATTTTTGGACAGTACTATTCGGTGTGGACGGTTTCTTGCGACATGATTCATGTTAGTGTACAGAATTAATTTGTACAATTCGATGTTGGACGCTGTTCTCGTTCTCACAGAAATCAGAAAGGTTAGTAATTTTTCGTGGACCATGACCTTTTGGACAATACCATGTGTGGACGAACTGTTGCGCCACGGTTCCATCGCTTCTCTTATTTTGTTACCAAACGCAAACCAAAGAACAGAAATCATTCACTATAAAATCAAATCAAAGTGCATAAAAATAACTAAAAAAGCTAAGCAACAAAAGCTCATTCAAGTCTTTAGAATCATCATCCAACATTATACAGCAGATAGAGCCTATTTATTTAACAAAGGAGCAGCAAGCAAATGGCACCCCAAAATGTTTTTCCTTTCACTTTTCTCTTCTCTCTTTAAGTCCGTGAATTCCTTTCTTTTCTCTTTTGATGTGGTCCAGCTTATTGTCTTCTCCAGAATTATATCTTGGTTCTTTGATAGAGAAACTACAAGTGACGATGATTAAGATGCGTTCTCTTGTTACCTCCAACACTATAAACTATCCATGTGTAAAGTAAAAGGTAAGAGAAGATGAGAGTTGAATTATAAAAGCAATGTATTGTTGTAGTGGATAGAAGACGATGTAAACACAAGTATGGATGTGAATGAGTGAATAGTTTGAGCAAGAACATATGCTCTCATGCAAAAATTAGAAGGCCGAGGCAGTATATGATAAACAAACAGAAATGGCCTTGCATTTGTAAATGCAGAACATAATGACATCCATATAAAATTCATATGAGAGATGCTCTTATGCCAAAGTAGAGGATCAAAGTGGACAATACTAAAACAAATGCACTCAAAATTGCATATGAAAAGTGCATACCATGAAAAGAGGTTCGGCAACATTTTGGCCCTTCGTTGACTAATGCCATACGTTGATTTGTTCTTCTTCTAGCTTTACGGTTTTCATGTACCAATGCCAAATGATGAATACAGAATCTGTCACTCTTTTAAGTAGAGAGAAAATTAAAGTTACAGACTTCTACAAAAAAATGGCTGAGAGATTGAGAATGAGAAGAAATAATTAGCAAATCTGAGAATTTGTAGCAAATCGGATGAAATTAGGAGAACGGATTGCAGGTAAATCAAAATCCGCTGCTTGAGCATCCACGAGAAAAAACATAAAAGCAACATTAAAGAACATAAAAGCAATTCATCCGCATAAACTTGTCCATGGACTCAAAGCATCCAAATTAAATCATCCACTAGAAACTATCCATGGCTAAGTGTCCACCAAAAACTATCCACGAAGAGAAAATGAGAGTTACCGTTAGCTGCTCGGAACGGTGGAACAACATCAAGCCCTGAGCTTTTCTTCTTTCAGTTATGAATCTGAGATCCAAAAGTTCAATCGCTCTCTCTCCTCGACGAGATCCGACCAGATTCGATGTTCCCATCTGTTGTCATGGAAGAGAAGTACGGTCAATGAATTATTTGCAACAAAAGAAACTTTAAAAACGATAATCAAAACATAATATAGGACTGAGATGTGTTCACAGAAATTGACTTTAATTTCACTAATCATCTCTTCGATATCAACAGATCCTTGGGGTGAAAGATGTGAAAGATTAGATTCAAGTAAGAGAAGTAATTAGTCTAACGACGGATCTGTCGGAGTTTTTAGGAGACCAACTAAATAAAAATCTAGAACGAGCTAAGCTAAGGATTTAGAGAAAAATATCTTTCATAACTTCTCACCATTGGAGCAGAATAGGGATCAGAAATGTGGTCAATATCACGAAGAATAAAGAGATAGGAATCTGGGTTACAATTAAAAACGAAAACGAAAGGGTAACGAAAAAAGGGAAAGTGAACAAGGTCTGAAAGAGTGAATCGTGAGTTACAGATTCCGGTGAGTTAGGGTGTTTTACGGGAAGAAGAGAAATGTAAAAAGGCAGCAGTAAAATGTAAAATCTCAAAGTAATCGCAAGATGAACAAGATAAAAGAAGGACAATGGCGTAAAATCACAAAGTGGAAGTGCACCACTTTCACAAAGTCACTCATAGTGTAAAGCCAAACTAAAAAGTGCACCTGGTTGTAATTTTCTCCTTTAATAAATAAAAAAAGGGTTTTGTGCAAAACAACCCTCAAACTAAATTCATTTTGCAAATCAAACCCTCAATTTAAAGTTGTGCAAATCAAACCTCTGAAGTCAAAATAACCCCGCAATATAAGACATCTCTATATTTGTGACAAAATTTAAAATGATTTTATGCAAAACAACTCGCGAACTATTTTTTGTGTGCAAATCTAACCTTCAACTTAAAAAATATGCAAGTCAAACCTGCAAAGTCGAAAGTCACTGCTAAAATGAACTTATATGTATTTGTCCATAACTACAAACGTTGACTCAAAACGTCATGACATTTATAATATTTTAACAATTTTTATTAAAAATACTTAAAACAATAATTCAATATTTCTTCTCTTTTTTCTCCATCAATAAGGAGAGGGTTAGGATTTTTAACCAAATCCAAAAAAACTAAACCGTAGCCAATCCAGAAAATCAAAACCGAACCAACTTACTCACAATATAGTTACTTGGAAGATCTGAAGTCCTATGTCTTTATGAGCCTCTCTCGAATAATTCTATTGCAAGTAAATTAGTTCTTATCTTTGTCTCTTCGTCGTCATTAGTTAATGAGATCATGAAGAAAAGAATCAACTTATTCGCGATAAGATTACTCGAGATAAATTTATTAATAAGAGGAGAAAGAGAAAGGAAATTAAAGATTAAAGTTTTTTGTTTTTGTTTTTTTTTTAATTTACTTTTAATAAAAATGGTTAAAATATTATTAATGTCATGACGTTTTGAGTCAACGTTTGTAGTTAAGGACAAATACATATAAGTCCATTTTAGCAGTGACTTTCGATTTTGCAGGTTTGACTTGCATATTTTTAAGTTGAGGGTTAGATTTGCACATAAAAAATAGTTTGCGGGTTGTTTTGCATAAAATCATTTTAAATTTGTCACAAATATAGAGATGTCTTATATTGCGGGGTTATTTTGACTTCAGAGGTTTGATTTGCACAACTTTAAATTGAGGGTTTGATTTGCAAAATGAATTTAGTTTGAGGGTTGTTTTGCACAAAACCCATAGAAAAACTACAAGTGGAAAAATAAAAGAGCAACAAAACTTTATAAACAAATGGCAAGAGTGTTGAGTTTTTACTTTACACTAAATGTGTTGTGTTCAAAACAACTAGTGTTTACTTTTGATGTTTCTTTTACAATTGTGAGAAAAGGTAAATTGATGAAATTATGCTAGAATATGGGGCTTTTGCTCGTTCATAATCATCATTCTTAAATTGATTTGGTTTGGGGTTTGAGAATTGAGACTGCAACATAACAAAGAATATTACTAACTGTAAAAACAAATCCTTTTTCTGATCAGAACAATTTTATTCAAGCTGTTAGATAAATTTCTACACAAGTAACAAAAGGAAAGAAGAGATGAAGGAGAGACAATGAAAGTCTTTGAGACAAATAAACAACACAACACATGCTACAGATTTCTACAATATAACAAAGCTCTGCTCTTGACAAACATTATTTCTCACACAGAAACAAAAAGAGAGGTAAGAATCTAAAAGCTAGCATTTTTAAGAATCTTCTGTGTCGCTTCGAGTGTCGATGTAAACCTCAGTCGATAAATCGATTTCATCCACGATCCTTCCTCTGTAAAAAGGATTTGCTATAAACCCAAGTTTGTGACTGAATCCAGTGAGGACCTTTAGAAAGAGTAAAGATGTTACCTTTCCAGAACAAATTTGCCTTCTTTATACTTCTGAGCTTTCTCGTGTGCTGATTCCTACATACAAGAAACCAACAATGAAATTTTAGAGATACGCTCTCTCAAGAAACGAACAAGTGAGACTCAAGAGATAGAGAGAGATTTACGTATTTCCAGCCAACATTCTGTCCGCAGCAGCAGCAGAAGATATCAGCTACTGTGTGCATACCCGAAAGCATCATCCTTTCTTCTAAAGGACCCATACTTATGTTCACCCTGAAATCCAAAAATCCTTACATGTATCCAAGATCATTGCAAAAACCTTGCATAACAGAAATCTGAAAAGGGCATCGATGCAGAGAGAGATCGAAACAAAGGCAGCAACAAAAAAAAACAAAGACTAGTTTTGAGTAACCAGCAAGATTCAGAACATATTTTCCTTACTTCATGTTTTTGCATTTGGCCAAATAGTACAAAACTCAAGATTGTGAATCCAAGAAACAGAACAAGGCCATAGTTACATGTGAGGAAGATTTACACTTACGAACGGTTGAAGAGGTAAGCCTTTCCTCTCCGACAATGGAACGACTGCGAAGAAAAACATCAGTCAGAATCGGTTAACACTATCAATGGAAAAACTAATGACAGATTAACTAAAGTTAAACAAACAATATTTAATACCATAAGCTATAAATAATTGGCTCAACTTCTCATATTTCAATGATTAAGAGGTTGAGAGGAAGTAACTCAAAAAGTATAAATTCAGCTTTAAAATATAAGTTTCAATTATCCAATCTTTATACATCAATTCCCAAAAATTCATCAGCAGCATATTTTCTTGAACAATCAAAAGTTTTATTCAGTGGATTTTTTTCATATAATTGGGAAGAAATGAGGACAAACTTGCTAAACATTTTCCACACAAAATTCACCAAATAGGAACCGAAGTAACAACGTCAACCCCAGAGAGATGTTGAATGATTTATAGAATTTAGAGAACTTGGATTGGAAGTATCTATATCTTTCAGGAGGAGAAGCATAAGATTAAGTACCCGAGAAACAAGATCATCGGGGAGAGCGAGATGAGTTCTGCAAAACCTGCATCTGTAAGATCTTCCCTCTAGCTCCACCGTAAATATCCTTCCCATTCTTCTTCACTGCTCTCTCTCTCTCTCTCTCTCTCTGTTTCTTTCGTTTTGCTTAGTCACTTACGAACTAAGAGGCCAACCAAATAAATGATGAGTTGGGCCTCAATTCAATTGGGCCCATTTTAAACCTTATGTCGCCGAGAAAAGTCTGTAGTTGCTTTTGTTGACTTTTCTTGCCAAATCGACTGTCCCCATTAGGAACGCCGTCGACCATATTAACAGTTTTGCAACTGACAAATTCTGCAAAAATTTATAAAGTTTTTTCACTTCCTTCGTCTCAAAGGTAATATCTTACATATTTATAAATTATATTTAAACATATATAATTATACGCCTAAAAACTGTTATCTTTTTTGTTTACGCCTATAAACTGTTATCTAAAAGTCTACATATAGATGAGCTAATCAAAGCCATTTTTTTTTTGTTTTTTTTGGTATCTCTGGTATCCGGGTCTGAGAAGTCGACCGAACAGTCACCGACCAGTCTTGGGGCCCAAACCGATGGTCTGAGCTTTGTCCAGCTGTATCCAGTTATTCCAAGGATCTAACCCGAACGGAAAATCCGACTATCCCCTCGAAAGGGATCCAGAGCCCCAACGGAAGGGATGTTAAATCCGTTGTGGCCAAGTGGTTTCGAACCCGGGTCCGTATTGGGACTTACCTCCCTCAAATACCACTGGGATACGACCACTTGGTTAAATGTATCTGAAAAAAAAGTGGATGCCATTTTTGTGTACTCTTACGTATATATATGTACAAATTTGTATATGACATATAAATAAGGGAAATATAATTTTTATATATAATGTGATCATCATTTTATTGATAAACATAATCAAGTCATGGAAACTCAAAAACTTTATGATACAATATAACAATCATTCAAGTACTACATAAAAAAACAAGTACCTGCATATATATCATCAGAGATCGGATCATTCATCACAACCCATATCCCTATGCTCACACACAGCTGTCTTTCTTCCTGGAAACGTCCAAGCCCTAGTTTTTTTTTCCATTTTACTCCTAATTTTAATTATTTTCTCTTTACCATTTTTTCTCTCGTTTCTTCTCCGGTTTCTTTTTTTATCTTTTTCCACTGAAACAATACCTGAATGTTATATCATCCAAGACCAAGTTCCGATCCCGTACGACGCGTGGATTGCCATTTCCATGCACCACGCCTACTCTCTCCACTCATTAGTACGTATACACACATTGCATGCATGCTCGTATCACGTGCCCGTAACTTCGCCGGCCAAGCCATGCATCAACGGTTGTGCATCCGCCAGTTGGCACAATGCGGAGCATTCGATATTGTTGGGACCACGACCATATGAGGACCCATGTTGTTTTTTACTTCTTTTTCCTATTTTTCCGTTTTTTCACTCTCAGGTTTTGTCATTTGCTGCGAAACATGCATATTGCTATGTACTTGTATTTGAATAATCAGTGTTCTTGTAATAATTGCTTGATATAAATAGAAATTTAAAGAATATTCTGGCTGGGAAGATTACAAATACTTGAGATTAGTTTTAGTCAGACAAAACAGCCCTTATATTTACCTCTTTATGTAGCTAAAGCAGCGTTTCTGTATGTATGCAGATACCATATATATCAATATCATTACACCAATACAAAAGATGTTACATATGATATGAGAGATATTATTCGTTAATTAATTTGAGAATAAATGTAATAAATTATTTTTTATAGATATTCACCTTTTGACAAAAAAATCAGTTTTCTTTGGCAATTTTTCTGTGTACATTTCATAACAACAAGGCTTTAATTTGGTGACAGTATCGACTGGATTCCGCCAAATTATTGACTTAATTAGATAAAGTATTAAAATAACGTCCTTGATCATGATAATTTTTCGATTATTGGAATTAAATATTGTTGTCATTCTAGCTAAGAAGCAAAACAAAAATTTGCTTCAAAATTCGCCCGCTGAATTTTCTGTTCTTTTAACGCATAATCACTCAGGTAATTTTTTCATACATTTTGTTGGTCAGTTTTTCCAGCCAAAACCATTTGGAGTTTTGTTTTTGTTTTTTTATAGTTGTTCTACCCCAAAAAAATTGTCCATTAAATAACTTAACCTTTCCTGCTAACTTAACCAACGAAAGCTCAGATAATAAACATATATTTGTATTCATATATATCCCTTCCTAAGCATCATGAAAATTTGCCATTTAGCGAGACGCGCGTACATATGATGAGCCTGTGACTAAGAATTTGTCTTATGACTAGGTAGTATAGGTTGGTGATGCAACAAGAGCAATAATTGATGATGGTAATGGTGATGATGATGGTGGTGTGGTGTTAAACACATACATATACCGTATACGTATATACTATACACAGGTGAAATGAAAACGCCTAATGGTAATAAGCAGAGGTCTTATTAATTATGTCTCTTTCTAAAAATAGAAACCTGAAAGTCCCATTCTTCTGAAAGTGAGGTGGACTGTTGTACAAGTTCTGAACTTGAGAGTGGCCCCTTCGTCAGCATGCGCATCATTCATATTCATACCCGTTTCAAAATCCTTAATATTATTTCAACTACTTCTTCCTTTGTGGCTATTTAATAATTTAATTGACAAATCATGCATGAGGGTAGTCCAAATTAGCACTTAAAATACTGGAAGTCATTAACAACATGCATATATATGTAGCACGTTATCTACTTTATTTAATTAAGCCAGACTTAATTAAGCTGTTTTCTTAGGTCGTCAGATGAATATGACTTTAGCAAGTAAATACACCTAATTATTGAAACAGATAAAACCCTTGGATGATAAGTACTTGTTTAACATTAAAAAAAAGTACTTTGTTTTATAACTTGAAACGTTGTGCAAGTGAAATTGTAAACTGAGAGAAGATATATTCGGCGGCATGTCTTCTTTATTAGTCAACATTTTCTATAAAATATGTATAGGTCAATATTTATCTAAACCGAATAATTCTACACGTACGTACTGTTACATTCGAGCATCTTTAATTAATTGCACAATTTACACGCCACATATAGTTAACCTAATTATGGCAATCATCTAATTTGGTGACCATTATTCTTATTCTTTTTATTACAGAGATTCGGATCAGTTAAATTCTGGAAAGTGGAAACCCTATGCATAACCGCCATATCGAATCTGCAAATAGCGCCCCAAGAAGAAAACTATAATTTATATACAAGCCGACGATCGACCAGTTACATTAATCCATATTGTCGGGTAATATTTGATTGAAATGATAACCGCGAACACAACGCACTCATTGTCAAGTGTCTAATATCATGAGAATATCAAATATGTTACGCCATGAAATCATTATTATGATAATTAAACATTAAAAACGACGAGCATAGCTTATACATATGCACGTTTTAGAGTCCATAACATTTTTCTTGCGATTCTTCTACTAAACACGAACTGATAGACCTAAACCTACATAATTAAAACATAAAAGCTAGGGACATATTAAGCTCCTCGATACACATATAAGAAATACAGTAATTAAACATCCTAGAAAATAAAATTAAAACCCAACGGGAACACATTTATTACTCGTTAACGCCTCATTTCGTGATCTAGTAGTTCCACACGCCAATCAAGTCCACCATTCCAGCAAACCTGCCTTTGTCTCGTTCTCTTCTGCCATCGCCGGTAGCCAGTAATTAATTCCAGCCACGCCTTGGGAAGAAGGCAGATTAACAGAGGAGGTCATGGTCAATGCAGAAGACGATCCAAAGTAAGGAAACTGATTGAAGTTTTCTTGGAACGACCTAATGTTAGATAGAGTCGAGACGTTTCTTGAGACGAAACGAGGAAAAGGGTCAAAGTCAAACCCTGGCGGCGGAGATTCAAACCCTGGCGGCGGAGACGGTAGAAGATGGCTGAACGCGTTAGCGTTAACGTCTAAGCCCAACGCAGTAGTTGTCGTTGCAGTGGAGAAACAGGACACGTGCTCGGTTATTGCGGTTTTGTTTGTGCTACGGCTGTCGTAGGAGCAGCTGCTATCGGTGTAACCAAGGGATGTGGTTGGGTCAAGGAGAGGAGGGAGTGAGATGGAGGAAGGAGAACTTGGTTGTTCTTGGTAGTTTCTAGAGATGGCTAAGGGTAGCTTCGTCTTCTTAGAGCAAACGGTACCGCTGCTTACGCTAACACTTGTTCCTCCTCCTGCGGCACCGGTATTGGCTACGGCGGTTTTCTGGAATACCCTAGAGATCACCCATTCGTCCTGTGGGAATAAATTGAAATTTGTGAAACAGTTAAATATGTATATTGTGCTCAGAAAGTCAATGTTAGATCTTGGAGAGAAAGAGAGTGAAGAATAAGAAACCAAGGAGTAAAAGCTTGCATAGAAGGGAATGTACATTGGACACTGCATTGGATAAGTAAATACATTTACTGAAATTTTCTTTTAATACATCTTAGGTTAGAAAATCACAAGGATGGAGGTTTACATTGGATTTGGGTTTTCCCAAAGTAAGAGGTATAAAAGTAAAATATTTGATTTGATCTCACACTATTAATATTTCTTGCTTTAGGAAAATACCATTATGATTAAAATCCCAATAAATAAAAACAGGAGAACGATCTTTTCTATTTTATGGTCCATGATGTTCATGTTCTTCCTACAACCCTAATAAATAGGAATGCTTTTTCAGGCATCAACATTAAATGCCAGAAAGAAAAAGAAAAAAGCAAAACGAAAAAAACCAACGTCACCGACTATGTCACACTCATGAAAAAAAAAAAATTCTAAAGGGATTAAATTTTTTAAAAATCAAAGAAGAAAAGGGTTTAATTGAAATACCTTAGAGCTTCTGGAGATGAAATGGTAAGCGAATTTGCCTTCAAGACGGTATTCATGCATAACCCAATTACTCTTCTCTCCTTTAGGAGCTCTTCCTTTGTAAAAGACAAGAGTCTTCTTCATCCCAACAAGTGCACCAGTCTTGGAACTGTAGATCTCTCTGTCCTTTCCAGTCGCTTTCCAGTAACCAGCTTCCGTTGCTCTGTTAGTTCTGAGTCCCGTCGGATATTTCCGGTCACGGAGGCTAAAGAAGTACCATTCTTTCTCTCCCAACTTAGCTTTCCCTAAAAAGACAACGAAATAAATTGATGTAAAGAGACTCAAAGGACTTTAATTACAGAAGCTAGATGAAGTTATTTAAGTTTTATGTGGTTGAATAATTGTCAAGATAGATCAAAATAGAGGTTTAATATGTTGTGGCTGCCTTAAAAATGGGAAGATAACACATTTGAGATTTTAAATTTGATTTTTGAAAACTAACTTAACTAATAGAAGGTAAAGTTAGCTAAGTATATAATTTTTCTTACCAGGAAGTTGCCAAGGCTCGCACTTGTTGAGGTCAACTTCTGCGATGGCACGACTTGTGAAGCAACCGTCGAGGACCTTGCGGAGTAGGTAATGAGTGATGAGCTCTTCGTCCGTCGGATGAAACCTGAAACCCGGCGGAAGATACTGGCTGTCTCCGCCGTGGTCGTAGTGGTAGTATGGAATCATGTCCATGAAGAAAAGATCTTAAAATTTTGGGAGAGAAAACTAAACCCTAATTAGAAAACCCCAAATATTTTTTGAAGAGGAGGTCCAGGAGAGGATACACAAATACATTAATAGTATAATGGATGGTTCTTGAGTAAGGGACGTGGTTATAATGTGGATGGATATTATTGTTATTTTGTTTTTATAAAAAACAATTGGTACATTGGGATTTGATAAATTAAAAACGGCGAAATAGAGGGAGCTTTTTTCATCTTCTCTTTTGTGTTGTGAAATGAAAGTAAATAATTTTAAAGTCGTAGAGATAATAATTATAATAAAAAAACAGGTACGTCTACTCTTTCATAGGAGTCTGTGGTTTTCTCTGCCTTGTCTTGTAGTAAAGAGAGCAAAGCCAAAGCAGGTTATTACATCATATTTCGAGTTTATCGATATATTTTGTTTTACAGACCCAAGAAATTATTTTATCAAACGAATTAAAAATACAAATTAATCATGAAGCGTCCGTATTTTCTTAAAGCAAATTATTAAATAAACAAGGAATGGGCTCTTGTTTTTATCTGAGTATGCGTGCGTGCATGAGGAAAAGTGCAGTGGTATTCTCTGTCAGTGATGGAAATAAAAGAGATGATGCAGATTGTATCTTTAATATTGTAATTCATCTTTTATTTTCTACGATCTTGATCTTCTTTTTACTGTTTTGTGTTTGGGATGCATTATTATTTACTATACATACAACGACTAATCGAAACAATAGTATTATACTAAGGGATGCATTATTACACTAGTTATTTGGAAAACGAAGAGGTTCGTTTTATATTTTTGATAAAGGAAAATTGGATATTATCGATAAGGCTGTTTCAAATCTTGGAGTGTCAGTACAGTTCATGATTAATTTATCAAAAAAAATTGACAGAGACTCCGTTACTACACGCCACCACCTTCTCCACCTTTCACCTCTCTCTCTCTCTCTCTCTCTCTCTCTCTCTCTCTCTCTCTCTCTCTCTCTCTCTCTCTCTCTCATTTTGATTTTTTGTTTATTTTCATTTTCCATTTTATTTACTATTGTCACTGGTTTTTTTTTGTTTTTTCTTTTTATTTTATTTTTACCAAAATTGTCACTGGTTTTAAATTTAATTAGGGATATTTTTGCTTTAGTTTTCTTGGATCAGCATAATCAAATGATTCTGAGTTTGATTTTTTGCCTTGGCAACGAGATTTATGGTTTACAAGTGCGTGGATGCACATAAGACAAAGGTTCAACAAACAGTCGTCAAAATAAATCACGACATTATTACAAACATTTTTTATTTTTATGTCGTACATATAGAAAAGTCTGATATACAGTATACTTAATCGAAATAACTCGTCTCTTCGAGTATTCATATTTACATATATAGTTTGGACGGAGTGATCATGTGCAAAAAAATGAAGAAGTATTAATTATACATTGAAATCATTATCAGAGACATGCTAATACTATTACACCTGCTACTACTGTTTCCCTAATATTTATTACTGTCTAGAAATTGTAGGTCTATCAATATGTCTGTTTAGACGTATCAGCAATTGACAGTAACTAAATCGAATTAAAGATCCTTTACTGTTTTAAGCAAAAGAAAAAATATCATTTACTGTCTTGATAAAAATAAACTGATACATATGCTTAGTAATATACTACACATTAGGAGAAAGAAAAATAGTAGCCAAAGCTACAGGCAGAAGCAGTAGCATAAAAAATTGCAAGTACATACATATCTATAAAACCGAAAACATGCTTCATGCACCAAAGTGATAATATTATGTTTTACAGAACAATCTGTCTACCATAAGATGTTTTCGTTGTTGTTTTCTCTATCATTTTTACAAAGCTTTAATTGATCGTCATGGGGTTAAATGTTAATAACTGCATAAGCATATGAACAATGGCCAACAAATAAAATATTTGACGTAAGAAAAAAGGCCATTGATAGCATAATAAATGCAGGGGGTTAACACAGTATTAACAAACAGTAGAAATTCCCTTGTGACCTACTCGAATGAGTAAACTAATAGCCCAATCTATGTTTATTTTTGTTGTGGCCAATATTTTTAGTAGAATAAAGGGGAAATTTTTATGGTTCGAGTGAGGATCTTACTTCAGATAGGCTTTTCCCAAAACCAAAAACAAATTATTTGTTTCCTCGATGGTCAAGCTCAAGCAGTCGAAGAGTAGGTGAGGGAAGTAGCAGGTGAGATAGTATTATATCACCACATGAACTGGGTTTTCTGTAATGTATAAATGTATACTATACATATAATTTAATACTCCACATGAACTGGAGTATTAATTTATGAATATACTGTATATTTTTCTGATAGATTTATGGTACTTCTACCAAATAACCTCTTTGTTGAACTTAGTTAGTTAAATAATCAAATGTCACAGTGGTAATCAAAGGATGGGCTGAATCAGTACGCATTGTCAATTTGTTTTTAATTTTCTAAACAAACTTTCAAGCTGTGTATTATACATATTACACATATACATACATTTATTATTAAAATATAACATTTTTTAAAAATAGAAAAATACATAATCCAATGTTGGTGTAGCCATTCCAAATACTGTATTTATATTATTTAGACTATTTATTATTATAGTTTTAGGTTTTATAAGTATTGGATCTAGGCTAATATTGGATTCAATATATGATTGATTAATAAAATATATAACTTTTGCATATTTCTCTTCTTGTTTTTGTCCCGTAGATCTACAGAAATCTCAATATATCTATGAAACTTGATTTATTCAGGAATTTTAAGACTAAACAAAGAATCTTGTGATTATCCTAGTTTTCTGGGTATTCTTAGAAACAACACATTTAGATATTACAATACAAGATTTTAATACATATGACATATGACATATGACACACAAAAACTCAAAGGAATAGTAAAATTTGCGCTGACTAATCGATAGAATAACTTAATGTTGAGAAGCATTTCCGTCCATCAAAGGAACAATAATTAGCATACTATATCTAAATGTTTCCAAGTTCATGGATCATGGTCATTGCAAAATGATCCACCCATTTACATATTTATTTATTGTTTTATAAAGAAAATATGTAAAGATATTTGTGCGTTTTCACTTCTTTTTACCCTTTAGTTTCTTACTATACACATCTTTGGTTTTTCTTTTTATCGGTCCCCTTTGATAGCCTTACACCTAAAATACATATAGCTCTTGATGCAACGTCTCTCTTCTTTTTAGTTTTCTCTTTTTCGTTTACATTTTGCAACTTGATGCAACGCGTCTTTACTATTCAAGACCATATATATACTACAATTGTACAATCCCAATATATCCATTTGATACGTTTGATATATTGATATATATGATATACGTATCACGTATGCATATCGCAAAATTACGTATTTTACAATTTTTGTACTTATATTTCCTTGAAAAGCAGCAAGAACCTGCTCACCATTATTATTACCTTAGTAAATGAAAAAGCCTGCTTAAGAACGTATTTGGTGAACCGAGGAAAGGTACTGGAAGCCCATTGAACAATAGCCCATTTGCATGATCTCACTCGCAGTTCGACCTTCAAGGGTTCTAGACTTCTAGGAGCGAAATGAAGTAATTTGGTTTCAATAAATTTATTTGATGCGACTCAAAACAGTATTCAGTTAACGACTTCATAGACGTTAGGGATCATGGTAATGGTAGCTATAGTTTGCCAAACAAGAATTGATGATATATCTATTGTATTTGTTGGCCAATAAGTAGACGAAATCTTCCGGAATAGAGTTGCAGGGAGCATCATAAATTTATGTATTCTTTTTTTTCTTTCAAATATAATGTATAACGTGAGCTTTATTTTTGTGTAAGTGTTATCGTGTAACAAAAATGTGTTGATAAAAATCTTGATAAAACTACTAAATGATTGATCAAAAACCAACAAATATCAATATGACTAAACATTGATTCGATGAGCTGTGGTCTTCTTCTCTTTACGTATTTTTCGTTTCGCATGAAAAAATTGGTAAATTGGGAGAAGGAGAGGACAAATGGAAGCTTGCGTACCAAAAGTACGACACGTAAATAGTTGGAAGAAGACGTATGGCGTAACTAATCTCATCTTCACAATTGTTTGTTTTTGATTTTATCTTCACATGCTTTGTCTTATCCTACGTGTTCATTTTATCAGTACCATTCGTATTAAAACCAAAACCATATATAATAAAAAAGAAATTGGCTAATATCTTATCAACTAGAAAGATGGTGTGGTCCGTTTTCTCTTTTAAGGTTTTTAACTTGACAACGGTCAGATGGATTTTTATCTTATTTTTTTGTATGATGTATGGTTATGCTTACTAGTGGTGACCACGGGACTTGGTTTCTAAAAATCCATATCCATCCATCCACCGCTTAAATAGGTCCGAATGTGATTTAGAGAAAAATATATTTAGCTTATTAATTAGTTTTTATTTTTGGTTCAATTTAATCATAACTATATATTTTTTACAAGAGTTATGAAATGTTGAAAGTCTCCTTATCATATCGAAATAAACAAATACTAGCTTGTAAACGTATCGTATTCGTTAAGTATGTCAAGCAAAAGCAAGTCACACACGGACGTGTTTGGGTAAGCAACACACATAAGCAAAATAGTCAGAGTGTGTGTGGGCCTGTGGGGGGTCCAATAGTTTACCCTCGAGATACAAATGGGGTGGAAGTTAGTGTTAAATTACCCAACCGTTTTTTAAATCACGGGTAGAGTCGTAGAGATGACAAACGTAATCGCTTTTCTATAGTTTTGGTTTGGCGACAAGACGTCTGGGTCCTGTTGTTTCAAGGAGCTTCTATAGTTTTGTTTTCATAATAAGTTTTCGATTTCTGCAAACGTCTTTTGAGGACGAAGTATCCACACATGACACATGTCAATTTATCTTGTAAGTATCGTAAAATACCCAATCATAAATTAATCATTACATAAAATTACATTGACGAAAAAAATAAAACAAATACATTTTCAAATATCCTAAAATATTATAACAAATTCGTTGCAATTTTATTAACACGGTCTATATATATAGATAAATTTTATGAAATACACCTCTTGAGATGCAAATTTTCAAAACTACATAGTGTGAAAATTTTCAAAAATACACATTTCCCCAATTTTAATATATATGTTTGGGTTCACTAATACTATATTAGGGTTTAGATTTTGGGGTTTAGGGTTTAGATTTAAAGGTTCAATGTTAGATTTTAGGGTTTTCCGAATCCTCCCTTCCCGAAAGGCAGAACTGAAAATTCTTTTCCCTTTCCGGAGGGACCAGGAGATTGGATCTTTTGGATTTATATTTTAGGGTTTAGAGTTCTTTTACTAAATGAAAAAAGTGTAGTTTTGAAAATTTACACCATAGAGGTGTATTTTTGAAAATTTGCACCCCAAGAGGTGTAGTTTTGAAATTTCCCCTATATATAAATTATTTTTAGTGCTAAAAAGGGTTGTCACAATTTACAACTACTATTTATTACTTTGGCTGTCACAATTTGTTTTTATTAACATGATCTTTTTAAATTTTGGTAAGCTCTATGGAAAAAGTTGTCGTTGGAAATATCTGTAAAAGACTAAAAGTTCATACATGGCCATATAGAAATTTACAGATTTATTGCTATATATTTCAGTTGAAGTTTCTATAATTATGTTATATTTTTCATAACTGCTACCTATGTCTTTAACAAAAAAAAAAAAAACTGCTACCTATGTTTCTAATTACTTACTACAAATATTTATAAAAGATGATAATCTAAGAAATATATTTAATCAGTGTTGTGAGAAAAAGACTAGTTAGGCAATCTAAAATAATACTCAAATTCTTGTCCTATTCGACCAATGAAACCAATATATTGAGTAATTTCCTTATTTCAGAATTTCAACCCTCTCCTAATAATCCAATATTATTTTATATATATAGGATTAAACGAGTGGTTGAAAAGTTAAACGAACAACCTTGTTTTCTTATTTCTTTCACCAATCTGGCAAGTCTCTCACTCACAAACACACATCGAAACGAAATTTCCCTTCTTACGACTAGTACCGAAAGACTCAATTCCAAATCATCCAAATTTGGTTACAAAATATCGAGAGAAAGAAGAAAATCAGAGTAAAGAAAGATGGAGATTAATGGAGGATCGACGACGACGAGCACAATCACGATTAAAGGGATTCTGAGTCTGCTGATGGAAAGCATCTCAGAGGAAGAAGAAGAAGGAAGATGCTCGAAGCGAGTCATATCTTTGGGAATGGGAGACCCAACTCTCTACTCTTGTTTCCGTACAACACAAGCTTCACTTCAAGCTGTTTCAGATTCTCTTCTCTCCAACAAGTTCCATGGTTATGCTCCCACCGTTGGTCTTCCCCAGACTCGAAGGTCCCTTTCGTCTTTTCCCTTCTCTCTGTCTTTTTCTGTTTAACTAGATTCTGGTTTAAGTAACGCCCTCTGTCACGACCGTCATCTTTAATTACCCGCCGTGCATTTTAATAATTTTTTTTTATGTGGAAGCCAAAAAAATCTTGATAATTTATTATTTTACAAAGACTATAGTAGTTGACAGAAAAAGGACAGAGTCATTAAAAATGAAAACTCTTAAAAAAAAATTATACTGTGGTTTGGGCTTTTGAAAAAAGTCTTCTATTAGGGCCTCCTAGGGTTGCCAAATTCGGTTTGTATATTGGGTTTTGGTTTAACTCAACCGAATAAACCGAACCAAATAAAACAGAAAAAACGAACTTTCAAATTAAGAAAACTCACACGTTTGCGTGTAATAAAAACAGAGCAATCGCGGAGTATCTATCGCGTGATCTTCCATACAAACTGTCACAGGACGATGTGTTCGTGACATCGGGTTGTACGCAAGCGATCGATGTAGCTTTAGCGATGTTGGCTCGTCCCAGGGCAAATATACTTCTTCCGAGACCTGGTTTCCCGATCTACGAGCTATGTGCTAAGTTTAGACACCTCGAGGTTCGCTACTTCGATCTTCTCCCGGAAAACGGATGGGAGATCGATCTCGATGCCGTCGAGTCTCTCGCGGACGAAAACACCGTTGCTTTGGTTGTTATAAACCCTGGTAATCCCTGCGGGAATGTTTATAGTCACCAGCATTTGTTGAAGGTTAGCTTTTCAAACTTTTACATGATGAAAACAGAACCAATGCTCTGTTTTGTTTTTTTTTGGAGTTTGATGTGTGGAGTTTTTCGGGTTTTTAGATTGCGCAAACGGCGAAAAAACTAGGGTTTCTTGTGATTGCTGATGAAGTTTACGGTCATCTTGCGTTTGGGAGTAAACCGTTTGTGCCGATGGGAGTTTTTGGATCTATTGTTCCGGTGCTTACTCTTGGCTCTTTGTCAAAGAGATGGATTGTTCCCGGTTGGCGGCTCGGGTGGTTCGTGACTACCGATCCTTCTGGCTCGTTTAAGGATCCTAAGGTTAGTAACTAGCTTCGGTCTCATTCAAAATTAGCAATGTAGATAGAGTGTGAGAGAAGGAATTAGCCGTTTTACTGATTGAAAATTAATGTTTCTTTTGGATTAGATCATCGAACGGTTCAAGAAATACTTTGACATTCTAGGTGGACCAGCAACATTTATTCAGGTATATGTAGAATCAAAATCAACTTCTGTTCTTGATTGTTTTCTGATGATTATTGAGATCTTAAATTTTGTGTTCTTGATTGTGTTTGCATTAGGCTGCAGTTCCAACGATTTTGGAGCAGACAGACGAATCATTCTTCAAGAAAACGTTGCACTCGTTGAAGAACTCTTCGGATATTTGCTATGACTGGATCAAGGAGATTCCTTGCATTGATTCCTCTCATCGACCAGAAGGATCCATGGCAATGATGGTGAGTATATATTTGTAAAATGCTCACAAGATATTACACATCTTAAAAAATGATCTTAATTCAATTATTCTGTGTTTTGTTTAGGTTAAGTTGAATCTCTCGTTACTTGAAGATGTTAGCGACGATATAGACTTCTGTTTCAAGCTAGCTAGAGAAGAATCAGTCATCCTTCTTCCCGGTAAAGACATAATTACAAATCTCTAATAGTTTTTTTATTTTTTTACATTTTAAGAGTAATAATAATTTGTTTTTTTCTATATATATATATTCTTTGTGGCTGAGCAGGGACTGCAGTAGGACTAAAGAACTGGTTAAGGATAACATTTGCTGCCGACGCAGCTTCGATCGAAGAAGCTTTTAAGAGGATCAAATGTTTTTATCTCAGACATGCCAAGACTCAATCTCAACTCGTAGTTGATTTTTGATATCGGTTGGGTCAAAATGCTCTTAAAAAATTGGCTCTATTGTACGTTGTGACAAGATAAACTCTGAATGAAAAAAATATATATGTTAAAAACAAAGAATTTATACTCAAATCTTTTTTGACAGAAAGTAGTTTCGAGCACACGTTAGTGTAAACTAGATAATCTTTGATGTGGTAGAGCTTTGAAGCGAGATGCCAATTCGCAGTGGACTTGGGGTTATGAGCCGAATGAACATAAACAATTGTGAAAACATAAAAACCTCTCATGATCGAAAAAAGCTTGCATCCATCGCAAAGATTATCTTAGCATATGGTTGCTTGCTTCGTCTTCCATAAAACCATTAACATACGTGGATGACTTAAAAACATTAAAGCACTAAGATTATAGTGGTGGGCAAGGACAAGTCACAAGCCCATTCTCTTGGACTTGGATACATTAGAATTACTTAAGACTTAAGACCCAACATAAATGGTCGTAATTCGTAAACGATCGTTGTCTACAATAGAACAAGGCGTATCTGAAAAAAAGATATAAAGTGCTTAATGATTCTGATATGCAAAAACCAATTTGCAAGTGAAAGACCCCTTAAACAAGATGCATGGTCCCAAAAAGAACAGAAAAAAGTTTAATACTTTATTTAACTAATATTATGGTTAGATGATAATGTTATTAAATTTTAGTGGGGGCGATACGACCAGCCCACGTGAGTACATGCATGTATTTGAGAAAAATACTTGTTAATCAACTAATTATTTAATTAATTAGTCCACATTCATTTTTTTTGAGTAGTACAGTGGGTCCATGAAGAACAATAAAGTGGGCCTTTAGGGCCCCAAAGCTTTGATTCCTGATAAATGACCACTTATAGAGAAACCACCTTCATATCTTGTGTTAACCCATAATCTTTCTATCCACATTTGTTTTTGAAAAAAATATTTGTTTAACTAGACTTGATGCTATTTAACGATTATAGGGAATTCGGACGATAATGATAATTAAATAATTTCTTGAAATGTGAACAATGTTGAATTTGTATATATTTTTGCAAATGTATACGGTAAAACATTTTCAAAACACTAAATTGCGTTTTTAACAAAAAAAAAAAAACACTAAATTGCGTTTTAACGGTTTTAGTGTAAGCAAAATTATTAAACGACATGCTCTCACCTTCATATCTTGTGTTAACCCATAATCTTTCTATCCACATTTGTTTTTGAAAAAAATATTTGTTTAACTAGACTTGATGCTATTTAACGATTATAAGGAATTCGGACGATAATGATAATTAAAGAATTTCTTGAAATGTGAACAATGTTGAATTTGTATATATTTTTGCAAATGTATATGGTAAAACATTTTCAAAACACTAAACTGAGTTTTTAACAAAAAAAAAAAAACACTAAATTGCGTTTTAACGATTTTAGTGTAAGCAAAATTATTAAACGACATGCTCTCACCTTCATATCTTGTGTTAACCCATAATCTTTCTATCCACATTTGTTTTTGAAAAAAATATTTGTTTAACTAGACTTGATGCTATTTAACGATTATAGGGAATTCGGACGATAATGATAATTAAAGAATTTCTTGAAATGTGAACAATGTTGAATTTGTATATATTTTTGCAAATGTATACGGTAAAACATTTTCAAAACACTAAATTGCGTTTTTAACAAAAAAAAAAACACTAAATTGCGTTTTAACGGTTTTAGTGTAAGCAAAATTATTAAACGACATGCTCTCACCTTCATATCTTGTGTTAACCCATAATCTTTCTATCAACATTTGTTTTTGAAAAAAATATTTGTTTAACTAGACTTGATGCTATTTAACGATTATAGGGAATTCGGACGATAATGATAATTAAAGAATTTCTTGAAATGTGAACAATGTTGAATTTGTATATATTTTTGCAAATGTATACGGTAAAACATTTTCAAAACACTAAATTGCGTTTTTAACAAAAAAAAAAAACACTAAATTGCGTTTTAACGGTTTTAGTGTAAGCAAAATTATTAAACGACATGCTCTCACCTTCATATCTTGTGTTAACCCATAATCTTTCTATCCACATTTGTTTTTGAAAAAAATATTTGTTTAACTAGACTTGATGCTATTTAACGATTATAGGGAATTCGGACGATAATGATAATTAAAGAATTTCTTGAAATGTGAACAATGTTGAATTTGTATATATTTTTGCAAATGTATACGGTAAAACATTTTCAAAACACTAAATTGAGTTTTTAACAAAAAAAAAAAACACTAAATTGCGTTTTAACGATTTTAGTGTAAGCAAAATTATTAAACGACATGCTCTCACCTTCATATCTTGTGTTAACCCATAATCTTTCTATCCACATTTGTTTTTGAAAAAAATATTTGTTTAACTAGACTTGATGATATTTAACGATTATAGGGAATTCGGACGATAATGATAATTAAAGAATTTCTTGAAATGTGAACAATGTTGAATTTGTATATATTTTTGCAAATGTATACGGTAAAACATTTTCAAAACACTAAATTGCGTTTTTAACAAAAAAAAAAAAACACTAAATTGCGTTTTAACGGTTTTAGTGTAAGCAAAATTATTAAACGACATGCATGCTTTAAAGTGTTTTACATAAAGTTTTTGCTTCGATAGTTCAACTGTCAATCTCTTATTTTGCTCAAAATCATTCTACTATGATTTCCATATCTCTCTATCAATGCATTAGCAACTTTGACAATGTAAGTTATGTCTTTGCATAAAATATCTTTGCATAGTTTGATGAGCTAAATCATTAAACTTTAGTTTTTACCCATGAATTAAATATGCAAAGACATAATTTTATTTATTTCATTTATAAAACACTATAAGTAATTAAATAAGTTGATAACCAAAATACTAGTCTTATTAGTATTTTCGTATTAATACAAAGTTTGAGTTAATTTTGTTTGCTTATCTTATCTTTTACATAAAACACCCTTAATGTTTGAAGTGTGAGTGTGTTTGTGTATATATATCCGTCCCCACAGCGTCGTACAAAGCACAAAAAAAGAGAGACAGAAATGGAGAATGCTCAGAGCCAAAGCAGAAACAAGAAAAAGAGGCTAACACAAGAGCAAGTTAGACTATTGGAGAAATGCTTCACGTTGAACAAGAAACTCGAGCCAAATCTCAAGCTCCAACTGTCGAACCAGCTGAGTTTACCTGAGAGACAAGTCGCGGTTTGGTTCCAGAACAAGAAAGCCAGGTCCAAGACTAAATCTCTGGAGCTCCAACACTGCAAGCTCCAGGCCAAGCTCGAAGCAGCTCTCTCCGACAAGGCAAAGTTAGAACATCAAGTGCAGTTTCTACAAGATGAGCTGAAGAGGTCGAGGAATCAGCTTTCTCTGTTCACAAATCAAAATTCCCCCGTGGAGAATTCTAATCTTGATTCTTGTGAAGAAGGTCAGGATGATCAAGTGGTGGTCTTTGACGAGCTTTACGCTTGTTTAGTTAGCAATGGACATGGATCTTCCTCAACCTCATGGGTCTAATTCAGTTTCAAGCACGGACAAGATTCCAATATTCAATCTTGTCTCTCTTTTTCTTCATTTGATCGGTTTCTTGCTGTCTGAATAGATTAACAACATGTAATTAAAGTCATTTAATTATACAGCATGTGTGAAAATTGAAAAAATATGTTGGGTCTAATTCAGTTTCAAGCACGGACAAGATTCCAATATTCAATCTTGTCTCTCTTTTTCTTCATTTGATCGGTTTCTTGCTGTCTGAATAGATTAACAACATGTAATTAAAGTCATTTAATTATACAGCATGTGTGAAAATTGAAAAAATATTATTTTTCTTCATTTTCTGAACAACACAAGAAACCAAGAATATAAAATTATTAGAATCAAGAATTGCAATGCTTTGAACAACACAAGAAACCACAACTACTTCATGGTTTAGTTTCAGATTGCCTTATTGATTAAAGGAGTGAAGAAGCACATACTGCTAATTAACGAGTTGATGAACTAAAAAAGGAAAGCTTGAACACATAGAACTACTTCGTGGCATGGCATATCATTGCCTTATTTGAAACAGCTGCTTACGTACTTCTCATAAGTAAAGTGCATCATTCAAGATTTGTATCGTTGAGTAGATTCTCCAACGTGTCAACAAACTTATCGGTGTAGCCGGTTAATAATCCAGGACTAAAAAATCTCCTTCAATTTGGGTGGTTCCTCCTCACAGATTCCCAATCTCGCTATCTTTGTCCATCACAGAAGTGATAGCAACACTCAAGCTCTCCTTCGAGAACCATCCTGTTTCTTCTCTTTCCACCTCTACGGAACCTCGAGTTCCTCGGTCAGCAATCTCGTGTTGAGAACCTGATCAACCAAATATGGAAGCAAGACTATTTGGCAATCACTCACCAGAGACTCCCACATTGACCCAATCCGCAATGGCTCACAAAGCAACCTACTGATGGATGAGCCAATATCAAGTGGTTGCTGCACCCATCCTCCCCAAACCACGCCACGTCCCTTCACCCGCTCCTCGAACCCTTCTGGTAACGTCCCTTCACCCGCTCCTCGAACCCTTCTGGTAACGCTTCTTGAATCGTCTTTGTGCCTTTTGGTGGCGTGACTGCTACGAAAAATGGTAGACCAGTGAGCTCCATTCCTAAACAAAGCTCTTGGAACTGGTCTTTCTCCAGAGTGATTTGGCTTCCCAATGCACAGTACACTACAGAGCCTGGTCCAAACCCGCTCAGCCAATGATTCCATTTATCTTCAAGTGGTTTACTCTTGTCAGGCTCCGGAAACATTGGCCCTGTCAAGAGAACCTTCTTCTGGTATTGACTCCCTATATAGTCGCAGAATTTACCTTCGATTTCTTCGCATGTCCTATTCGCAATGAAATCGCAATTCGTAATGGCTGTCGTGACCCGAAAACAAACAGCCTTGTAGTAGACGGAGAAGGACAACAAGGCGTGAGCATCATGTGCGCGGTACAAGACCTTTGACGAAGGATAACCAGGTGGAGGAACTCCGAGCTCAGCACCAGGGACAAGGTCGTGAGCTATGGTGTTGGCTGATACAATGTTGTACATCATATTCTTGACTCCATGCTCTTTTGCAACTTCCGGAATCCAGTAAGCTAGATCGAACAAGATCAGGTCCGGTTTCAAGGCACGAACTGCGGCTTCTACCTGTTCGCGTGTCAGATCAAAGGCTTCGGTGAAGAACTTCCACAACGTGACGGGAATATCCGTCACGATGTCGGTGCCAGCAGGGAGACCATCAACATGAGGAACAATGATAGGGTGAAAGATGATGCTGTCAGGGAACAGATTGAGATGTTCCAACTTTTCCTGAGCTTTCTTGGGCAGCAAGAAAGTAACCCTATGACCTTTCTCAGCAAACTTGTTGGCTAGATGCAAGTACGGAGTCATATGACCAAAGGCGAAAAAAGGCAACATCAAAGCGTGAAACTTTTGGCCCATTTTTCTTTTCAAAGTTTTCGAGACAAGCGTACTTTCTTGCGATTGAGTTGCTCTTCCTCTTCCAAAGACACACACATATATATATATATAGTGTGGAGGTGTGTGAACTGTGAAGGATAAGAATTTTAAGTAAATCATTACACCTACCACGTTTTTTATCAAAAATGTTTTTACTCCTACCTCGTTACCTATAGAAAACCAATCTTAGAATTTTTTGGCATACCAAAATTCTTATTTTTTTCACATTATTAATTTGATTGATATTCTAGTATAAAAAATTGTTTTGTGTCATTTACATGAGAGAGGAAGTTGCAGCTTTGGATAGCTAAAAAATAATTAAGATTTTGAAAAATGTAAAAATTAATGTTAAGGTGCTAGTGGATGCAAAATCACTAGAGACATGACTCAATGATAATTGTTGGGTGGCAAATAAATAAGATAATCTTTTACTAGTAGTAATCTATGTTAAAAGATAATTTTTGTAATTCTATTTTATAAACAAACTATGTCTTATTACTTCAAAAAAAATGTTTTTCAAAAACTTGAAAATGTGGGTTAGTTTTCAAATTACATAAATTTATTAGAATATTTAACCACACCTCCCTAAACTATCTATGTTTTTTTTGTTTTTTTTTTTACATTTTTAACTATCTATGGCCATCAGATCCACATTACATGAAATATAAAATGAAGATAGTAATTATTATAGATCATATTTTTATTTGAGTAAAGCAAACACTAAAGAAATGTACAATATTACGCATTATAATAATGCTTTGTAAATTTCTGAATTTGAATAATAAGCATACATTATACTAGTAAACTGGAATGCTTTATTAAATAATACTACCTTATCACTTTTTTTTTCCACTTTTTAACACGAAATTAACATATTCATACAATTAGCAGTTTTAACTATTTTATATATTTTACATATCAAAATTAATTTTCCAAATTCAAATGGCAATGACATCTAATACGTTTTTTAAGTTGACTAAGAAAATGTAACTGAAAGTCTATAAATATGAGTTTCCCCTATAAAATGCTTCTATGTATCTCGGAAGAAAAAGATTCCAATATTTATTTAACACATAATAACAAATATAAGGTTTGGCGACGTTAATATTATTGGGATGGTTAGAGCGTCAAACATCATACGACTTCAAACTAGCCATAGCGATCTTCTACTCTCTGATATCTATTTCAAACTAAAAAACCACATGCTACTTGTGTCTTCATTTGCATACCATTAATACATTTCAACGTTTTTTGGTTCCGTGTTCCATTTGCCCAAGAACATCACATGCATATAAATATGTCTTTCTCTTTTTTGATAAGATATAAATATGTCTTTCTCGCCGGTCACGAGATGGAAATATGCGTCTTCGTCGCCTTCTATTCAAGAATTAATAAAGTCTTTGTTTGTTAGCGATATTCTGTCTGTTCTAACTCAAATTCAATAAAATAAAGTACGTCTTGATTTTTTTATTTTATGTTGTTATGAATGAAAATGTCATTAAGAAATGAGTAGTTAAAAGTTTATTTTACAAACATGCTATGAATTCATGAAGTTCGTTTTGAGTTCGAAATGCACATGTTTCCAAAACAAAAGACCACTGTGCGACCTTTCATCTAGTACTATTCAAACACTTCACTGTCTGGTTCATAGGATTTAGGTTTTAAATCGAATTACATTTTATCAAAAAAATCGAAATACATTCTCAGGTTGGTTTTAAGAAAATTTTTCTTTTGTATTTCAACATCAAAAGTGTATGTTTCCATTTTTATAATTACTTTATCTCGGTCATGAATCTGGTGTCGAGGATTTGATCACCCAAATGAGGAAGAAAGTAAGAAACAGTATCTTGCAAATCAGAGACTCTCAACATATAAATGCAACAAATGGGTAAAATATGTAATAAAAAGAAGGGATTCTTTATGTAATACGCGTATGTAAATGTCTTTTTTTTTGCCAACAAGACCGTATGTATGTAATGTTATAAACTACTATAACGAACAATCAATCAATTTGAGATTGCTTCATCATTACGGTACATAATCTAAGTCTTAACGGTTGTCTTAAAGATTCAAATTTAAATTTCTTGACCTCTCTAGCTTTCTTTGCTCTTTTCTCCTTGTGATTTGTTTTGAGTTGCTAGTATGTCTTTCGTTTGTGGGATTCAAACCAATGTTGAGATGGTAAACTAGGATGTTTTTCGTTTGTGGATGCATTTTTTGATACAGTTCCAGGGACATCATCACACAAGATGAGGGTCACTGAAAAAGCAAATTCGGATGGAGCGCAAACGAAGAATCAAAATGTTCTTGGAAGTGCAAGAGAATTCTCTTAGACATCTTCATGCTACCTCTGTACAAGCAAGGTGGTGAAGCATTTCAATGACATCATTTCATTGACATCATTTAAGAATATATGCGTATACCTGATTCAGCAATCTACAAGACCAAAAGTTTGTTTGAAAATGCTAAGGATGATGTGTTGTTTGATGGAAATACAAGTACATGCACAATTGCTTAGCGACAAGGTAGATAACCTTGGGTCAGAGTTTATGTGCAAGTCCCCGATAACTACAATTATTATCAAAAGATCTTGTGTTGACTTGTAGATGATGGATGGAAATACGTACAGAGAGGAAAATGCAATTTCTTGTGGGTATTGCTTTTGCATGTACTAGTTTCTTGTTATTTGTTGAATGTTTTACTGCTGTTTGAGGTGTTGAGCTTAACACATTTCATAGAGGTACTGAGATATCAGATATGGAGAATCGAAGACTTTCAGCCAGTTCTAGTGCCAAACTCTGAACATGGGAAGTTCTGTATGGGAGATACTTACATTGTATTACAGGTTGGTGATTTCTTCATATGTTATTTTACCCTATATCTATATATAGATGCTCATCAATAGACAGATTACAAGATAATGACTTGATATTAGCTTACATAACATATAAGAACATGCTTTCAAATAATTATCTCAACTCACCCAAACTTCATATATACCCTTTTCAAATAATTATCTCATCCTCATTATTCATAATTTGTTATACTAAGCAAGGTTCAAACCCGGCTCAGCCAAATAACCTTATTTTGATGGAGAAAGACTTCATCTGTCCCCGAATTTATATAAGAGTTTTTGTGATCCGGCCATAACTATTAGAGGAAACAAGATATCTCAGAAGATTAGAATCAATCATCACCTAAAATCACTTTCTCATATATTCCTCATTCATTGTAAAGATATCAAGTTGCCTTTCTCTGTATAGTCTTGCTGTATAAATGTACATCATCACATATCAATACGATCATCCAATTCTCAATTCCTATATGGTATCAGAGCTTTCGATCTGATTTCCATCTTTTTTTTCTTCTTCTCCGTCTCTCTTCAACTCTTCATCCCTTCCTCTCGACTATGTCTACCTCAAACACTACCCCTGGAGTCACCGCTGAATCTGTTCCTGTGACTCAGGGATCTGTCCTCAATATCAACACAACCAACATCACTAAGCTCACCACCTCCAATTACCTCATGTGGAGTCGCCAGATCCATGCTCTGTTTGATGGTTATGAACTGGCTCACTTTCTCGATGGATCTAAACCAATCCCATCTAAAGTGCTCATCACTAATGGCACTGAAACCCCAAATCCGGAGTTTATTCTCCACACACGCCAAGACAAACTGTTCTTCAGCGCTGTTCTTGGAGCCATTGCGCAATCTGTGCAGCCTCTCCTCTCTAAAGCCACCACCTTTGCTGAAGTCTGGACCACGCTTGCTGCAACCTACGCCAAGCCCAGCCGCGGTCACATCAAACAACTCCAACACCAACTGAAGAACTGGAAAAAGGGCACCAAACCAATATCTGAGTACCTTCAGGGAATCACCACTCGTGTAGACCAACTGGCGCTTCTTGGGAAAGTCATTGACCTTGAAGACCAGATTGAGCTCGCCCTTGATGGTCTCCCTGAGGAGTACAAGACTGTCGCGGATCAAATCGAAGGACGTGACACACCACCCACCTTCACTGATCTCCATGAAAAACTCATCAATCATGAAGCTAAAATCCTTGCTGTTCAGCCTTCCTCACCATATCCTGTCTCCGCCAATGTCGCTACCAACAAGTTTCGCCCTTCTTATCACCAGAAAAACAACAACCATGGCAACACCAACTGGCAAGCCTCTCAACCTGCCCCTTCTTCTGACTCTCGCGCACCACGACCATACCTTGGTCGCTGTCAGATCTGCGGCACCCAAGGTCACAGTGCACGTCGCTGCTCCCTGCTCCCTCTGAACAGTGGACAAGGTCTTCTTCCCACTCCCAGACCATGGCAGCCTCGAGCTAACTTTGTTGAGGCACCACAGTGGCTACTTGACTCCGGCGCCACTCACCATATCACTTCAGACTTGGCAAATCTGTCTCTGCATCAACCTTACACCGGAGGTGAAGAAGTGGTTGTAGGCAATGGTTCAAGCCTACCCATTACCCACACTGGTTCAGCTCTCTTCTCCTCCTCTTCTCGTCCATTACATCTTAATCACATTCTCTATGTCCCTGCAATAAGAAAAAACCTTATATCAGTCTATAAGTTGTGCAACGCTAATCAAGTGTCTGTTCAATTTTTCCCGTCATGTTTTCAGGTGAGGGATCTCAAAACGGGTGTCCCATTACTCCAAGGAACCACCAAGAATGAGTTGTATGAGTGGCCTATCCCAAAGCCTTTCGCCTCCACATTCTTCACAGCTACCAACAACCAAAAAGCCACAACTATTGACTGGCACTCAAGGCTAGGCCATCCGTCTTTTCCCATTTTAAAACACATTATCTCTTCCTTTTCATTACCACTTTCAAATTCGTTGTCTCAATCTCCTATTTGCACTGATTGTTGCATCAATAAAACTCATAAATTTCCTTTCTCCGAAAGCACAATTACATCCTCTCGCCCTCTCCAATACTTATTTTCCGATGTTTGGACCTCCCCTATTGTCTCAATTGACAACTACAAATACTATCTCGTTATTGTTGATCACTACTCTCGCTATGTCTGGTTCTATCCTCTAAAACTCAAATCACAGGTCCGTGAAACCTTCATTCGGTTCACTGCACTTGTTGAAAATAAGTTCCAGCAAAGAGTCGGTACCTTGTTCTCTGACAATGGTGGTGAATTCATTGCTCTCCGTGAATTCCTTGCTTCCAAAGGGATCTCACACTTAACATCTCCTCCGCATACACCCGAACATAACGGACTTGCGGAGAGACGACACCGCCACATTGTTGAGACAGGTCTTACACTTCTCACCAAACATCATCAGCATATCTGATTTAGACTCTGTGACTTTATGAAGGCCTTGGACAGGACCTGAACATATGAGATGTTCAAGTTGTTGATGAGTTTCTCGGGAAGCAAGAAAGTTATTCTGTGACCTTTTTTCAGCTAAGTTGTTGGCTAGACGCGAGTATGGACTACGGAGGCAGATGACCAAAACAAAACCAGGTAAACATGAAAAAAAATGAAACTTTGACTCCATTATCGTTTCTCAAACTGTCAAAAAAAAAAAAAATACAAGAAAAAAGTTTTCTCTTCACGAGAACCAAAAGAAGAAGTTTCTTTTTATATTTTTGTTTTTCAGGTTTAGATAAAGTATTTTTGTTTTGTTTTTGTTCATGATCTTATTCTCTTTGTATAATAGTATAAACTCTATAAATTAATACTCTATAACATAATAAACTCGATAATGTAATAAAATTTTCAGTTCCCGTGGGTTAATGTAAAATATAGCACAAATCTATAAGATGATAAGTTCATATTTTTTTAAAGAAAATTATATAAATATAGTCCATTAATTAATATCATAAATTGATAACTTCCATAAATATATCTTATACAAAGATTTATATATATATATTATTTTTTAAATACGATAACTTTTTAATAACCTATTATTTTTAAATTATTTCTTGATAGAAAAATTATTTTTGTCAAAACCGATAAATTAATTTATCAAAGTTCCAATATTAATAATTTATAGAGTTTATACCATATGTTTATGCGATTTTGATGCTCCTCTCCTGCCCATGGACACCCTTAATTTTAACGTTACTTGGAGACATGCATCATGCATGTGTATGTGATAGAGTGTGAAGGGCTGTCTTTTTTGTTTAATTGTAATACTTAATGGGGAATTGTAATATTAGCGAAAGTTGTTTGGAGTTAAGCGTGACTATTAGTGAAATTTAATACTTAATTAGTAATTACTGTGGAGTTTATGGGGAATCGCATGTCCCATGCGAGTGTTCACGTTGCATGTGACCTTCGTTCGACCTTACTAGAGCAGCAGTTCACTTCTTTGGTTTAAAAAAGACTACTTCTATTTTTTATTTTCTTAATACAGACTCTAGAGGTCTTTGTTTACTCAAGATAATTCGAAAGTACAGTAAATGATTTTAAAAAATTCATAAGTAGTAAAGATTCTATTGTTTAAAATGTAACAGATGCGAATGCGGATTGAAAAGTGTGAAGAAGTCCATAAATGGAACAACTACAAAATTCCTGTATTTATCAATTCCGGCAAAGCGACATATTTTTAAGAATTTTATATTGGTGCAGTTGAGCAAAAGTAGATATAACTTGTGGATTTCTTTTTAAAAAAGTATCAAAGGGTTTAGCGCAAAATTTAACTGGAAAATTTGTTTATTGTTAAAGGAGTGAAAAGAGAGCATATTGCTAACGAGTTGTTTAAGAATTTTATATTGGTGCAGTTGAGCAAAAGTAGATATAACTTGTGGATTTCTTTTAAAAAAGTATCAAAGGGTTTAGCGCAAAATTTAACTGGAAAATTTGTTTATTGTTAAAGGAGTGAAAAGAGAGCATATTGCTAACGAGTTGATGAACTTAAAAAAGGAAAACTTGAACAAATAGAACTACTTCGTGGCCTAGCATATTATTGCCTTATTTGAAACAGCTGCTACGTACTTCTCATAAGTAAAGTACATCATTCAAGATTTGTGTCGTTGAGTAGATTCTCCAACGTGTCAACAAACTTATCGGTGTAGCCGGTTAATAATCCAGGACTAACCAAAATCTCCTTCAATTTGGTGGTTCCTCCTCACCAGATTCCCATCTCGCTATCTTTGTCCATCACAGACATGTGATCGCATCGCTCAAGCTCTCCTTTAGAGAACCATCCTGTTTCTTCTCTTCCACCTCTACGGAGACCTCGAGTTCCTCGGTCAGCAATCTCGTGTTGAGAACCTGATCAACCAAATATGGAAGCAAGACTATTTGGCAATCACTCACCAGAGACTCCCACATTGACCCGAATCCGCAATGGCTCACAAAGCAACCTACTGATGGATGAGCCAATATCAGTGGTTGCTGCACCCATCCTCCCCAAACCACGCCACGTCCCTTCACCCGCTCCTCGAACCCTTCTGGTAACGCTTCTTGAATCGTCTTTGCGCCTTTTGGTGGCTGACCGCTACAAAAATGGTAAACCAGTGAGCTCCATTCCTAAACAAGCTCTTGGAACTGGTCTTTCTCCAGAGTGATTTGGCTTCCTAGTGCACAGTACACTACAGAGCCTGGTCCAAACCCTCAGCCAATGATTCCATTGATCTTCAAGTGGTTTACTCTTGTCTGGCTCAGGAAGCATTGGACCCGTCAAGAGAACCTTCTTCTGGTATTGATGCGCTATTAGTCGCAGAATTTACCTTCGATTTCTTCGCATGTCCTATTCGAAATGAAATCGCAATTGTAAGACCTGTGGTGACCCGATAGTAAAACCTCTTGTAGTAGACGGAGAAGGACAACAAGGCGTGAGCATCATGTGCGCGGTACAACTTTGATGAAGGATAACCAGGTGGAGGAACTCCTAGTTCACCACCAGGGACAAGGTCATGAGCTATAGAGTGTTGGCTGATATCACGTTGTACATCATACTCTTGACTCCATGCTCTCTTGCCACTTCCGGAATCCAGTGAGCAAGATCGAACAAGATCAGGTCCGGTTTCAAGGCACGAACCGCGGCTTCGACCTGATCGCGTGTCAGATCAAAGGCTTCGGTGAAGAACTTCCACAACGTGACGGGGATATCCGAGGGGGTCTCGGTGCCAGCAGGGAGACCATCAACATGAGGAACAGTGATAGGGTGAAAACGAAGCTGTCAGGGAACAGATTGAGATGTTCCAACTGTTTCTGAGCTTTCTTGGGCAGCAAGAAAGTAACCCTATGACCTTTCTCAGCTAACTTGTTGGCTAGATGCAAGTACGGAGTCATATGACCAAAAGCGAACACGGGAACATAAAAGCGTGAAACTTTTGGCCCATTTTTCTTTCCAACATTTTCGAAACAAGCAGAACGCAAAAATGTAGACTTCAAAAAGAGCTATAAGTAGAAATGTTTGTTGTATTTCAAATCATAAGCATCTATGCTTTTTTTTTTTTTTTTAATAAAAAAAATTCTGTTTGCTTTTGCGATTGAGAATTTGAGATGCACTTCCTCTTCCAAGGTTATCAGTATTTATCTTGTGAAAGTGTTTGAGGGGTGTTTTAGGTTAAGATTAGTTGAGATTTAAATATTAAGTTAATTAGCGGGGGATGAGGAAGTATACTGGATTGCACCAAACAAAAAAATGTATTGGATTGCACGTGCCATGTGCCGTGTGTTATATGCCATGTGCTAAGTATAACCAAACTTAATTAGTCAATTTATATTAGAAGTAGAACTAACAGTAATTCACCAAAAAAGAACTAAGTACAGTAGTCACTAGTCACAAATCAAACATGATGAAAAACTAATTCCGCATTTACTGTTATAGCAAAACATGATGAAAATGTAACTGTGATTTTCTTTAATAGTATTTTAACAAAGAATTATGGAAATCATCTTCGAAAATTATCAAGAAGTATTAACTTCTTCACTAGTAGATTCAACAAGACCAAAATATAAAATTAACACAACGTAAATGTAGTCTCGCATCCCAACAGAGAAAGAAACATATGCATTACTGAAAACTAAAAGGAGGCTGAAGGTTTTTTTTTCTTCTTTTCAGATCAAGGCAGACTCGATTGGTCTTAAACCCTTTTGATAGTAATCGAAGTAGATCTCCCCATAGTTCTTTATTGATTTGTACAACCTTGGTCTCACCTCAGACACAGGCCCATCTATAGGCTGAATCTCTTTGTCTGCATCAGCATTGCAAAACGTTGCCACGGATATCCTTTCCTTTTCTTTGTTTGTCACTACTCTATGAATCACACTCTTGTATATCCCATTGCTCATTATCTGACATGCATTGATAGATTATGTAAAACTTAGCTAAACCAATCAATCTTCAAGAATCATATGCATATATACATGATTGATTACCTACCTCGGTCATATCTCCTACAAGGATCAGAAATGTATCCTGGAGGGTTGGAGCTTTATACCACTTTCCATCTTTGAGGAACTGAAGTCCTTCAGCATTTTTGTCGGGTAAGAGGAAAGTGAAGGCTGAGCCATCAGCGTGCGGTTTAAACCCAAGAACATTGTCCACTCTTGGACATGGAGGATACATGTTGAATCTTGTCTCCATTGTAGCATTTTCCCCACACATCTCTAGAAAACAATTATCTTCCAACTGTAACGATCTCGCTATTGCCTTGAACAATTTCTCAGTCATTACTTGTTGCTTCTTTGTGTATTCTTGTAAAGTTTCCCTAAAGAAACGATTGCCAAAATCATGCAAGTCAACGAACAAAGATGATATTGGAGTCAACTAAAAAAATGCTCCAATTCATACTAAATCAAAGCTTTTAACAGTAATAAACAAAATTAATAAAAATAACTTTCTGTTTCCAAAAATATGTATTTACATAATTGGACCTTCTCAATAAATTTTACTATAAGAGTTTCTTGTTGGACGTATATGTTTAAAATAAAGGGCACTTAATGCTTTCATATGGACTTTACCTGAATGCGACCGGGACTTCAGGTCAGAATTGAAGCTGACGTTGATCTTCAGGGTAAGTCATGAGGTACAAGCGGTCGGTCCAATCTAGAACTTGATCGTCCGTCAGTATCATGTCGTTTCCATAACCTTGATAACCATTAATCTCTCTTGCGTATTTTTGTTTCTCTTCGGCCGGAAGTGCAAAGAATTGCTTAGTTAACTCATAGATCTTGTTGAGAAAGGCTTCTGTAATTCCATGATTCATCACCTGTTTCAGCTAGAAGTTAGATTTCATGATTTCACTGGAACATCTACAGAATTCCATCACTAAGTCTTAAGAGGGACATACGTGAAAAACGCCGCATTCAGAGAGTGCGGAGTGAAGTTTACTTAACTCTTCTCGACCTTCATCAGAAGAAGAGAGGAGAAGACTAAGATCTATGGTCGGAATATCCATTTCCTGCACCATACCATTAAGAGATTGACCTTCACTGTTGTCCGTGTTTGTGTAGAGATATCTTTCCGGTAGTCCTTCGCCGGTTGCAACCACCTCTTGGACAGTCTTGAACTTTGGCTTCTCCATTGATGATATGTTTGGTTTCATGTGGTCGCTTTGGTATTTCTTAACTTAAAGATAACACTATATCAACGTACAAGAAGCAAAATCGCACAGGACAAGTTGCTCAGGACAAAACATGCCGTTTCGTAACATTATCTTATGTGGATTGGATTCTAGCATATTATAGTGTACATATATATATATATGTCATAATGTAGAATTAACGCGTGGAAATAACAAAAGAGTGAATTTGCCAAATAACCGTACTTGCAAAATCGATCGTTTATGTATATTTTAATTTGTAATTATTTTATACTGGAATGTGTTTTTGCTAAAGATGGAAAACCCACCTAAATCGAACCAAACGAATTATATAATAACCTAAATAGATATACTTAATTATACTGATTTTTTTTTTTCTTTCGAATCGAATCCATTTACAAAAAAAATTCTAACTGAAGTAAGCGAATTATTCAAAAGTTATATTGACAACTTTAAATAAACCACAGTTTCTTACAAGAATATGCATAGACATTAAAATATCAATTCAAAAGGGAAAAATCAATTTTTATTTCTATATTTTATCCAATTTTGTTGTTGTTGTCTTCTCGCATGATTGGAAAAGGGGGGAAAAAAAAAGTGTAGTTTTCAAAGAAATCAAATAATCAACAATAATCAATGCCAAATATAGACATTATATTCAACAACAGCATCTCCACTTGTAGCATTGAAGACAAAAGTCTTGGCTTGTGCATATCCTCTTGCCAACCTAAAAGCTCCCGTGCCACCGATGATCGGCATCTCTTTAACCTTCAAAGTTGCCGAATTCCAGCCATACAACGAGACGGTGCTACCAGCAAACTTGCCCTTTGTGAACACCAAGTTAAAAGTCATAAGCAGACCAACTTGTTTTTTGTCGGTCGATGTGTACATCCCTTGGGGCCTCCCAACTTCCTGCGAGGTTATATCGGGCCCCACCGTCAATAGGTCATCAACGACTGAAACTGTACCGAAACCGGTTGCGGAGGAGTTTGTGGTGGGACCCCTAGCGACTGGAACGGCGGTGGGGTTGTCTCCGGAGACAATATCGTGGAAGTAGAAGTGGATGTGTGTTAGCTTCTTCGGCTTATGTTCTTGATATGGTGCCTTCACTGTTGTTGAGTAACCTTCGGGTTCTGTAATGGTGGCGGCGAGAACAAAAGCTGAGAAGAGAGGAATAAGAAGAAGAAGAAGTCTAGCCATCGCAAAGTTGGTCGTTCTACAAAGTTAACGTTGCTTGTTGTAAAAATGGGATGGGTATTTTTTCGAAGTTGCTTGCATAATTTATAAACGAAACAGAGTAGTTTTTGAGAGAAAAAAATGTATATTTTCTAACAAGACATATTTGTATTTGCTTAATAATGAGAGGAAAACAAGAAGGCGACATGCTAACAACAGTATTATATTAGCTTGATTTATAACTTCAAAAACAAGCAAGCCGAATGCTAACAACCAAAATGTCCGCCCATAAAGCAGCTAAAGCATTGGATTTAGGCCACCAATAAATATATATATTTCAAAGGCCACATTTACCAAATGTTCCTATAGTTTAGTGGTTACATAGCTCTTTATTCTTCAGACTGTTAATGGTTCGAAGCCTCCCAACACCATTTCGTCACCTATTTTTTATTTATTTTTATTTAACTATTAGATAATTTTTTTTAAAAAGAATATATTAAAATTTGCTTGAGGCCACAAAAAACCTTGGGCCGGCACTGTGTCCATTGATGTGGATCGAATCTTGGAATATTTTATACTAGCATGTTTTGCATGGGCTGGAGGCTGCAAATATGTGTGGTTATTTTGTAAATTATAGACATGGTTCAATTTTACAAAAATGAGAGCATATTTGATAAAATATAAAAATATATAAATGATAAATAACCAAGATTTTTTTTTTTGCGAAGCTACAATCCGTGGTTAATAAGACAAAGTAACGTAACACTAAGAAAAAACGAAAAAGTGTTAATTTCCCAAGTAGGCATATTTGAATCAAAAGTGGAAATTGTAATATAGTAATCATCAACACATTGGAATCAAAGATATTCATCTCTAGTGCGTCTCCAAAGGTTTGTTTTGCTCTATGCTTACGCATAAATTATTTTGCTCTTCGTTTGATCATTCAGTTGGATCATCTGACTAGATTATTTGAATGATGTTCGTTTAACAACAAAAATGAATAACATTCAAATGATTCATCCAAATGATTCATCCAAATGAGTTTTGAAATTATAGGCAAAAATTTTCATATTCAGATGGATCATCTGGCTGATCCGAGTTGGAGCATCTGGATGAGAGATGATCCATCCCAAATATGCAAATGACTCATAAATCCCTAAATATATTTACATATGAAAAATATTTATAATATTTTTTTAATCAAAACTAAGTTATCAAAATTATTCGCAAAATTATATTTCCCCGTCTAAACTATAAATTACGTTTTTCCGTAAAAGCAAATAAACATTTTCTGCCAAAACCGAAAAATTATAATTTCCCGCCAAAACCGCAAAATAACATTTTTCGCCAAAAAGCAAAAATACCGTTTTTCCACCAAAACCACGTTTGTTCACCGAAATCGCAAAATGACGTTTTCCACCCAAACCGTAAAATAACGTTTTTCTGCTGAAATCGCAAAATCGCGGTGTTCCGCCAAAACCGCAAAATTGGGTTGTTCCGCCAAAACCATAAATTCGCATTGTTCCGCCAAAATCGTGTTTTTCCGCTAAAACCGCAAAATCGAGTTTTTCCCCAAAACCGCAAAATTGTGTTTTCTCCCAAAACCGCAAAATCGAGTTTTTCCGCGAAAACCGCAAAATCGTGTTTTCCCGCTAAAAGAAAACCGCAAAAACGTGTTTTTCTACCAAAACCGCAAAATCGCGTTTTTCTGCCAAAACCGCAAAATCGTGTTTTCTGCCAACACCGCACAATCGCGTTTTTCCGCCAACACCGCAAATCGTGTTGTTCCGCCAAATCCACAAAACGTATTTTTCCGCCAAAACCGCAAAATTGTGTTGTTTTTTTTTGCCAAAACCCCCAAAATTGTGGTGTTCCTCCAAAACCACAAAATCAATTTTTATGCCAAAAACGCAAAATAGTGTTTTTTTCTACCAAAACCGTGGAATTTCCATCAAAGCCTAGAAATTGTGTTTTTGTGCTGAAAGCGCAAAATTGCGGTTTTCCGCTTAAACTGCGAAATCTCTGCTGAAACTGAGAAATCATGTTTTTCCGTTTAAACAAAAAAACTCGCAAAGTAGTAGATTTTCGCTTAAACCGTAAAATCATATATTTTCGTCAAAACCACAAAATCGTGCTTTTCCGTTTAAACAGAAAACCCCGTTTTTCTACCTAAATCACAAAATCGTGTTCCGCTTAACCGTAATTTCATATTTTTTATGTTGAAACCACAAAATCGTGTTTTTCCGCTTAAACCGAGAAATCACGTTTTTTGTAGATACCGCAAAATCGTATTTTTCCGTTTAAACTGCAAGTAATTTCGTGTTTTTCTGTTAAAACCGCGTTAAATCGTATTTTCGACCAAAAGTGTGAAATCTCGTTTTTCTGTTAAAACCACGAAACTAGATTTTGTTGTGTTTATTTTTTTGAAAATGATTACAAACTTTATGATTGTTGGGATTACAAGAATCTGATATGTGAAAACATTGGATTATAGTTTATAAGGGGGGTGTATTGGAAAAGGGATTTTAAAGATTTTAGGTGATTTTGAGGTTATTTTAAAAAACCCTGTTATTCAAATAAGGATTTTTAAATGTCATTTCAAATTCAGTGTTATTGAATATGGAGTTTTAGAAAGATCATTTAAAATCACTTACCAAACCCTGTTATTGAATTAGTCATTTGTAAATCTTAAATCAAATCCACTGTTATTCAAAATAAACAATTATTTGGGGGAAAACTTGTCATATGATTTTTAGGAGATTTAACAACTATTTTTGTGACAAGAATATGGCCAACGAAAATAACACCCACTGAGATGTGATTTGAAGAAGCTTTATAAAAACCAATTATAAAAAAATTGAAAGGACAAATACATGCCATCGTTTCCAATGGAGACAACTCACTTATCTGTTTTCATCTCTCTCTGATTCCTATGGAGATTGCTGTGTACGAGCATGAATACTGATGGAAACCATTTGCTTCCCCTCACCAATGCAATCAAATCTCTTCCTCAAATTCGTATCTTTCTTCCTTCTCATCAGTCTCGTTTCACGCCGGAGACACTTCCCTCTTCAGGCACAGGCTCAAACGCGCTTTCGTCTCCGCCGAAAGATCCGATTTTGCTCGAATTCGCGTTTGAGCTTGTCACCAATGTCTCTCTGATCCCGCGTTCGATCCTCGCCTTCTCTCTCGTATGATCCTTCCGGTGCCCAATGTGAATTACCTTCTCTCAGAGATGGAAATCTCCCGATTGCGATCTCCCTTAGGTTTAACCCTGCCCAATTCCTCGACAAAATGAGGAAAAATTGTGGGAATAAATGGTGGGATTTCATCGGCGATTCCATCTCTCGTAACTGCCCATGTTCAATCCCTCATTTTGAGAAATAACTAACTTAATCTACTTGTTGACTCTTGACTAACTTGATTATACGATCAATACAAAGAAGAATGGAAAAACAGAAAGAAGAACATGAACAAGGTCTCTGCATCGGTCTTGTTATGTGTACATCGACAAATGAGAAGTGTAAACGATGACTTTTTTTATGAGCCGAACAAAGGAACTTTGTTTTATGGAACTTTGTTTTATGGCGGCCATTGTTCATCTTTAGAGATGGCAAAGGTAGTGAAAAGGGAGAAGAGATAAGAATCTCAGGATAATCACCCAAAATGATAAGATCATTTAAAAAGTCATTTAAAATCCCATAAGAATCATCCAAAATCCTCTCAAAATATTTTCTTAAATCTCCTTAAATCCCATCAAACTCTTTTGAAATCTCCTAAAATCTTTCAAATCACCTAAAATGCAAAATCATTCAAAAGCACCTCAAATCTTTAAAATCCTTTTTCCAATATACCCTCCTAAAGTTATGTTTTTTTTGTGTCAAATCAAAATAGGGATATTTTCGTCATTTTATCTATTACAAGCAACTGAATGATACATCTAACTGAATAAACGAACAAGAGATGCATCTGACTGAACCATCTAGATGCATCATCTGGATGAGAGTAAAAAAAAGCAAACAACATCCAGCTGCTTCATCTAAATGATCCATCTAGCTGAATCATCCAGCTGGAGAATCCAACTGTTTAAACGAACAGGGCCTAAGTCATAATACATTCTCAACTAATACACGTAGGATTTCATAATAAATTATTGCCTTATTTGAAACCGTGCTATGTTCTACTTTACAAGTAATGTATTTCATCCAAGATTTGTATCGTTGACTAGATCCTGCAATGCTTCTACAAACTTATCGGTGTAACCGGTTAGTAATCCAGGACTAACCAAAATCTCCTTCAATTTGACGTGGTTTCTCCTAACCAGATTCCCAATCTCGCTATCTTTGTCCATCACAGATCTGATTGCACCACTCAAGCTCTCCTTCGTGAACCATCCTGTTTCTTCTCTCTCCACCTCTACGGAGACCTCGAGTTCCTCGGTCATCAACCTTGTGTTGAGAACCTGATCATTCAAATACGGAAGCAAGACTATTTGACAATCACTCATTAGAGATTCCCACATTGATCCAAACCCGCAATGGCTCACAAAGCAGCCTACAGATGGATGAGCCAATATCAATGGTTGCTGCACCCATTCTCCCCAAACCACTCCACGTCCCTTCACTCGCTCCTCGAACCCTTCTGGTAACGCTTCTTGAACAGTCTTTGCGCCTTTTGGTGGTGTTACCGCTACAAGAAATGGTAAACCAGTGAGCTCTATTCCTAAACAGAGTTCTTGGAATTGGTCTTTCTCTAGAGTGATTTGACTTCCCAATGCACAGTACACTACAGAGCCTGGTCCAAACCCACTCAGCCAGTGACTCCATTGATCTTCAAGTGGTTTACTCTTTTCTTGCTCAGGAAGCAATGGACCCGTCAAGAGAACTTTCCTCTGGTATTGACGCTCGATATAGTCGCAGAATTTACCTTCAATTTCTCCGCACGTCCTAATCGATATGATATCGCAATTAGTAAGACCTGTGGTGACACGATGATAAAACCTCTTGTAGTATACGGAGAAGGACAACAAGGCATGAGCATCATGTGCACGGTACACGACCGTTGATGAAGGATAACCAGGTGGAGGAACTCCTAGTTCACCACCAGGGACAAGGTCATGAGCTATAGAGTTAGCTGATATCACGTTGTACATCACACTCTTGACTCTATACTCTTTAGCTATTTCCGGAACCCAATGAGCAATATCGAACAAGATCAGGTCCGGTCTCAAAGCACCAACCGCGGCTTCGAGCTGATCACGTGTCAGATCCATGGCTGCTGACAAGAACTTCACTAATGAGGTGGGGATATCCGAGGCGGTCTCGGCCCCAGCAGGGAGACCATCAACAGGAGGAATAGTAAGAGGGTGAAAGAAGATACTGTGTGGGAACAGATTGAGATGTTCCAACTGTTTCTGAGCTTTCTTGGGCAGCAAGAAAGTAACCCTATGCCCTTTCTCTGCTAACTTGTTGGCTAAATGCAAGAACGGAGTCATATGACCAAAAGCAAACCATGGGAACATAAAAGCATGAAACTTTTGTTCCATCTCTCTTTCCCAAATTGTGGAAACAGAAGCAAAACACAAATCGTCAAAGAGAGCCAAAACAATGAACTTTTGTTGTGTTTCAACTTACAAGCATAATTTACTTTGGGTTCCTTAATTATTAGAGGTTGATTGATGATTTAGTTTAATTATTTGTTTGGTTTAGTGGGTAAGTAGTGGATTGCATGTGCCATGTGCCGTTGTCTTTTGTCCTTATTTGAAATGTTGTTTGATTTACAAATTAATCTTAGAGAAAATGCAATGAAAGGGGTATCAAAGATGTCGAAATTCACTGACACACTTGTACTCTTGTCGGGACATATTTTTAACATAAAACGGACGAATAAGCAAATGCCAATGTTATTGTTGCATGGATGAGGAAACTCAAATGATAAATCCAATTAACCATATGCCTTTATAAATTTATGCTTCTATGTATCTTGGAAGAAAAAGATTCCACTATTTATTTCAACAACATAATAACAAATAGGTTTGGTGACATTAATACAATTGGGATAGTTAAAGCATCACACATGCTAGCCATAGCGTTCTTCTACTCTCTGATATTTATTTCAACCTTAAAAACTACATGCCACTCGTGTCTTTATTTGCATATCAAAAGCAGATGCAGAAACGGAGTCATGTGACTGATGTCTTGCGTTTTGATGCATTTTAACCGATGTTTTCTCGAGTTTATCGAGTCTTTTGAGTCTTTTGAGTCTTTATCAAGTCTTTTCAGGTCTACAGACGTTCTGGATAGAGTTTCTATCACAAGGAGTAACAAGAAGTCGAACGGAGCAAAAAGGAGAACGAAGTCAGCAAAGACCGATCGAATCCCGCAAGGAGGTCGATCGATCCTCCAAGCGACTCACAGCTCGATCGAATCTAGACGGGCCAGCGTAGCTCAATCGACCTCACGTAGCAACATGGTGCAGCTCGATTGATTGCATGTGCATCCCTGCCATGCATCGATCGATCTCAGCCGTCCGATCAAACCCACTCAGATGATATCACAACCGTTCGATCGATCTCCTCAACCGTTCGATCGATTCCCGATTTTGTCATCTCAAACCGGATTGAACCGAACTCGACCCCGGAACTATTTTAGACCTACTTTCAGCCATTGTTTTGGCTACACTGTTTTTTAGAGTTTTTCATTGTTTCTGAGGAAGAAGATTTCGAACCTTTGTGACACAGTTTGGAGAAACTTTCTGAACCCTCTTGTTTTACTGTTTCTTATTTCTATTCGATGAATTCAGTTTCAACTATTTATGTTAATTGTTTCGTCATGTCCGAGTAGTCGCCTTACTGAATCTAGGTTTTTCAAAGGAGTTCATATGTTGATTAAACTAAATACAAATAGGGCTCTATCATACTGTCTTCGCCATTATTGAGTTTAATGCTTAGATTGAATTGATCACTTAATCTCTGATCTTAGGTTAATCTATTCATAAAAAGTGCAATAGGTTGCTAGAACGAACATTGGTGAGCAAATTGTCCTTAGCCTGCGAAAATTGATGCTAAGGCGATTTGTGAACATATCGAACTTGTTCATACTGCTTGTCTTCGGTTGCTAGATTCAAACGACAGTTTAGACATCTAGATTGCTAGGCAAGCTGTTAAGATCGTGACAGCGGATTAACATACTTTCATGTTTGAGTTCGAGACCTGCTTTTAATTTGTGCCATGAATAGTTGTTTGGTTGTTAACCATGAATCTCCTGCGAATTGCCTCGATCTAGTGCTTGTTTTAATTGAGTTTACATCGTCGTTTACATTCGTTACTTGTTACCAAATCAAATCATTCTTGTCTTAGCTCTGTTTTAAATCTTTTAGGTTCATAGCGTAACACTGGTCCTCTGGATTTCGAATCATTTATATTACAACTTCATCACTCTACACTTACAATAGAGAAAATGATCTATTTTTAGATTATCAGTGACCAAAAGCGAACCACGGGAACATAATGAAACTTTAACCCCATTTCTTTTACAAACTGTCAAAGTTCAAAAAAAAAAAACACACATACACACACACATTGTATAAGAGATCCAAGAAGTTGTGTATAATGCTTCCTTTTCTATATGAAAATACTGCTTCTTTGCTTTTCTTCGTCTCTTGCTATTATTGTTCTGCACTGAAACGCCCCTATATGAGCTGAGAGAAAGGTTAGGAGAGTGGACTAGGTTAATCATCCATTAAAATGACATAAACGATGAAGTCTCCTTTAAACCTTTTTTATATAAGTAACTTTCTTTTGTTTTGTTCTGAATACTTATATGTTTTTAGTGCTAACCTTTTCTATATAACTGGTTGCAGTATCCAACATGTGGTCCAACATCATCAATAAGAAGAGAAGATTACACTCTCTTCTCCTCTTTGATTATATACATGATCAATAATAAAGAACAACGAAGAAAATTAATGGCTCAATTAACATACACGCTTTTACATTATTATTTTTATCAATTATAAATAACTTACAAAGAAAAAAACGAAATAATAGAAATACAATCTAAGAAATTAAATATCAAAACATGAATAGAGAATTAGAGATTGAATTAATACCTAAAGTTTTTTGTCCACAAATGCCATATGACGTCATTTGTGGCTAACCTAATTTCGTTACAACGAATTTTATTCATATTTCCTCTTCTAGACAAGAGTCTCTAATGCTTCTACGTACCTATCAGCATAACCACTCAGTAGTCCAGTTCTAACCAGCGACTCCTTCCATTTGGCATGGTTCCTCCTCACCAGGTTCCCTAGCTCGCTGTCTTTATCCATCACAGACCTTATCGCACCGCTCAAGCTTTCCTTCGAAAACCATCCTGTTTCCTCTCTTTTCACCTCCACCGAGATCTCTAGTTCATCGCTCATCAGTCTAGTGTTAAGTATCTGTTCACCCAAATGTGGAACAAACACTATCTGACAGTCATTCACTAAAGACTCCCACATTGACCCGAACCCGCAATGGCTCACAAAGCAGCCTGTTGATGGATGAGCCAATATCAATGGCTGTTGCACCCATCCTCCCCAAACCACTCCGCGTCCCTTAACACGCTCTTCAAACCCTTCTGGTAAGGCTTCTTGAATTGTCGATGAGCCTTTTGGTGGCTTTACAGCTACAAGAAATGGTAAACCTGTCAGCTCCATTCCTAAACATAGCTCTTGGAATTGTTCCTTTTCAAGAACGATTTGGCTGCCCAATGCACAGTATACTACTGATCTTGGTTCGAACTGGCTTAACCAGTGAGCCCATTGATCCTCTAGTGGTAAACCTTTGTCCGGCTCAGGAAGCATTGGACCAGTCAAGAGAGCTTTTCGTTTAAATTTGCTTTCGACGAAGTCGCAGAATTTTCCTTCCATTTCTTGGCAAGTCCTTATCGAAATGACATCGCAGTTTGCAAGCCCTGTCATGATCCGTTCGTAAAACGTAGTTCCATCCCCAAACGGATAGGAGAGGAACGACAAGGAGTTGGTTTCTTGTCCGCGAAGCAACACCTTTGACGAAGGATATCCCGGTGGAGGAAGAGCTAACTCATCTGGACTACGACCAGGGACAAATGAGATAGCCACACATGCTGCGGAAACCGTTGCGTAATGCACACTCTTGGCTCCATACTCTCTAGCTATTTCTGGAATCCAGGGAGAAAAATCGAAGAAAATCAGATCCGGCTTACCGATAATAACCGCTTTTTCTACCTGATCACGTGTGCGATCCATAGCCGAGGCGAGGAAACTCCCTAACGTGATTGGTATATCCGCGGTTGTCTCGGCGCCAGGAGGGAGGCCATCCACAGAAGGGATGGTAATAGTGTGAAAGAAGATGCGATTTGGAAACAGATTAAGAGGTTCGAGTTGCTTCAAAGCTTTCTTAGGCAACAAGAAAGTGATTTTGTGCCCTTTCTCAGCTAGTTTGTTAGCAAGATGCATGAATGCAGTCATGTGACCAAAAGCAAACCATGGGAACATAAAAGCATGAAACTTTGAACCCATTTTCTTTCTTCAATTGTCAAACACACACACACACACACGCACAAAAAGAAAGATTATTCAAGAGATCCAAGATGAAATATTGCTTTTTTGTTTTTCTTCGTGTCTTGCTTTGGTTGTTCTGCATGCACCGAAACGCCATATATAAGGTTGGAGAAAGGTTGGGTGAATCAAGTAGGTACATTAATTGTCTATGAAAATATAGGTGAATCTGTTTAATTAGTACGTGAATCAAGTAAATCAACTGTCTATGAAAACATAGGTGAATCAAGTAGGTAAATAAATTGTCTATGAAAACATATAGGTGAATCAAGTAGGTAAATAAACTGTCTATGAAAACATATAGGTGAATCAAGTTGGTAAGTAAATTGTCTATGAAAACATATAGGTGAATCAATTATCTGTGAAAAAAAAAGTAGGTTAATCTGATGCTACGGTGTTTGTGAAAACTGATGATACTTCTTCATTTTCAGAAAAAGAAAAGGGCAAGTTTGCTCCTGTTTAAACTTCTAACCTGTATACATGATCGTCAGAGACATTATGTGAATCAAAAGCGTCTAAACGGGTATGTACATCGGGATTTAGTGGACTAGGTGAGTAGGTGGTCGGACACGTACGTGGTCCAACATCATCACTAAGTTGAGAAAAACATTCAAACTAAAGTTAATATGAAAGAGATTTTGCTCCTCTTTTTTTGTTTGTTTATACTTTTCTCTCCTCTTAGAATGTCTACATGATCAATAAAAGAAGAACAACATTAAAACGGAAGAAAGTGACTCATTTAATTGACACGGTTTTATATTACCAATTTTATCTTAAAAACGAAATAATAGAAATACAACATAAAAAAATTAAAAAAAATCTGATTAGAGATTGAATTGTACTAAATAGGAAACACTTTTTAGTAAATACAATAAAAAATCAAAATGGAAAAATGGTAATTTTTAAAGAACTACTGTTAAAAAGAATAAATATAGTGTTCTTCGGTTAGATAAAGGAAGTGACAGTAAATTTAAAATTTTATAAAAATATATGGGTGATTCTATATATATTTCAACATTTTGGAGAATAAGTTTGCGTTTCTTTCAATTTATTTTCAAAAGTTTAAATGGTTATATTTTTATTCAACTATTCGTATTGTACACATTTTAATATTAAAATTTCTTGTAATGAAGCCGTTGGATATAATAAATCAGTTAGTTAAATTAGAATTCAAAATTATTTGCGAGAGAAGGCTCAATCTTTCATCCATATGATGTCATTTGTCGCTAACCAAGTTTCATTACAAAGTATTTTTAATTCAAAAGTTTGCTCTACTAGACTAGATTTTCTAATGCTTCTACAAACCTATCAACATAACCATCCACGAGTCCATTACTAACAAGCGACTCCTTCCATTTAGCATGATTCCTCCTTACTAGGTTCCCTAGCTCGCTGTCTTTATCCATCACAGACCTTATCGCACCGCTCAAGCTCTCCTTGGAAAACAAACCTGTATCTTCTCTTTTCACCTCCACCGAGAGCTCGAGTTCCTCACTCATCAGTCTAGTGTTAAATATTTGCTCACCCAAATGTGGAACAAACACTATTTGGCAGTCATTCACTAAAGACTCCCACATTGACCCAAACCCGCAATGGCTCACAAAGCAGCCTATTGATGGATGAGCCAATATCAATGGTTGTTGCACCCATCCTCCCCAAACCACTCCACGTCCTTTAACCCTCTCTTCAAACCCTTTTGGTAGGGCTTCTTCGATTGTCGATGAGCCTTTTGGTGGCTTTACCGCTACAAGAAATGGTAAACCTGACAGCTCCATTCCTAAACATAGTTCTTGGAATTGTTCCTTTTCAAGAACAATTTGGCTACCCAATGCACAATATATCACTGATCTTGGTTCGAACTGGCTTAGCCAGGAACTCCATCGGTCCTCTAGTGGTTTACTATTATCCGGCTTAGGAAGCATTGGACCAGTCAAGAGAACTTTTCTTTGAAATTTACTTGCGATGAAATCGCAGAATTTTCCTTCCATTTCTTGGCAAGTTCTTATCGAAATGACATCACAGTTTGCAAGTCCGGTCATGATCCGTTCGTAAAACGTTGTTCCATCCCCAAACGGATAGGAGAGGAATGACAAGGATTTGGTTTCTTGTCCGTGAAGCAACACCTTCGACGAAGGATATCCCTGTGGAGGAGAAGCTAACTCATCTGGACTACGACCAGGCACAAATGAGATAGCTATACAAGCTGCGGAAACCGTAACGTAATTCACACTCTTCGCTCCATGCTCTCTAGCTACTTCTGGAATCCAGTGAGAAAAATCGAAAAAGATCAGATCCGGTTTACCAATAGAAACGGCTTTTTCTACCTGATCACGTGTACGATCCATAGCTGAAGCAAGACAGCTCCCTAACGTGAATGGGATATCTGCGGTTGTCTCGGCGCCAGGAGGGAGGCCATCCACAGATGGGATGGTAATAGTGTGAAAGAAAATGCGATTTGGAAACAGATTGAGAGGTTCGAGTTGCTTCAAAGCTTTCTTCGGCAGCAAGAAAGTGATTTTGTGCCCTTTCTCAGCTAGTTTGTTAGCCAGATGCAGAAATGCAGTCATGTGACCAAATGCAAACCATGGGAACATAAAAGCATGAAAATTTGACTCCATTTCTGTTTATGCTCCTCAGTTTTTTTCTTCTAATCTTGCTCGTTTTTATGTTTCTGTTTATAAGATTTTAGCTGCAAATGACCTGAAGTTTAGGAGATTGGTCTTTTGAATTGAATCATTCAAGTTTTCTATGAATAAGCCAAATTTTTAGTTTCGTTTACTATCTATTTTAGATGACTTGATTTTGTGATTTCCTTTTTTCTTTTTTTACTTCCAGAGATTTCTCCTAATCTATGGTGCAACAATTACCATGCTTAACAAATGTATCTCGTTGCAAAACTCGAGTTAAATTTAACCAAACCAAATCAAATTAAACAGAACTAAATCCGAAGACTGAATATTGTATATCATTCATGCCTTTACAAGATCTATTAGGTTTTGTTCAAACTTATCGATATAACCATCCGCAAAACCAGAGTCACTCAAAACACATCTCCACTTCTCATGATTCTTCCTCACTTTCTCACCGACAACACTACCTTCCACCATCACACTCTTCACAGCATCCTCCAAGCTCCGCCGCGAGAACCAACCATTCTCTTTCCTCTCCACCTCCACCGCCAACTCCATCTCCTGCGTCATCAGCCTAGCGTTCAGTATCTGTTCACCGTGCTGCGGCACCAAAACGACTTGACAATCACTCATCAAAGACTCCCACATCGAACCAAACCCGCAATGGCTAACGAAACATCCCACCGATGGATGGTTCAACACCAACGGCTGCTGAATCCAACCTCCGTACACAACGCCACGTCCTCGAACCCTCTCTTTGAAACCTTCCGGTAACGCTTCCTCGACGGTTGATACACCAGAAGGAGGCTTAATCGCTACAAGAAACGGTAAACCGGTTGATTCTAGCCCTAAACAGAGTTCTTGAAACTGATCAATCTTGTCTACAACGGGTTGGCTACCGAAAGCGCAGAACACAACAGAACCAGGGTTGAATTTGGCTAACCAGTCCGCCCATCGAGGCTCTAAGGACCGCTGGTTCGGTTCGGATCCGGGGAGTACCGGTCCGGTTAAGTAAACAGGTTTGCCGTATTGGCTACTGATGTAATCGCAGAATTTGCCTTCCGTCTCACGGCAAGTCCTAATAGCGATGGCGTCGCAGTTTCTCATCGCGGTAACTTTCCCTTCGAAGAAAGATCCAATTCCGTCGTGCTTCCTCCACACGAAGCCTAGGGTTTTTGCTTCGTGTGCAAGCAAGACGACTTTTGAAGAAGGATAACCTAGAGGAGGTTTAGCTAACTCCTCCCCTGACATTTCCTTCCCATCAATGACCTCTCTCTCAGCAGCAGGGACAAGAGACAGCGCGATCGACGCAGCGCTCACGATGTTGAAGCAAACGGTTTTAGCGCCAACCGGTTTAGCAACTTCAGGTATCCAATGGGCGGAATCGTAGAAAACCAAGTCTGGTTTGATTGTACCGAGAATGGTCTCCACCTCTGGCCGGGTTTCGTTCATTGCAACTGCAAGCAAATGGGTCAAGAAAAAGGGGACGTCAGAGTTGGTTTCCGCGCCAGGAGGAAGACCTTTGACGTGAGGGATGGAGATAGTGTAGAAAGAGATGAGATCTGGGTGGAGATTAAGAGGTTCGAGCTGGTTCAAGGCTTTCTTGGGAAGCAAGAAAACGATCTTGTGGCCTTTCTCTGCGAGCTTGTTGGAGAGGTGAAGAAAAGGAGTCATGTGACCAAAGGCTAGCCACGGATACATCACAATCCTCATGCTTGACGATCCATTCGATCCAAAATCACCCATTGTTTTAGTTTCTTTTTCTTGTCGTTTTGTAATTTCTTTTCAATCAAAACAAAATCTTTTTCTTTTATGTTTCCTATGTGTTTGCGTATTTTGGACGTAAATAAATATGAGAAATTGCGAACCGATTGGTTGGTCGCTTCTCGTGGTGGCTATTAGCCAACGAAGTGGCTCGGCAAGTAGCTGCCTGGTAAGTGCAAACACGTGGTAATCGCATCACTATCAGCAAACAAAAAAGACAAAACTTTATGTGATGAGAGATGGGCTTATAAGACTCAGCCCATTTTCAAACAAATGAATAGCGCAATTTAAAATCGTTACTCCTTGAAACACATTTATTTATGAATTTACTGCAAGAGTTACACTACTTGTATAAAGTATAAAACTTACAAGTTTTAATTCAAGTTTGTTATAACGTTTTGACACTTCAAGTGTAACCTTCAAACTAAGTTTAGCGCATATGTTACACTATAAATTATTAGTTTGCTTATGATACCTACATTAAAAAAAAAAGTCAAAAACCCTAGCACTATGGAACGTAGCATCCAAGCCCTACTCTCAACGATTCTAATCGTGACTCTATATTCTACAACTCTATTGCAACTCGGGATTGCTGAGGTTAACGTGACACCTCGACTTCCTTTCATTCCTGCCGATGTCTCAAAATGTTGGTCATCGCTCTTCGACGTTCAAGGTTGCGTGATCGAAATCTACAACTTTTCTATAACCCGCAAGACCGAAAATCTCCGATGGCCGTGCTGCAAGGCGATCTTGCATGTGGATACTAACTGTTGGCCTAAAATGCTCCCTTTGACTCCGTTGTTCCCTCCTCTTCTCAAGAATGTTTGTGCTCGCGTCAACGGAGGTGTTGGCAGTGACAAGAAACCTCAAGTCCCTACCATTCCTGGGTTTTCTCTTCCCGGTTCTCCGGTTGATGTCAAGAAATGTTGGTCATCACTCATCAGCGTTGAAGGTTGTGTAACTGAAATCTACAAATCAGTTTTCACAGGAAAGTGTGAAAATGTTGGAGCAGTGTGTTGTAAGGCAGCTTCGGCTTTGGATGCAAAGTGTTGGCCACATATGTTTCCACTAAACCCGCTCTTCCCTCCTCTTCTCAAAGATACTTGTTCTCGCATCAACGCAGCCACGCCTACACCCACGTGAAGTGAAAGTAATTAAACCGTCATCGAAAATGCTCTATATTAAGATTATCACAACTTGTACTACTTATATTCAAAAAAAATTGAATTCCAAGTGAAATATTATATCGTTAAAAAAATTATTCTATAAAATAAAATAAAAAGTCAGTGTCAACAACTTAAATAGTTTATATCACATTTCCACCAAGTTTAAGGCTAACATGACCACCAACGCCCTCTCAAGTCCAGTATCCAAAAGAAGACTTGAGAAAAGTGTTTTTTGTTAGTCTTTATGATAAATTATGAAAAGCAAGATAAACCGATTTCTGGGAAAATTTAGAAACACTAAAGTTTTGATGGGGTTTGTTTTTAATAAATTCTTCCAGCGTATACGTTGATTAAGGGCGGTTTATAACAATCACGACAACCGCTTTGAATCGCTCTATACCACTCTGTACCGCTCAATACCGCTGAAAATCAAAAGCTCCTTTCCGCAAGCGTTTGCGGTTGCGGGTGGATAATTAAAAAAAAAAAAAAAACACAAACTTATATAAAATCCGAAAATAAATAATAATATTTATTAAAAAATAAGATTTGGATAATAAAATCACAATATAAATAAAAAATTAGTACTTTTAGTCAATATTCATTAAAATCATATAATACTTATATATTTATAAGCTCTACAAATCAAAATTCTCATGATAAATATTCTTTCATACTAATACATATATATCTAATAAATAAAATTGTAATATAAATTTAAATTTCACATTAAATATATATTTTGAAATTAAAATCACATTTTTTTATTTAAATTATAGAAATTAAAAGATAGATGTAAGTATTATATACATATTATTCTTTATATATTTTTTTATTATGTTGAACCATAAATTTTAAAATTTTCATTATAATATAGTTTTGATTTTTTATAATTATATAATGTGTTTACATTATTAATTTATTGTTTAACCGCTATTGCATCCGCAAGTGAACCAGTCATAAGTAACCCGCAAACGCATCAATTTTCAATTGTTATGCCAGTCGTTCAAACCGCTTAATAACGCTACTAATCACAACCGCCCGCTTCCGCAAACTCCCGCACCCGCAACCGCAACCGCAGCGGTTAAACCAGTCAGGCCCTAAGTTCGGTCCAAAAGATTTACATATTTTTCACGATACACCAAATACAGTAAAACCACTAGGCATATATATTGGTTTATGTTTTTTAATAGAGTTTAAATCCAACTATAATCTACTAGGTTTGAAGCCCCGCGCAAGCGCGGAGTTGTTTGCGATAGTTTTTCTGTTTAATTTTATTTATACTCGTTGATTTGAATTATGATGGTTTTGTATTAACTTTCATGTTTTTGTTATGTTTTGACTTAACTCAACCACTAACACTAAAAAAATATGAATAATTTGTTTTTTATTTTTATTATTAGGATATTAACACCCCGCTTTATCTCGAGTTTTCTATTTCTAAAATTTATCATGTTATAAATATTATGTTTGTTTACTTTTTTTTTTAACTTCTATTAGACTGTAAACATGTATATATATTTGGTTGAAGGTTAAAATGTATATCCATTTGACTGAAGGTTAAAATTTGTAAACATATTTTCACTACATTAAATTTACATATAAAATTTCATTTCTATTTGTTTAGAAAAACAAACACTCTAATGTGTCATTATCTTTCTATTATTTTAATTAATTTATATTTAATTTTAACTTGTAAACACATTATAACATTTTTAAATATGATAAATCCTTTGAATAAAAAGGTAAATATATACTATTTGAAGTTAAATATTTCTTTACTCCATCTCTATTTTATATTCCAACTTTTTGATAACTTTTAACATCAAATTATCACATACTTTCTATTAATTAATTAATTTATTTGTATATTTTCATTAAATATGAATAAATGTAAAGAAATATGAATAGTCATATATTTAATAAATAATTTAAATACAATTTAATATTTTTATGCTGATGTGGATACTCTAGATGGAGAGAGCATTTCTCCTATTATATATAAGATTGTTATTCAATCATGATTTTTAAATCCTTTAACAAAATCTGGTATTATTGGTTCAAGTATTTAAAATACTTTCATTAAAAGAATTTTAAATCAAGTGTTGTTGGTTCTTGTATTTAAAATCTCTTCATTAAAAGAATTTGAAATCTTGTGTTATTCAACTAAGGATTTGCATAAATCAATTAAAATCTTGTGTTATTCAAGTTCAATAGATTTTGTTCAATAGATTTGACATAAAAGAGTTTGTTTGGATTTGAAATCACTTTCATGTGTGAATTATAACAATCAAAATCCAACATTTTATCCTCAAATTTTGTAGTCAGTTTATTATAATTATAGAATTACAAAATCTGAGAATAAAATGTTGGATTTTATTATAATTATAGAATCCTATTAAAACTTCATTAAGGGTAATAATGTCTTTTCGTTGTCGGTGATATTGTCTTTTCGTTGTCATTTTCTTCATTCATAGTAGCCCTAAAAAAAATAAGAAAAACACGCAGCCACCATTTCGTATCACAGTTCTCTTTTCTAATCTATTCGTTTTAATACAATTTTTCTTCCAAATTTTATAGATCTGACCTACATATATATCAACTTGTAAACAAAAACAAACCCCAAGACAAGTTTCTTCCACATTTTTGAACCGATTTTTGTAAAACCACGGTTTTAGACGCAAGTCCCTCTCTCCCAAAGATGGATCCGAAGAAGAAGAAGCAAAAGCAAAAGGTCAGGAAATCACAAGCAATCACATGTCCCTCTTTCTCAAGGAAGGATTTGGTAATCACAAGTCCCTCTCACGCAAAGATGGATTTGCAAGAAGCAACGAAGAAGCAAAGCGACGTGGCTATGTTCCTTACGCGAAAAGTAATCTCTGCGGTAGCCAGAAACTCTAACTTTGTCTTCTCTCCGGCATCAATCAACGCCGTACTCACCATGGTCGCTGCTACCATCGAAGAAGAAACATTGAGATCCTTTGTCCTCTCCTGTCTTGGGTCTTCCTCATCCGATGAGCTCTATGCTGTTTTCCGAGAAATCTCCTCCATCGCCCCTGTCAACGGTAGTAAGAACGATGGTGGCCCTAAAATCGCTGCGGCTTATGGAGTGTGGATGGAGCAATCAATATCTGTTAAACCCTCTTTGAAGGATCTCTTTGAGAATTTTTTCAAGGCTACTTTCGCTCAAGTTGATTTCAGATTCAAGGTTAGTTTCTCATTTCGCCTATTTCTCTAACTTTCTGCATATAAAAATTTGCTTGATTAAATTAAGTCAATAGCTTTTGTGAAATCGTAAAACAGTTTTCTTATATAAACTGCATGAGATAGGCCGGAAAAAAAAGTGAGGCGGATACTCTTTTCTTTGTCATAGGTTTTGTATTTTGTAACATCATCATGTCCATACAAGTAGGGTTTGTAACAATATATGCTGATTATATACTTAAGTATCATACAATTTTCTGATAAATTAGCTTTGAAACAGGCTGAAAAAGTACGTGTGAAGGTGAATGAATTGGCTTCAAATCAGACTAATGGTCTCATAAAAGAACTTCTTCCTCCTGGATCGGTTAAAAGCGACACCGATTGTATTTATGGAAACGTATTGTACTTCAAAGGAACATGGCAAGACAAATTCGAAAAGGATCTGACAACAAACGAAGAGTTTCACCTTCTCAATGACACCTCAGTCTCTGTGCCGTTCATGAGCAGCGATGAAGACCAATACATAGAGGCTTATGATGGTTTCAAGGTCCTTAAGCTCCCATTTCGACGAGGCAGTGATAGCAATCATAAATTCTCTATGTATTTCTATCTTCCCGACAAGAAAGATGGTTTGGATAATCTTGTCAAGAAAATGACATCAACTCCTGGATTCGTGGATAATCACATTCCGAGATCCAAAGTTGAAGTTGGCGAATTCAGAATCCCAAAGTTTAAGATCGAATTCGGGTTTGAGGCTTCAAAGGCTTTCAAAGAGTTGAAACTGGTTGATGAGATGAAGATTTCGCTGTACCACAAAGCTCGAGATCAATGAAGATGGTGCTGAAGCTTGTTCATACAGTTTTATTCATTGCGTCGAAAATGATGGCTGCATGTGGACGCCGACAATAGATTTTGTGGCTGATTATCCATTTCTTTTTTTGATTAAAGAAGACAAGACCGGAATCGTTTTGTTTGCTGGTCAGATACTTGATCCTTCTGAATCTTCTTTAGCTTAAGATTAAAGGTTTTGTATAACGATTTAAAATTTGGATTTTATGGTAGTTTAAATCTTTTATTACAAATCTTTTGGATAAAAATGTCAAATTTATACCAAAAGAAACAGAGTTTTCACAGTTGCTTTGCAATGCAAGGAGCCAAAAGACCTACTTGAGATTAAAGAGCTGGTAGTAGATAACAATACTAGATGTGTGCGAACCAACTCGATAGGCGACGAGTGCAACATTTGAGGCATCTCCTGTCAAGGAAGGTATCCCCGATGGTGCGGTCGTTTTTCAAGAAGATACATTCTATCCAAATGTGAAAGATTGTTTCTTGCGCACCAAGTTTTCTCAGAGTTGTTGAGAGGCCATACGATTTAGTCATTAGCCCAAGAAGTTAACACCGACTAGTTGGCGAAGAGCCCAATTAGTCAGCCGAGCCTGTCAAGTGCTCTGGGACAGGATGCTTGAACCACACGATCATCTCCCATTCTTTGACTTCGTTGTTTAATGATTCATTGTAAGAGACATTATTGGCTTAGGAACATTATTGGCTTTTGTCGGGTTCACTTGCTGTGTACACATTAAAACGCTGTCTATATACATCATTGTGGGCTATCAAAACCACACTCGAAATTTATAGGTTTTGCAAGGAAGAAACTTAGGGAGATTTAGGGCTAGATTTTGATGTAAGTCGAATGAATCGTAAGCAAGGATTTGGCTAAACGGAATTGTATTAAACGAATGAAAATGGTTACAATGAATTCTCAGAAGAGAGAAAGAACTAAGCTCAAAGGAAAATACAAGGAAAGTATGATAGTAATTAGGTCTAAATGATCGGAAGAAGGTTGTCAAAGTCTCCTTGATCCGACTGCTGTCAAGCTCCTTTTATAGCTCCAGAATCAGCTACGATCCACCTCCGCGTATCTCGCCACGTGCAGCTAACGATCCCGGTGATCTCGGACCAGACCGGATTTGAAGGAGATCTTCTTTGACTTCGTCTTTCTTCGCAGTGCCGACCTGGTCCTTGATCGAGCTGGAGCTCGTCTTTACGTCGACCGGAATAGCTCGGATGGCAGTTAACTGGCTTACGAGGGAGTCGCTTGGTGGGCTCGAGGTCTTCTTGCTGGGCTTGAGTGGGCCTGGACTTCAATCTTGGATCAAGGTAATGGGCCCTTACGGGCTAGATTCCAGGTGTGGAATCTGGGTCCAACAATTGCCCCCCAGCCCTTTTAAGTGAGTTTCGAACTTAAAACGGGCGGTTTGTTTTAATTTCAAAAATTCAAACTTTTGCCGGGCTAAATTCGAATTCCTCGATTCGGGGTATATTCGAGCTTATCCGCAAGGTTTGAACGGGGTAAAAGATCGCGGGGATCTCGTCGTTGGAAATTGCCTTAGGCATTAATTTTTCTTTTCTTCGAGGTGAAGATAAGATCTGGCCGTTGAATCGAGATGAACGGCTGAGATCGCGCAAATCTTGTCAACTCACCTGCAATCTCAAACCGAGCTCCTCGATAACGTATATTGCATATTTTCAAGATTCGAAATGATTATGTTTTCGAATCGGACGGTTCAGATCGAGGAGAGCGAAGAGTCCGTGCGGCTGAGATCTTTGGGACCCACAGCGCGTCACATCATCAGCTCGTCGCATGCAAGCGGTTAAGATCTGTGAGTTGTACGGTCGAGATTCACGCAGAAAAATCGGATTCTTTGCGATCTCTTCAGCAGTTAATGCTGAATATAAACTCGACCCACTACTCTTCTCTTTAACCGTGCCCACGTTTTTGAAAAGGTAACTTCTCCTCTCTCTTTTACTTATTTATTTGCTTTCGAGTTTTAGATTAGATAACTCCAAGTTCTTGAAAATTATCGAACCTTTGCAAACTTTCGAGCATTTAGGTTGTTTCGATTTCGGATTTCTCCAAAAACTCTTTCAACCTCTTTTTCCTCCGTCTCTCCTCCGACTATCATGCCTCCGAAGACGATCGTCAAGCAAGAGAAGGGAAAGGCCGTCGACCTCGGCGGTGACGGGAATTCACGCCGCACGCCGAGACGACGCTCGACGCCGAAAGCCTCGACGCTTCCGGCAGGATTTCGGGATCCCGGATGAGATCGAACTCGTTCTCCGGCTGAGGGAGAGGACCCGGAGCATGTTCGTCCGGGGTTTTGCTGCGCCTATACGTCGTATTGGCGGAGCGCCGGGATGATTTTCCCGGTCCCTCGTTTTCTGATGGAAGCGCTCGCCCATTATAAGATGGCGTTTCCACAGATGCACCCGAGCTTCGTCCGCCACGTGATAGGATGTGCGGTTCGAGCTCGGGAAGAGGGCGTCTCGTTCGGTGTTCGAGATCTGAGAAAGCTTTTCTCGGTGAAGAACAACACCAGGCTTCCCGGGTCGTTTTACTCCTCGCCGAGGCCGAATCGGCGAATATTCACGAACACCCCGCAGAGGGATAGCGGGTGGAGCGACGAGATGTTCTTCTTCCGGGTCAGCGAGGCCACGATGGGCGACTTCGACTTTGGTCGAATCCGAACGGAGTGGGCGACTAGCGTTGGTTAGCTTAGGCCGATTTCCGTTTAGGATAGCGATACCTCGCTTGACTTAGGAATACCTCGTTTATTGATGATTTTTTTTTGTTTGCAGTTGTAGATCCAGTACCAACAACCCGGGGATTGATTACCTCGTCGAGCGACTCGGAAGGGAAAAGGTGAACTGGAGTACTTTTACTCCGGAACGGATCCGTCGAGTTCTCAGCTCTCCTCCTGCTCCTCCTCCAGGTAATAATCTCCCTTGGACCAACTAGAAATTCATTTTACGAACTCTTTATAACGAGCTGTTTTATAAATTTTCCAGCTGATCTTCCGGTTAGATCGGCGCAAGATTCTAGCTCTGCTTCTTCTGTTCCTCCTCTCTCACGCAGATCGAAAATGACCCGTCGTCAGCCTCTCAGATCCCGGACCGCAAAGGGTGCCAAGGGCCTTCCTCGGGTGGAAGTCGAGTTCGTGCCGGCGAGTTCGTAACGGCGGTGGAGGAGGCTATGGCTTCGAAGCCCATGGCGGGGTCTTCTGCCCTTGCCGACCAGGTGGTTGACCAGGTCGACGCGACCGCCGAAGGAGAGGTCGTCCTCTCCCGAGTACGGTTCATGTGAGCTCCGATCGGACTCGGAGTTCGGATCAAGGTCACTCGAGGCAGGCGCCGAAGCGAGCTCGGAGTGACGATGGAGAGACTCGTTCTCGCGAGGGCGGCCCGACTGCCTCGAACGGGAGCGGGGGAAAGCCGCCGTTTTACTGGCAGTACGAGAACTCCAAAGGCTTCCCCGTTCAGGACGACGAGGAGGGAACAGCTCGCATTCAGCTCCACTTCAAGCCCGTCGGATGCCGGCTCCCGTCCCTGAACCAGATGTCTGAGAAGGAGCTCTACATCGCGACGTGCGCTGCGAGTGGGAGGGTAAGAACTGTTTCCCTAGTCAAAACTTTAGACGAGAGTCTTTGTTGGTTTTGGCCTTGGTTGAATTTTTTGTTTTTGTTAGGCTGTGGCAGCTCGTAACATGTTGGTGTCCCGCCTGGAGTCGAGGATCAGAGACGCGCCTCAGCAGAAAGAGCTCGATCAGGTGAAGGAGCTCGTTGCCAAGTTGACCTCCGATCTCTCTGCGGCGAACGAGCGGGTAGCTCGTCAGGGTGAGCTCTTGAAGAAACACACCTCGCAGGAGGGTCGTGTGAAAGAGCTCGAGACCAGGGAGGCCGATCTCTTGCGCCAGCTGTCCCAGAATCAGGAGCAGATGGCGGCTTTGCAGAAGGAGAGCTCGAGTGCGCTGACGCAGTCGCTTCGCCTTAGCCGGGAGAACCAGGTACTCGTCGCCGAGAAGGACAACGTAGCTCGCCGTGCCAACCGCGCAGGTCGGAGGGAGATGGTCGCGAAGCATCGGGAAGTGCTTGAATCGGCTAAGGCAAAGTTCGAGGAGAAGAGGGTGGAAGGTGAGAAGGAGGGCGATCAGATCGAACTCCAATCCAACATCGATCTCCTTACGTCGCTGATCTCCGGTGCGATCAACCAGGAGGAAGAGCTCGCCAGGTTGAAGGGGCTCGAGGATGAGGTGGCCGAAGCAGCCAAGGCGGCCCAAGTCTCCGATTTCTCGATCGGGAAGTTCAACCTTCCCGTGGTTTCGGAGGACTCGGTCGCGCGCATGGAGATCGACCCATCGACGAGCATCCCGGTTGGCTTGAACCCGTTCGGGACGAATGCCGAAGAGAAGGGAAGCAACGAGGAGGAAGAGAAGGAAGATGAAGAGATGACCGTCGAGGACTGAGCTCTTGGTCGACCTCTTTCTATCTCTACTCCTTTTTCAATTTATTTTAAGACTTGGTTGCCCGGCGGGGTTTTTACGCTTTATGTTTCGGATTTGGTGCCTGGGAAGGCTTTTATCCACAAACTCGTTTGCCCGCGGGGGCTTTTAATGTTTTGGCCTTAGGCGTTTTGCCTTAGGCGCTTTTGCTCAAATTGTTTTGCAACTTTCATTTAGCTCGTGTTTTACTTGCCAAAATGTTTTGAGGCTTTTTGACTAAGTGTTTTGGCCGGTCGAGAGACCAGGGCCAAGATGTACTTTAGTCGGAGGTCGAATCGATCCGTTTAGGTTGATTCAACACTTAGAATATTTTTACTAGTTTTGGCCGATCGTGGAACGAGCTAAACGTAGTTTTAGGTCGAATCGAGTCCAATCGGGACGATTAGATCGATTCAACACTTAGGCGAATTTTACCGATTTTCGTCGATCGCACGGATCGAGCTAAACGTGGTGCTTATTCTTTTTCGAGCTCTTTGGCGAACTGATGTAGCTCGCGCTTTGCGGAGTTGTTTTCCCGTCTTTCGATCGAGGTGTTTCTTATTCGGCTTTTGGAGATGGAATTTATTACCTTTCGAAGTTCGTCTTGGTTTTGTCGCTTCGCCGATAGTGTTCCGAGCTAATCGTGAACTTCAGGTCCGTCTGGATGGCTCGGCTTCGTGTTAGATTTCGGGCTGTCTCTGGGTCTTCGGTTCTACGATTGCTAGAACACTACGCTGGATGCTTGGACGCTGCGGACTTCGATTGGTTTTTGCGAAGTAAGAAATTGAAGGTAAAGAGGTGGACTCTGAACCTCACTTCGTTCGAAAGGGGAATATCGAGGTGATCTCGATCTTCCGATCTGTTTTGAGACGAGAGAAAGAGCTCGATTTCTTTTCAGGTCACGCAAGATCAGGCGTTTTCGACGTAAATTGATACGCTTAAGTAATTCGGAATTTCTTAAGGACTTGCTGAGTTGATTCGAGCAATTCGTAGCGATAAACATAGAAAACATTTTATTTAAGTATAATATTCGAGATGATACAAATCGAGCCCGTTTTAGGGCCGGCCAATGAGGTCGTCTCAAATAAAACGAAGTAAATTCGGATTGGGGCTGGACTCGTGGTTGAGCTGCCTACGTACCCCCAGGGAAGGAGGATCAAGCCTAAACGTAGTTCGAGGGGTGGAGATACTCTGATTAGATCCTTTTCAGTGATAGTACCTTTTCAGGTTCATCGCATTCCAAGGTCTTAGTTCAGGTATTCCGTTTCTGACTTTTGTGAGCTTGTAGACGCCATCGCGAACTACTTCGGTAATGAGGTAGGGACCTTCCCAGTTGGTCCCAAGTTTCCCTGCATTGCGCTCTTTGGTATAGTCTTGTACTTTTCTCAGAACCATGTCGCCTATACGAAAGCTCCGGTGTTTAACCTTGGAGTTGTAATAGCGAGCTGCGGCCTGTTGATAGTTTTGTATCCGGATCAGAGCTTGATCTCGACGTTCGTCGATAAGGTCAAGGTGATCTCTCAACATTTCTTCGTTCAGCTCGACGTTCGCTGGACATTGCATCCTGCGAAGACTTGGAACGGAAGTTTCAGTTGGGATGACGGCCTCTAGCCCGTAAGCTAATGAGAACGGGGTCTCATGAGTAGCTTTGTGAGGTGTAGTTCGGCAAGCCCAAAGAACTGCTGCGAGCTCTTCGACCACCTATGTTTACGGGCGTCGAGTCGTTTCTTGAGGTTACTCAAGAGGGTTTTGTTTGTTGCTTCAGCTTGCCCGTTCCCTTGAGGGTAACGAGGTGTGGAATACGTTATGCGTATGTTCCACTTCTTGCAGAAGTCTTTGAATGTTCGAGCTATGAACTGAGATCCGTTATCTGTCACGATCTCGAAAGGGAGCCCGTGTCGACAAATGATGTCTTTCCAGATAAATTTCCGGACCTCGAGTTCGGTCGTTTGTTGGTATGGTTTGGCCTCGATCCATTTAGTGAAGTAGTCAGTAAGGACTAATAGGTATTGGAATTGCTTCGGTCCCGAAGAGACCATAGGTCCTATTATGTCCATAGACCACCTCATAAAAGGATAAGGAAGAGATCGATGAGAGTGTTTCAGCTGGGACGTGAATGCTTGGGGCGTGCCTTTGGCATTTGTCACATCGCCTGGAGTACTGTTCGCAGTCTCTGATCATCGTCGGCCAGAAGTAGCCTAGCTTTTTAATCCGTATGACGAGAGCTCGGCCTGCGGAATGACTTCCGCAAGGTCCTTGATGAGTCTCGTGCATTACGGTGTAAGCTTCTTCGCCATGGATGCATGTTAGATATGGTTCGATAAGGCTTCGCTTGTAGAGCTTATCTTCCATCATGCAATAATGTGCGCTTTGGGCTTTTAGCTTGCGAGATGCCCATTTTTCGTTAGGGACGGCTCCGAGCTGGATATACTCGATTATAGGAGTTCTCCAGTCGGGTCTCGCAGCGAACTCTTCCTTTAAGGTGAGTTCGTTCGCCATAGCAGATGGGACGGTATGGATCGTGGACTCTTGCGTATTTTGCGAAGAGTCCGAATCGATATACCTTGTTTTTTGCCTATCTTGGTCAGGTTCTTCTTCCTCGGAATCAGGTTCCGGGTTAGATGGTCCCGGATCTTGGGACTGTCTAGTTTGAGAACGAGTAGACGGGCGCGAGGTAATTGCGTTTATACTGTCAGACTTGAGTGCGATGTCGATGCTAGGTTTATCTATGCCTTCGACTGGGATCACACGTCTTACAGTTGGGTCCGAAGTGGAGGCGAGAGCAGCTAAGGCGTCAGCCGAAGTGTTCTCTCCCCTAGGCACCCTAGTTAGTTCGAATTTACTGAATTGTCCAGCTAAATCTCGAACTACTTTGAGATAAGCTTCCATGCGCTCCTCTTTTGCTTCGTACTCGCCGCTGTATTGGCTAGTAACGAGCTGGGAGTCGCTGAATGCGTTGATCTCATTCACGCCGATCCCGATTGCGAGTCGGAGTCCGGCTATGAGTGCCTCGTATTCGGCCTCATTGTTAGAGGCGACGAATCCGAGTCTGAACGATTGTTCGATCACTTCTCCGGTTGGAGATGTGAGTTTGATTCCGACGCCAGCTCCTTGTTTGGACGAGGCTCCATCTACGAAGAGTGTCCAAACTTTAGAGAGGGTGGTATCGTTATTGGCTTCCGGTGCCAGCTCGATCATGAAATCAGCTAGTACCTGGGCTTTAGCACAGGTTCTAGTTCGATATTCGATGTCGTATTCGCTGAGCTCGATAGCCCATTTAGCTAGTCGTCCAGATTGACTTGGACTATGTAGCATAGTTCGCAATGGTTGCGAGGTCATCACCACGATTGTGTGTGATTGAAAGTAAGGTCGCAGCTTGCGAGCGGACATTACTATTGCTAAGGCAAGTTTTTCCATAGCTGGGTATCTAGTCTCGGCATCAATCAGGGATTTACTTACGTAAAAGATTGGTCTTTGTTCGTTTAGCTCTTCACGAACTAAGACCCCGCTGACCGCTGCAGGCGAGACCGCGATGTAAAGGTATAGCGGTTCTCCTTCTACTGGTTTTGCCAGTATAGGAGGTTCGCTGAGGTAAGTTTTGAGCTGTTTGAAAGCTTCTTCGCATTTTTCGTCCCAGAGGAATTTTTTATTTCCTCGGAGGAGCTGGTAAAATGGAAGACACTTGTCGGTTGACCGGGAAATGAACCTATTAAGGGCTGCTATTCGACCGGTTAACCGTTGTACTTCTCTAGTATTTTCTGGAGAAGGCATATCTAAGAGGGCAGAGATTTGCTTCGGGTTCGCCTCGATTCCGCGTTCAGTTACTAGGTAACCGAGGAACTCGCCAGACGGAACTCCGAATGTACACTTAGTCGGGTTCAGCTTCATGCCGTACTTGTTAAGTATGGAGAAGCATACCCGGAGCTGTGCGACGTGGTCTGTTTCCCTAGAGGATTTGACCAGCATATCGTCTATGTACACCTCCATTGTTTTACCGAGCTGATCGGCAAACATTTTGTTTACGAGGCGCTGATATGTAGCTCCCGCGTTTTTTAGCCCGAATGGCATTACTTTGTAGCAGTAAGTACCTCGGTCTGTTATGAAAGCTGTTTTCTCCTGATCTTCTGGGTTCATCTTGATTTGATTATACCCAGAAAACGCATCCATGAAGGATAGGAGCTGGTGACCAGCCGTAGCTTCGACCAAGCGATCTATATGAGGAAGTGGATAGCTGTCTTTTGGACAAGCTTTATTAAGGTCTGTGAAATCGATACAGACTCTCCACTTTCCGTTTTTCTTTTTGACAACTACAGGATTAGCTAACCAGTCGGGGTATTTCACCTCTCTGATCGAGCCTACCTTGAGTAGTCGGTCTACTTCGTCGTTTACTGCTTTAGCCCGATCTGGGCCGAGTTTTCGACGTTTTTGTTTCATGGGTTTGAACGTGGGATCTACGTTCAGCTCGTGAGACGTGATCCTAGTGTCAATCCCGGGCATGTCCGCGGTGGACCATGCGAATGTGCTGATGTTTTCCTTTAGGAAGGCGATCAGCTCGTCACGGATAGGTTTTGCGAGATCGATTCCGATACCAACGCGCCTTTCGGGGTCGGTTTCGTCGATGCAAACCTGAGTGACCAAGTCTTTTCGAGGTTCGCGGACGGTCGGATCTTTGCCATGTTTGATCTGCCGAATCGCGAGCTCCTCTTCTTTCTGTAATTGCTATACTGGCGATTTTTCAGCTCGCAAGTAGCTGCCCATATAGCAATCTCGGGAAGCTCGTTGGCAACCGCGAATTGTTTTTGTTCCCCAAGGTGTAGGGAACTTGACGCATTGGTGGTAAGTGGATGCAACTGCTTTCATGGTGTAGAGCCACGGCCTGCCGAGAATGGCATTGAATGGCGCGGGGCGATCTACGACCACAAAGTCAACTGTTTTCGTTATACCACCTGCTTTGATTGGGAGCTGGATAGTTCCCATGGAATAGGTCGTTTCTCCTGCGAACCCAGTTAGGGGCGTACGGCCTCCTATGAGTGCGGAGTTTTCGAATCCCATTCGCTTGAAAGCATCGTAGAACAGCACGTCTACAGAGCTTCCTGTGTCTATCATGACTCTGGTCAGCTCGAATCCGGCTACGGCGAGCTCGATTACGAGTGCATCGTCATGAGGTTTATCGAGTGCGAGTGTTTCGCTTTCTCGAAATTTGATTTCGTGATCAGGTCCGTCTAGAGGACGTGGTTGTCCAGATGACTCGACCCGTCGCTGATGTGCTTTGATCGAGTTAATCGAGTCTTTGCACATCTTCGAGCCACCGCAAATGAAGTCAATTCGTTTAGGGGTAGGTGGCTCTACTCCCCCCGAGAGCTTGTGAAGTCTGCGTAAGCAAGAGATCGCAATGCTCTTAGTATCGGGTCTGGAGGTAGGTGATGTAACAGGCGAGCTTCTGTAAGAATGCTCTATCCCCCCGACAAGTCTAGGAGGTCTGTGTGAGCTAGAGCTCGTAGCCTTTCTAGGAGCGGGTGGGGGGGTGACCACGGATCTCGTTGAGCCGCCGCAAAGGCTGAGCTCTCCGAAGATTAGGTCGATTCTTTTCCTGTTAGAAGGAGGGGAATCGGGGGCTTCGACCTCGACTTCGCGTTCTCTTTTCTGAGGTGCGTTGTCGGAGTCTTTAGCTGGTTTGGGTTTTGGCTTTTCGGCCTTAACCGCGGTTTCAGCTGTTTTGCTTTTTCCCTTCTTTTTGCTAGACTTTTTGCCTTTAGCACGGCATTCCTCTGTGGAATGGCCGTTTGTATTGTGAATATCGCAGTGTTTCTCTTCTTCCTCCGAGCTCTTTATGGGAGCTGAAGTTTCGATAGAGTAGGAATGTTGTCCTTTACTCTGCGAAGGTGGTTTAGCTGGTGCAGTTTTCTTAGCACCTGGTGGAGCATATGCGAGCTCCCCTTTGAGGTATTTTTCTCTGAGGAGAGCTGTGTCTTCCTCGAGAGTTGCGAATGCTGATGCGCGATGTAATGCGTCATCTAGTGAAATTGTAGGTCGAACAGTTAGTTCTTCTCTAAATTTCGATTCGTACCACAAGTTGTTTTTGAGGGCAAGTAGAGCTACTGCCTCATTAGGGTTTGTGATCTTAGCTTTGACTGATTTGAATCTGTCAATGTAAGATCGAAGTGATTCCTTTGGACCTTGAGAAAGTCTCCAAAGGTCTGCTTCCGTAATTTTAGATTCGATGAAGATCGAATACTGTTTTAGGAAGGCTGATTGGAGCTGGTCGAAATTATCGATTGAGTTTTCGTCCAGCGTTGAGAACCATTCTTGAGCTGGTCCGATCAGGTTCTCAGCGAAGAGCCTGCAGTAGGCTGCTTCTATCTCTTCTGGAGAGAAAGGAACTCGAGATACGACGAGGTTAAAAGCTCGCATGTAAGCTCTCGGATCGCTGTTACCAGAGTATTCTGGGATACGCAGCTTGCTGGTATCTCGAATATAGGTACTTTTGATCCTGAGTGAAAAAGGAGTTCGTCTAGACTCTTTAATCACTCTGTCGATATCAGGAGCTGAGCTCGTTGCTTGATGAAACATTGAGCTCATATGCTGAAATGCGAGGTCTGTGCGATCTTGGAATCTTTCGAAAGATTCGCTGTCGACGAGGTTACGTGGATCAGCTGGATTCCGATTAGCTGGAATCGGATATGGAGCTTGATTGGGTTAGCTCCTTGGAGAGCTCGATTGGGCTGACCGTTCGAGCTAGGGAATTGTTGATAATTCCCGTTCACGTGCTCTCGCGCTGTTGCGGAGGGCTGTGAACCGTATGTTGCGCCTAGCTGATTCTCGAACTGAGGCATTGCCTGCGAGCTCGAGGCAAAAGCTGAAGCGCCAAACCACCTAGGCCTAGCTGGATCGGTACCAGGTGGCCCTGGGGGTGGAGATGAGAGCGGAACGTTTGGTTGAGCTCTCGTCTCGCTTGGGTGCGAGCTCATGTTATTTATGCCAACTGGTGGCGAGCTCGGCGGTGGACCGAAAGTCTGAGAGACTTGAGGTCGCGAAGGCGTAACGAATTGCGCCTGAGGTACGCCAGATGCGTAGATCGTCGAAAAATCGAGCTGAGTCCGCGGAGGCGGGCTAGTGATGTTTCGAGATTCAGCGAGGCGTCTCTCATGTCTCTCCAGCCTAGTTTCGTGGTCGCGCTGACCGTTTACCAGGTTGGTGAGAAGCTGTTTGATCTGTGCCAGATCATCTGGACTAGCTCGCGGAGGAGTTTGCGTCGCAGATGCAGGTCGAACAGGAATAGTCCGACTCTGTGGAGTCACAGTTGTTGGGGGATCTTCCGATCTGACCCAAACTCGAGAGAGAGGTCTCTCGATGGTGTGCGAACCCAGATTCGGTAGAATCGGGCTCGGGGTTGCTACCGGCGTGGCGAGATTGATCACCACTGGTTCCACGCGAGGTGGAGTGCTAAGCTGCACTCCAGTGGAGGCGGTAGCAGATGTGATCGGCGTGTTCGAAGTGTTGGCAGTTTGGCGGCTACCAACATTCGACGCGATCTGATCTCTCGATGCATCAGCAGTTTGGCTGCTACTGATGTTCGAGGTGATCTGATCCGATGGGATCGAGTTTTGGGAGTTAGATCCCTGGGTTTGCGACCGGATAGTATCCATTTTCGCTCTTACCTGGCTTAGGTTCGACCCTTGTGTAAGAAAATCTATGTTTCCTCCCCACAGTCGGCGCCAAAATGTGGGCTATGAAAACCACACTCGAAATTTATAGGTTTTGCAAGGAAGAAACTTAGGGAGATTTAGGGCTAGATTTTGATGTAAGTCGAATGAATCGTAAGCAAGGATTTGGCTAAACGGAATTGTATTAAACGAATGAAAATGGTTACAATGAATTCTCAGAAGAGAGAAAGAACTAAGTGTCTTCGTTTTGGGATGTGGGTAAAAAATAAACAACCTCAAATACAGAAATGTCGTCGTTTCATAGCTCAAGAAACTCCCCAAAACTTATAAGTACGATTTTTAGTTATCTTGATAAAAATGCAAGGATAAAAAATTAAAATACTTTAGTCACTAGAGGAGGAGGATTCTGGTTTTTTTTTTTTAATTGATGTCACAAAATTAAAAAAGAGAAAATAAAGATGATGATTCTTGGACCCAGATTCCACACCTGAAATCTAGCCCGTAAGGGCCCATTACCTTGATCCAAGATTGAAGTCCAGGCCCACTCAAGCCCAGCAAGAAGACCTCGAGCCTACCAAGCGACTCCCTCGTAAGCCAGTTAACTGCCATCGAGCTATTCCGGTCGACGTAAAGACGAGCTCCAGCTCGATCAAGGACCAGGTCGGCACTGCGAAGAAAGACGAAGTCAAAGAAGATCTCCTTCAAATCCGGTCTGGTCCGAGATCACCGGGATCGTTAGCTGCACGTGGCGAGATACGCGGAGGTGGATCGTAGCTGATTCTGGAGCTATAAAAGGAGCTTGACAGCAGTTGGATCAAGGAGATAAGTTGAAGTTTCAGATAAAGCATTGCAGCTATGAGAATCTAAAGGAGACAAAAGCAGACAATGCAAGAACTGTTTCAAGGTACTTAAAGAATGTTAAACATGCTATAAACTGAAAAGAAGTTCATTCAGAACCAAGTGGTCGTATCCCAGTGGTACTTGAGGGAGGTAAGTCCCAATACGGATCCGGGTTCGAAACCACTTGGCCACAACGGATTTAACATCCCTTCCGTTGGGGCCCTGGACCCCTTTCGAGGGGATAGTCGGGTTTTTCGTTCGGGTTAGATCCTCGGAATAACTGGATACAGCTGGACAAAGCTCAGACCATCGGTTTGGGCCCAGGACTGGTCGGTGACTGTTCGGTCGACTCCTCGGACCCGGATACCAGAGATACAAAAAAAAAAAAAAAAAAAAAAAAAAAAAAAAAAAAGTTCATTCAGGGAAGCAAATGTGGGAAATTCAAAACAGCATTCGTAGACAACTATAGCGGATAATCTAAAGGAGACAAAGGCAGACGATGCAACAACTGTTTATGAGGTTCTTCACTTCTAATTTAAAATGTTTAACTGTCATTCAACATGTTAAGCTAGACTCATATCAAAAGTGGTCTTATCAACTGAAAAAAAAACGTCTTTTCAGGGAAGCAAATGAAAGGGTTAAAACATTGTCGAAAATTGCATGTTTAAGTAGGCTGCATGTTACAAACAATGCATTTGTTAACCTAAGACCATACCTTGTGGTCAGACTACTAACTAGGACGGCTAGTTTTCTTTAGTAAAAGGCGAAAAATAGGTCGCTTTGTTTTCACTGCACGGCTCCGTGAATCTAATAACAAAGCTATGCGTCTTATTTTTAACCTAGTTTCTTCTGCTTATCAAGGGGCCGACTTTCTCAAGCTATATATGATGTGTTGGTATATTCGAGATCTTGGCTTTATGGACCTTTGAAGCCCAATAAACTATTGATGTTCTTGCCATGTCGGAGCAAAATCGAAATTATTCAAATAGGTGAAGTCTCTTCCTTCTGTTAAGGACAATTAAATGTGGGGCTGATTTAAATACGTTTTGTTAAAACTATTAAATTACAAAAAGATAGAACTAAAAATTGTAGGGCTTTACCCCAAAGGGAGCCCTTCCAGAAATTCTCGAAGGCCCAAGACGAGCTTAGGGCCAGGAGGGGGTTTGGAAATAGTTTTCAACCAGCAATAGACGCGCCTCGGTTAGTACCTCATTAGCTGCGTCATTGCCCCAAGCGCAAAGATGACTTTCCTGCAACGAGAGCTTCTTCTTTTTATATCCAAACAAAACCTCTTCAATCTACTACTCTTTCCGATGTGGGACTTCGTAAAAATAAGCATCCATGGGTTTGATTGATTAAACTAAAACTTGGCCTGATTGTTTAAAAGCCCATTTATATGCCTCAGCCCAACTAGTAGATTAACTTACGTAAATGCTATCTGTTTCCTTTTGTACTTGTTAGGAAAGGAATTTTAACAACAGACGTCGTCTCTTTTTCCTCTTTGATCGTAATGCCACGTCATTCTCACTCTCCACATGTATCGTCTTCGTCTCCGTCTCTTTTACTCTCCTACTCCACGAAATCGAAATCCTCTGACGTGAAGAAGAAGAAGAAGAAGAAGAAGAAGCCATGGCGGAGAAGAAGCTTGCGGAGTTAGAGTATCAATCAGGATTCGGTAACCACTTCTCCTCGGAGGCGATCGCCGGAGCTCTGCCTCGAGATCAGAACAGCCCTCTTGTTTGTCCTTACGGTCTTTACGCCGAGCAGATCTCCGGCACTTCTTTCACTTCCCCTCGCAAGCTCAATCAACGAAGGTACTTTTTTACTCTTTTGACCTCCATTTCTGTTTTCTTAGTTTCTATATTCATATCTTCAGTTGTAAAATTTTGGATAATTCCGTTGGAATTTGACTTTGATTACATCGTTATTCGAAATTTGAAGTTGGTTGTACCGGATCAAACCATCGGTGACACACGAACCGTTCAAGCCTCGAGTCCCGGCTCATAAGAAGCTCGTGAGTGAATTCGATGCATCGAACAGTCGTACGAATCCGACTCAGCTTCGGTGGAGACCTGAGGAGATTCCTGATTCGCCGACTGATTTTGTTGATGGGTTATACACTATTTGTGGAGCTGGAAGCTCGTTTCTTCGCCACGGATTTGCAATTCACATGTACAGATTTGGCTTCTTCTTTTTCTTCGTATGTGCTAAATCATTTTGGGGTTTGATATGGATCAGTGATAGATAAGCTTGTTTTTTTCTTTTATTGAAGGTATACGGCTAACAAAGGAATGAAAGACTCTGCATTTTGCAACGCAGATGGTGACTTCTTGCTAGTTCCTCACGCAGGAAGTAAGTTTGTATTATACATACCATCAAGATTTGGTAAACTCATTGTTATAAAGCTCATTTTTTTTTAAGGAATTATGACGAATCGTTAATGTTTAGTTTAATTAAGTCATGTATCAACAATGGATTCAAGATTGTTCACAATAAATACTTTGACTTGATGATAAAATTTGTTCTGATGATTTAAGTGCGGTTTTAGGGCTATGGATTGAAACCGAGTGTGGAAGGCTTTTGGTGTCTCCTGGTGAAATAGCTGTCATACCACAAGGATTCCGTTTCTCCATAGATCTACCTGATGGGAAGTCGCGTGGTTACGTTGCTGAAATCTATGGTGCTCATTTCCAGCTTCCTGATCTTGGACCAATAGGTGACCTGAGCTCTTTTTTTTTTTTTTAAGTTAATGTAAAAAAAAACTTGTTAAATGTATATCAGAGCCAAGTTTCGATCTTGGGACCTGTGGGTTATGGGCCCACCACGCTTCCGCTGCGCCACTCTGATTTACTATACCTGATCAATAAACGCGGATTGTGTGTTTAAAGATCTTTATCATTTGAATGTGTACAGGTGCTAATGGTCTTGCTGCGCCAAGAGATTTTCTTGCACCAACGGCATGGTTTGAGGAAGGATTACGACCTGATTACACCATTGTTCAGAAGTTCGGCGGAGAACTCTTTACTGCCAAACAAGATTTCTCTCCGTTCAATGTTGTCGCCTGGCATGGCAACTACGTTCCTTATAAGGTGAATACAGGTTTAATTGATGATCATAAGCTCTTGGAAAAATTTACTGACTGAAGATATCATTCTTCCATGTGCAGTATGACCTGCACAAGTTCTGTCCATACAACACTGTCCTTGTAGATCATGGAGATCCATCTGTAAATACAGGTTGGTGATACTCTGCACTCTTCTTTCTGTTTCACTATGTGTTGATTTTCTAAACCACACTCTTATGGGGTGGTTATTATACTCTCAGTTCTCACAGCACCAACGGATAAACCGGGTGTGGCTTTACTTGATTTTGTGATATTCCCTCCTCGATGGTTGGTTGCTGAGCATACTTTTCGACCTCCTTACTATCATCGTAACTGCATGAGTGAGTTTATGGGCCTAATCTACGGTGCATACGAGGTATAATGCTTTTAAGTTCCTCTTTCTGCAAATCATTTGCTGGCTTTGTGTTCGTCCTCTTCCTGAAATCTGGAAGCTAAATCCTCTTTTCACAGGCCAAAGCTGATGGATTTCTCCCTGGTGGTGCAAGTCTTCATAGCTGTATGACTCCTCATGGTCCAGATACAACTACATACGAGGTATGCAATCATAAAGTTTGATCTCATTTTCCTCTGAGAATATTATATCTTCCAAGTCTGAAGCATTTTGTGTAATGATCATGTAGGCGACAATTGCTCGTGTGAATGCAATGGCTCCTTCGAAAATCACAGGTACAATGGCTTTCATGTTCGAGTCAGCCTTGGTCCCTAGAGTCTGCCATTGGGCTCTGGAGTCTCCTTTCCTCGATCACGACTACTACCAATGTTGGATTGGCCTCAAGTCCCATTTCTCTCGTATATGCTTGAACGAGACAAACGTTGAATCAACAGAGCAAAAGAGAGGAGCTTCAGAGTAAAGAAACTCACCTGTATCGTTAATACCTAAATATGTACAGACCTTTACCATATGCTTTATGAGAAGCATACAGCAAGTATATATTGAATAAGTAGGTAATGTTTCTTTACATCCTTTGTACTCGAAGCTAATAAAACCAGTATTGATTTAGCCACTAACTAAGAGATTCAGGCCACAACATCAGTCAGTTTCACTTTCATCTTCATGATGCCTACTTGAACTAAGATCTCTTTCTTCGACTGTTCTACTTTCAAAACAGTCGCCTTTTTGCCAAGAGAAGAAACAAACACCGAGTCACCAACTACAGGTAGCTTCTTGTTTCCCTTTTCTGTTAGTACAGGAAACTAGGTTGAGTTTCAAAGACTAAAACCAGATTATAGAATCTAAAGACGATTAAACTTAAACTTAGTTAGATACCAGAAATTGGTCGTCTGACTAGCACAGATGATGAATGAGTTCCATTATCTCCATCCTTGGTCGTTTCGACTTTTGTTTGGAGTTGTGTAGCTACCTTTGAACGAGAAGTTTGAGCAGCAGATGCGCGAAACTGTTGCAACGTTCTGCGGAGTGTGGAACGAGCCATCGAGCCAGCCTGACTTAGTTCTTGCCTCGTCTTTAGTCTTTCTCTAGTGGCATGTTCTTTGATGTTCCTTTCTGCTGTAAGTAGATTCTCATGAAGCTCTCTTGAGATCCTAGAACCCAAAAAATAAAACTTTTTAAGTACAAGCTCCTCACTCAGGTCCTGAATCTTGTTTAAACTCTGAAACAAGTTATTACCTTATATAACGACGTGACTCGTTTAAAAGCCTCTGATACTCTTGCTTGTACCGTTCCATGTCAAGAATGACCTCATTGATCTCAGCACTTGCAGAGCCGTAGAGTTCACGAGCACTCTCGATGATATCACATGGAAGCCCCAATCTTTCAGCTATGTTTATAGCATTCGAACGACCTGACATTCAATTTTCAAAATTCGTCGGTGACTCCAATCATAAGAGAACCGATCACCAAAGAGTCTAGATGAGTCTGTGGGATAAACCTGGTACTCCCCACAAGATTTTGAAAGTGGGTTTTAAGTTGAGGTCATCAAACTCCATGCAAGCATTCTCAAAGGCAGAATTGCTACAAAAAGATGCGACGTTAATACTCTCTTAACACCTTGGATGAGCCAAGAAGAAACATCAGATTTTTAAAACCTGTATTTAAGCATCTTAAGCTCTCCGTGATGTGTAGTTGCCATGGTGAGTAGAGAACCGCTTTCTGCAAAAGATTCAAGTATTGACATCCCTAACGCAGCTCCTTCAAGCGGATTCGTTCCTGCTCCAACCTGTTAATAGCACAACAGTTTCAAAACTAGAGTAAGTAAAACATGAGGAATATAACCTCTCTTGAGCCATCACTGAGATAAGGAGACAGATGTTGAAAGTGTATTGTCTTGTCTACAAGACAATAATAGAGAATCAGACTTACACTAATTTGCTTCAAATGACCCGAAAAGGTAGAAAGTGACTGCAGCAAAGATTGTTCATCTGCAGCAAAGATTGTTCATCTCCAATATCAGCATAAATGTTGTCAAACCAAGGTAAGCGTGCAGATTCAGATGATAGAACATAAAGACCTACAAAAAGCATTGCAATCATTTGAGTTGATAAAATGTTAAGTCTCTCTCTCTCTCTCTCTCTCTCTCTCTCTCTCTCTCTCTCTCTCTTCTGAGGTCTTTATATCTAAGTTACATATAGCTTACCTGATTTTGCCATCATAGCAGCGAGTCCAACTGATTTCAAGCAAATAGTTTTACCTCCTGTGTTTGGACCGGTTATAACCAAAACTCTAGTGCCCTTAGAGATCTGGAAATCAGCTGGAACTGGCAGAGTTCCGGATACTGTGTCTGCCTGAAAAACCAACAACGTACTTTTATATCAACTTCAGCTAAAACGGCATCATCAGCCTACTCAATGATCATCAAGGAACTTACTGTTTTATGATATTTTACAGCCTCCCGCGTCTTTCTTATTCTTTTCTTGTGTTGGTGAAGCAACAGAGGATGATAACATCTAGGTAGATACAACAACCATTCTTTTTTAGCAAGGGATTCGTCTTCAGCAGACAAAGAACCAACTCCGTCTTCAGGTGGTAAGTATATATCAGGATGTGAGCCACCATATGCACGACTGTAAGTTGCTCGAGCGTTTATCTAGCCAAAAGCAGACACACTGTAAGATCTCCCTTTATGGAAGCTCAAAAAAATGTTTTTATGGAAGGTAATGAAAGCAAACTTACCACATCCAGCTGAATTGAGTACTTCATCACATCCTCGATTTGATAAAGATCCATTTGCATCTGTATTGGTTTGCGTCAAAGTGAACAAGAAGGATCAACAAGGAGAAAGCAATACAAAGGACAAAGAGAACATTCCAAACTTTTAAAATTTTACCTTTTCAGTTAGCATTTCAAGAATATCTGCCTCAGCCTTTGCAACTGATGCTCTCGCGCTTTGGAGTTCGTCGTTCATAGAGACCGCAGCTATTGGCTCCGCAGCAGTCCTTCCACCTGATCCACTGTAACACATATTACCTTCAAGAGATCACTGAAAGAGAAGCATAACTTCTCAATAACTAAAATCTGAAATCTACAAACTCAATTTTACCTGGAAAGCAGAAGACCGTTAACAGAAGTTAGCTGATTCGAGCTCATTTGTATGCACCATCTTCCATCAATTTCAGCCACTTCCTGGAATTTTCTTTTAAATAATCAACAGTGCCAACTTTAGAAAATGAAGATTTGCTCTTTCTTGCTTACCATGACAGATTCTTCATCCTTTTGGCTCCTTATAACAGCCTCCAACAATTGATGCAGCTGAAAGGAGACATTCAGACTCAATAACTACAGTCTTTAAGATACTCATTGACAAATCTTCATCTTATTTCACAGTTACAAAGAGAAACTAACTTAACCTTTCTTTCAAGCATTCGTACTCGTTCACGTGATAGTCTCAGGGCACTACTCTGAAACAATAAAGAATGAGAGTTAACATAAGATTCTTGCCTCTTGAGACTTTAATCGAATTAAGAGAAAGAACAAACCGCGGAATCTTTGATTTTTCCATCAGGATCTATAACTTGTTCAACCAACTTAACAAATGGTCTATTTATCACAGGTTGCATTATCTGCAAAGAGAGTGTAAATGCAATAAAGAGAGAACATGAGACCACCACAATGTTTGAAGTTAGAAAGTATAAAAACTTGGAGAATTACTTGTAAATACCATTTCAGATATTGGCATGAACCGTTTATACCAATCTCCATCTTGCTTAATGGCAGCTTTAAGATCAATCTGCAAATTCTCGAAGAATCGGAGAAGAGAAGCCACCTCAAGTGCTTGGTCTGCTCTCAAAGATATCCTCCTCTGAGCATGACGAATGCCCGATTCAACCTTTTCACACAAATCAGTATTACATCAAAATTACAAAAACTGATAACAAATAAAAATTATTACTTTAAGGAAATGAGAGAATGAATTCACCAGTGAGATATGAATGCTGGAGAGGTCAAGACAGAAGGAGCCATGTTGAAGCATTTTAATGGCGGCTTCTGTTTCATCCAAAAGCTTCAAACTTTCATCGAAATTCTGGTCAAGAGACCAAAGCTTTTTCTGGAAAAAACCAACAGTGTCCATGTAAGTTTAAAGCAGAGAATCCAATTCACAGCTACAGACGAAAACCCAAAAGCAAAAAACAAACCTTTGTAGCTTCGTGGCCTAGAGAAGTACGAGCAAAAGAAGCCACAACGTCGCAGAGCTTGTCCCATTCCAACACTCTCAAGCTATCGGTTTGGGTTTTGGACTTTGATCGGCAAATAAGTGCCGGAGAAGATGAAGACGAGGAAGAAGAAGAGATTAAACTCAAATTGACACTGTTTCTGTTTTTGATAGAGTTTCTTCTAACCACTAGGGCACAGTTACAGAATGCTATCGATAAAGTCTGCATTTTTTTTCTCCCCCTTTGGTTTCAGAGAAGAATTGTGACAGTCCAATTTCAATCAACCTAAATCCCCAGTTTTCATCATATTTTAGAACCTTATCTTCTTGGCTAAAGATCTCATCTTTACAAAACGTAAAAGTATTTATAGGTTATGATGTTTTTAAGATGTTCTGCAAAACTGTGAAATGAGAAACATTAATACACAATGTGATAGATATTTTTTTGGAGATGACAAATGATAACGAGTCTATTGCTTGATAAGGTACATATGTGGCAACAATAGCAATACAACAGTGGTGATGAGAAACATACAAATTACAGAGTTAGATTACAACAAAATAACGATTTGAGAGAATGGAAATTTTAAGAAATCAAAGGGTTACAAGAGGCTCTTCAGCGGCTGTGGTTGCAGCCTCCTCTTGCTTTGGTGGCTCAGTCTCAGCAACAGTTTCGACGGCAGCTTCTTCGGTCTTCACCACCTCTGGAGCTGGCTTGGCTGCCTCAGCCTCAGCCTCGACAGGCTTAGCTGCCTCAGCTTCCTTCTGTGCATCTTCAACAGACTCTTCCTTCTTCTCTGCTACAACTTCATCTGCCTTGTCCTGTAAAACAAATAAATCAATCACACATCTTTTCCACACAAAACATACAAAAATGGTGATGATGTGACTGATCTGCAAACCTGAGATACGACGGCCTCGGCTTCGACGTTCTTGGACTCGACGACAACGTTTTCAGTCACGGCAGAGGTTTCAGGGATGTCAGACTCCTTAGGTTTGCTCGCACAGCCTCCCATGGTGATTTATTGGCAAAAAATCGGTTTGTAAAAGAAGAAAACAAACAGATTACACAATGGGAAGAACTGTGTTTGATCCTTTTCTCAAGAAGCCAAAACTGTTTCTCCTTATTAGAGGCTGAGCAAATGTATGAGACGACAACAAAGAGATATATATAGTGCTTGTACGTACCTACAAAGACACAAAGCTATTTCAGGAAAAAGACTAAATAATTTCATGTCACCGTAGATTCTTTGAGGCTCTTCTCTGTCAAATGACCTATTCTTATTCCCCACCGTTCTTCTTCTACGATTTGTGGTTTAGCCAGAGTCTCATCACCAGCATTTTTAAAATTGGTCACAAATCACAATCTCTTCTTGTGCCATTATCGGCAATAGCAACCAAATAGAGACGATATTTTTATGGTAAGCAAATGCAATTAAAATGAACTCGACATAAACCAACAATAAGACCAAATCTGGCACAAAAACCTCCATTCAGAAATCAGAGTTTTAGATTTTGTTTTCTGTTCGCAAAATGATTATAGGGTAAGATAATTGTTTCTCTCATACGGAAAAGAAAAAAAGAAGGTGAAAATGGCTAAAAAAGAATCATTGTCATGTACGAGTGCGCTTAAGCCTTGTTGTTGCCAGAGGTTTCTTCTACTGCTGAAGCTGCAAGGGAACCACCATTGGGGACGAGGTTTTTGTACATTGTTAGAGCTTGAGCGATCGCGTTAGCTGGATTTGCAGCCATACTCGGAAGCAGCATCGTTGTACCCTAACAAACAAGAAGTAAATCGAAACTCTATTAGATTAACAACACCAAGGGAGGGACCAGATTATATAAGAAACTTGTACAGAGTGTTTATTAAATGTTTTACCTGCTTAGCAACGTTGCCAAAAGCTTGAATGTATTGCTCCGCAACTCTCATACCCGCAGCCTCCATTCCACCAGTTTCCTTGAGGGACTGAGATAACATGGCAAGACCCCTGGCTGTTGCTTGTGCTCTAGCCAATATTGCTTCTGCTTCACCTGGAGAGCCATAACCAAAAAAATATGTTGTTAATGAAACAAAATGACGAAATGGCTTTGACATCTCATTGTGATTACTAAGTAGGTGTAACTAACCGGATGCTCGATTGACTTGGTCCATCTTTGCAGCTTCTGATTCCAAGATCACAGAACTTTTCTTACCATCAGCGATATTGATATGGGCTTGGCGTTCTCCTATTCAAGTTATGTCAATCAGATTATGAGAAACAAAACTGAGCAGGCTTCATTGTGTAGCTTTGAGCCAATAATCTGAACAAGATAACCCGTAACAAGTGATAAGACATGCAAATTCACCTTCAGACTCGAGGATCTGGGCTCTCTTTCTACGTTCAGCTTCAGCTTGCATTTCCATAGCAACCCTCACTCCATTAGGAGGCATGATGTCCCCTGGATACATAGTCCATGTATATTATAAACTGACAAAGAAAAAAGGGTATCCAGCTAAACCAGCACAGAGTCAACAGAAAATTAACTCACTGATCTCATAACGAAGGCACTGGAGACCCCAATCTTTTGCAGCAACATTGATGGATTCCTGCAAGAATGACTCAAAAACGTTCATATCGTTGTGATATAATACATTCCCCAACTCTTATTCAACAAAAACTAAAACTCAAAATCATAGCCAGCGACGACGAAATGAACAACACAGCTAAACAATCTCAACTGCAATCTTAAGGTAGTGATAAAGCACCCACTCAAAATTCCATTAACAACTAGTTTCCAATTTCAAAACTAAGCAACAAAGAAGCAAAGAGAACGAACCACAATCTTTTCATTGAGCGTGTCTCGTTCCTCAAACGTCTTGTCAAGAGTAATCTTCCCGAGCTCGCTACGCATTGTTGTTTGAGCTAACTGTACAACAGCGTAGATCGGATTCTCAACGCCATATGAGGCCAACTTAGGATCTACAATCTGCATACACACACACACACCACCCAAAAAAGAAAACTCAGATCGCTGGGAAAAAAACTCAAATCGGATCCTTGACTTGGAAAAGAGGAAGAGATTAAAGATAACCTTGACGTATAGAACACCGTCGATGTGGATGCTAACGTTATCCTTCGTAATCGCAGTCTGATTCCCAATCGGAATCGCTTCCTCCTTGAGAGAATGAACATAAGCGATACGATCCACAAGCGGAACGAGGAAGTGAATCCCCGACGGCAAAGTCTTTACGTATTTACCGAAACGCTCAATCACGCACGCCCTCTTCTCCGGCACAATCCGGATTCCCCAGTTCGTCGGCGGCTTAATTTGGTAGCTAAAGTAAACATATCACACAAGTCACAACCCAATCAATCCTATAATTCCTACTGAAATCGAAGCTCAAATCCGAATATCGCCGATTTCAAATTCCACATTTCGCACAGAAGGTAAACGAAATCTTAAGCATAAACAATACCTGTTGAAAGGTTGACCGGGAGAGCTGTAATGGCGGACGGGGGTGGTGTTGGCGGTTGCGGTGGCGCCGGAGAGTAGCGGAGACTGGAGAAGTGCGGAAGATTGACGGAGGTTGCTGAGGGACCTCACGGCGGAGTTAGCGACGGATCTTGAACGGATGATTTGGTTCATCTTGTTAAGCTCTCTCTAGCTAACGAACTTCGTCGAAATCAGGTGAAGAAATTATAAAACCCAAACAAAAACCTCTGAAGTATTTTCTTTTTCTTTCTTCAAGCTTTTTATTTTCTTGTGAGCTTTATACACAGGTACATACTTGGGGAAGTGGCAAAAAAAAAATGATCTATTTTGGGCTATTGGGCTTTTTTTGTTTGTTTTATTTTTGATAAATCGTGGGATGAGTGTTTACCACGAAATTTTATTGGCTTCAAGCCAAAGCAAAAGGACTTGGTGTTGATCTAAAATATATTTGTGTTGATTTTAAGATAAGATTGTCACATGTATTTACTTGAACAAAAGGTTTAGTCATCAATTTTATAAGATTTTAGTCTGCAAATAACATAATAAATTTTAGTTATAGTTTTGCATAAAACCATATGACAATTATAAGAATGAAGTTTTGTAACTGGTTAAAATCCGTAAAATCTCATATTTATTATCATCTACCAAAATGCTTTGGGGTACTAAAATGCAAATTCAAACTACTACATGATTTGTGTTGAAATGGGAAAGACAGAGCCAAAACCACAAATGCAACAACAACGAATCTGTTATGGGCTATTTAGTGGATGCCCATTAGGAAACCCAATTCTAAAATGTTCTTACTTTGTCCCCAAGTTGTACTTCTTCTCCAAGTTAAACCCTACTTGTATTCCTATATAAAGGATTCATTATTCATGGAATAAGAATACAACCAATTCCTCTTCTCTTGTTCTCTCTTCTTCTATAACACGTTATCAGCACGAGCTCTAGCCGTCTAAACTAGAAGACATGTCGAAGCTCATGAGTTTGGAATTTGAGGCCCTTGACATTAGTGGGGACAATTACCTTGCATGGGCATTAGATGGTGAAATTCACTTGAGTGCAAAGGAGCTTGGTGAAACCATCAAGGAAGGAAATAAGGCTGAAGCCAAAGACAATGCAAAGGCTATGATATTCCTTCGCCATCATCTCCATGAGGATCTCAAAAATGAGTACTTGAATGTGAAAGATCCACAAATCCTCTGGAATAGTCTCAAGGAAAGGTATGATCATCAGAAAACTGTGATTTTACCCAGAGCTCGTTATGATTGGACTCATTTGAGGCTTCAAGACTTCAAGTCTGTAGCAGAGTACAACTCAGCCTTGTTTAAGATCACCTCCAAGTTGGAGTTGTGTGGAGAGAAAATCACGGAGGCAGATAAGTTAGAGAAAACATTCTCTACTTTTCATGCCAACAATGTTGTCCTGCAGACACAATACCGTGAAAAGGGATTCCAGAAGTATTCCCAGTTGATATCATGTCTCCTTGTTGCTGAGCAGAATAACGAGCTGCTGATGAAAAACCATGGTCTGCGTCCAACTGGTTCTGCTCCATTCCCTGAAGCGAATGTGACAACCTTTGATAGGACAGAACAAAACCACAGTGGTCGAAGCTACAATCGTGGTCGTGGTCGTGGTCGCGGTCGTGGTCGTGGTCGTGACAATGGTCATGGAACTAGAAGAGACTATGGTCGAGGTCGAGGAGTTTCCTTCAAAAACTCACACTCTAACCAAAGAGGGGGAAACAGAGGTGGCAACAGACAAGCACCACAAGCAAATGTGTGTCACCGATGTGGAGGAAAAGACCATTGGTCTCGTTTGTGCCGTACACCAAAGCATTTGGTTGAGCTGTATCAACAGTCTCTGAAACCAAATGGAAAGAATGTGGAAACAAACATGGTGTTCGAAGATGGAGAAGATGACTTTGGCTCATTCAGTGAGGCCACTCACATGGAAATTGCTGATCTCATTGCCCCTGCAGGGCAGAATTGATTTTATTTATTTTATTTCAAGACATTTGTTGCATTATTTATTGGTTTTTGGCTTTTGGTGTTTTGGCTTTCTTTTAATTGTTCTTTACGAATTTATGAGTTGTTATTTTTAATATTATTTAATTAAGTTATTTACTTATTTGATTTTAATTTATCTTATTTATTTATTTTGAAGAACAATGAATGGTGGAGATTTATGCTTGGCAGACAGTGCAACTAGTCACACTATTTTGAAAACTAAGAGATATTTCTCTCATTTGATAATGAAAGAAGCCAGTGTGAGCACTGTAATGGGTAGTGCAAATATAATTGAAGGCTCCGGAAGAGCATATATAGTATTGCCTATGGGAACAAAACTCGAAATTTCTGATGCGCTATACTCGCCTAAATCTAACAGAAATTTACTGAGTTTCAAAGATATTCGCAAAAATGGATATCATATTGAAACTATGAGTGAAGGAGATGTTGAATATCTTCATATCACAAGTAATACCCAAGGCTCTAAAAAGATTGTGGAAAGACTACCTGCTTTCTCCACTGGATTGTACCATACTAATATTAGTACAATCGAAGCAAATGTTGTAGTAAACCAGAAGTTTACTGAAAACTTTATCGTTTGGCATGACCGGTTAGGCCATCCCGGTACAACAATGATGCGAAAGATAATCACTAATTCGTGTGGACATTCATTACAGAACCAGAAGATTCTGCCTAATGACTTCACATGTGCTGCTTGTTCACAAGGCAAATTGATTATAAGGCCTTCACCAGCCAAGATAACCTCAGAATCAATCAATTTTCTGGAACGCATACAAGAAGATATTTAATTCACAACAACCACTCACTGATTTTCTTCAATTCCTGTGTATAAATGCCAAAACTGAAAACAACCCTTTGGACTTTTTGTATATCAAAAACTCGTTTTCACACGTAGATAAATGTTACATACATACCAACTAACACCAGCATAACGGACTTCATTGCAATTTATAAACTAAAAATAATAAATAATCTGAGTTCCGATTTCGAGTTCCAAAAGCTCGTGACTCGCGCAGACGCAATCAGCCGTAAAAAGCCAGACAAAACGCCATTTTTGTCGATTCCTACTTCCTTTCTTTGGAAAAAATGAAATTTACGTCAATTTGTCTCTCTTTCTAGACACAGTACCTCGAGAGAGAGAATTATCCGGAAGTCAAAGTCGTTATCCGGTCACCGGAAGTTGATTAATTCCGATGGCGATCACTGAGCGGCAGAATCCGAGTGCGGAGAGGAAGCTGTTCAGGCTGTGTCCGTTCTGGCAGAGGAGAAGCACCACCTCGTCTCCTCCGTCTTCAACACAGAACCCGAGTCAAAACTACCGCAGCCGCCATGGAATTCGGAATTCGGATGTCTCCGGCGTTCCCAAGCCGTCCTCCGCCTTGACTGTCTCTTCCGTCGCGAGATCAATTCTGCCGGCTCGCCGTCGTCTCCGACTAGATCCTTCCAGTTACCTCTATTTCCCTTGTACGTCTTCTATGTTAGTTCGATTTGTAGTACGATTTCAGATAGTTGATTCCACTGAAACTGATTGATTTGGTTCTGATTGTTCCTGAAGTTAGAGATCGAAGTTATGAACATTAGGATCTTTAGAAGCTCTCTCTGGAAGTTGATATTCTCTACGGACTTACTAATTGAAACGTAATCAAGATTTTGTGCAATGATGCTCTAGTTTCTGGATCAGTGACTTGTCTTTCTCGAGTTTGAATTCCATTTGCTTAGAGAACGAGATTAGAATTGTGGTTTGTGTTTCAGATGAACCTGGTAAACAAGTGCGGAGCGCAATCAAGCTTAAAAACACTAGCAAATCTCATACTGCATTTAAGGTAACGGAGTTGTATGTATCACTGACATCAATTTTCCTCTTGGTTCACTGATTTGATACTCTTTTTGAGAACAAGTTAAGCAGCTACGTAGTGAATGCTGAGAAGTTGACTTTTTGTTTACTTGTTTTTAGTCTATTTGTAGTTAAAAGATGATACAACTGTGGTACTTTGATCATCTAAATTCACTGTGTTTCCTCTTGTTCAGTTCCAAACAACTGCACCAAAAAGTTGCTACATGCGTCCTCCTGGTGGAGTTTTGGCTCCAGGAGAGAGCGTCTTTGCAACTGGTAATGAGTCTTTGTAAAGCAAAAACGTCTTCTTTAGTTTGTGTACTACAGCCTCTGATCATTGCTTCTTGTAAACGTTCAAATGCAGTGTTCAAGTTCGTTGAACACCCAGAGAACAATGAGAAGCAGCAGTTGAACCAGAAGAGCAAGGTTAAGTTTAAGATTATGAGCCTGAAAGTGAAACCAGGTGTAGAGTATGTGCCCGAGTTGGTACGTTACGTCAGCTCCTTTCAGTTTATTCAGAACTCCATCACTGAAAGCAATTTTATTCAGTCTTAGACTATATCTGTTCATAGTTGCAGAACTCCTATAGGCTAATGCAATGCAATTGATAAAGCCACCTCTGAGTTTAAAGAGTTTTATCGTGCAGTTTGATGAGCAAAAGGATCAAGTAACAGTGGAGCGTGTGCTTCGGGTGATTTTTATTGATGCGGACCGCCCAAGTGCTGTAAGCTTTAACTAGATTTTGATGCTGATAAGACCACATATACTTAGCATGAACATTTCAATAAGAAGGATTACGATCTTATGATCAGGCAATGGAGAAATTGAAACGTCAATTGGATGAAGCTGAAGCTGCGGTGGAAGAAAGAAAGAAGCCACCACCACCAGAGACAGGGCCTCGTGTGGTCGGGGAGGGTCTTGTCATAGACGAATGGGTATGTATTATAGATATTCGCTTTTGTTCTGGTTTCTTTACTTTCTTTCTTCTATATTCACAAAAGTTTGTTTTGTTGTCATGTATCAGAAGGAGAGAAGAGAGAAGTATCTTGCTCGACAACAAGTCGAAGCCGTTGATTCTTCGTCCTAAAACGCAGAGAGCAACGTGGATTTGTTATAGCGTGAGGTACTGAGGTAAAGGAAAGCTCTTCTCCTTCATCTTTTTGCAGCTGTACATAATTTAATTATCCTTCCATTATGTGTTTATTATCTCTACACGACTACGTTGTGATTCTTTGTATGTCTCTGTTTGTTGTGTTGATTCATCACGCCGGTTTTTAACTGTTCCATCGAATTTTGTTTTGGTTTTATTCGAATTCCGTTTTAGTATCGAACCAAAGTGAATTTCAATTTTAAGTTTTGGATTGTGCTTCTGTACCAATTAAGTTTCATAATGTAGACTTATCCCATTTTCAATAGAGAGGATCAGGATGACTCGGAATAAGTATAATAGATATTGCATATCCACCATGTGGACCAAGTGGATTTTGACTAGAAAAAGAAAGTTCAATAACTGGAATTTTCTGATACATCTTCATTATATTCATGCTTTACCTATGTTTTCTTAGAAGTTAGAACACATAACCATACGCCCCTACGTATGGAATATGAAAGATGTTTTTGTGGACGATAAGTTTACACAAGAATCGTGATCAAGTTTGTTTGGGACATTTTCACAAACTAAAGTATTTGATGATAGGCTAAGGCTACCATGTTTGGTCTTCTATTATAGTAAGAATTTGGAAGTGGTCTTCTTCTTTTATATTCTCGTTATTTTTTCCTGGTTAAATATACTTTTAGATTTCTTATGTGTTTTCTGTCAGACTCTATGGACTATGGTCCACAAGAGTGACCTCTAAAAGACTGATGCCCAACCACAACCACAAGAGTAAGTGACCATGCTAAAAGACTTTATACCCAAACAGTGACGTTGATGTGTTTGTTGCTAATAGTATATGCTACTTGCATTCAAAAACCGCGATATTCCTTGCTGGTCCAGAGAATTAGTGTATTAGTTGTATGCTTAGGATATGCAATTACAAAACGTCACTTGCATTGTCAACGTTCAGCTATGCGGTTTCTATTAGTTCTGGGCCTTCTGGCTAATCTGGTCGAGAAGAAGCAATTTCTAGTTTCACAATCGGATAATACCAACAATATTATAATAGTTTAACTTCTTTATATAAATAGGAGTATTAATATCTTGTCTGTAAACCTTTGAGAACACGGAACTATAACCTTATTCGTTTTTTCCGTTTTACAATTTTACACTACACTTTAACTCTAACCCCGTTCTTCTACAATAGTCAGGAGCTCAATGTATTATTTGAAATATACATTGTCAACAATATTTATCCACTTAAAAGGGTTGATTTTGGTGTACATATGTATAAAACATGACATAATTAAAGAAAAATTCAGAGGCATGATAATACTAATATACATGATACATCGAGTGTTTTCATATGCATATTCAATAACTAGTGAGACTAAGTTTGATAAGATGTGAATGGCATACTTATAACAATCAACTCAGCTGTATGAAATGACATGAGATTCACATCATCACATGATTCAAATGGTACAGAAAACTTCGAAAAGAAAGCAAATTAGAGCACAAGAAATATTTACAACTAAAAATGTTTTGTTTTTTTCCGTTAGTATATTATTATTCGGGAAAAAGAGGGAAGAAATTGACTCGTGAACATTATGAAGGAACAAAGACAACTAGAGGTGTCGGTTAATTTTCGTGACGCTTTATGAAGCTTTCTTTTTTTTGTTAAAGGGTCTGCTTTATGAAGCTTTCGGCCAATTGATAACCAAACAATTCTTTAAGTCTTATTAAAGGACATCATTAGATATATACTCTTGCCAAAAATATTTCCTAGCAAGATTCATTTCATGCAAGAATAGTCCCCTAAAATGGAATTGAGTCCTTTTTTTATCTGAGGAATATTAGTTTAACTCGGGCGAATAAAGTGTGATTAATATTACGTGTTTGAAACGTAACAAGATCAGAAGTAATATATTTTTAACATCATTCCAATTAAGCTAAGACTTGTATAACACGCACATGTAATGATTAAATTATGAGTAATTAACGTGTGATTTAATCCCGTACGTGTACTGTTGTTCCCCACTATTCACAAACCAGACCTTCAGCATTTAATAATACGACTGTGTGTGTCAAAACTTTAACTGTATAAACCGTCATCAACTTCAAAAATCAAAATCCTTAACCAAGATTTCGACAAGAAAGGCTATAACGCATCATTATGTCTAATTGTCTATGCAATGTTTGTGTTTTCATTATAAAATAAAGTAAAAGTAAAACTAATCAAAAACAAACCGTAATCCAATTTCATGGAAGGATGGCCGAAAGGAATAAACATGGGCCGCCCATCGATCGTGCGTCGATGGAAAGCAAATATTCATCAACCCCTAAAAAAAACCAAAAAGGTAACAGAGAAAATATTATTATTTTTGGACCAACGAAACAAATTCGGGAAATAAAATATTTGTTATCCTCGTCATTAAATTATTCGCTATATAACAAAGATTACAATTCGACCATACATACCATAGCAGAGTGCTTCGCCACCATAAACACACATGCACACGCACGTATATATATACATATGTTCATGAGGAAGAAGACGAAGCACTAGTAGACGGAAAAAAAAAAACCAAAATAGCCTAAATCCTGAAAATTTTCTCTGAAGTTTCTAATTTTGGGACGATTTTAATAATTTTTTGTTTTTAATCGATAATCAAAAAAAAAAAACGAAAGGCGAGAATCAGAGGAAGTTTCAGGGCGGTCGCGACGTTTCTTCTGAGATTCGTCTTCTTCTTCTTCTTCTTCTTCTTCTTCCTCTTCGTCTTCTGTCTCTTTTCTCTCCTTTTTTAGATTTTTACCGCCGTTTCTCCATTTCCGTTGATATTTTTTTCGCCGGCGGTTTAGAGATATGAAGGGGAGAATATCGAAGATAGGAAGCTATGCAATCTCGTCCTCCATTAGAGACCAGCACCAGCAACCTTGTATCTCCTGTACTACTTTCAACATCCTCGCTCCGATCTACAAACGCCTCTCTCAAAAAGTTCTTCTTCTCAATTCTCATCAACGCTTATCTCATTTTGCTGTTTCTCTGGGTTTTTGGTTATAAGGATGAATGCAGGATCAAAGTTTTCGAGGGATAATCGAGCGTATTGGCTTGGAAGGAATCACAGAATCCTCGATTGGTTATTGTACGAGAGGTCTTCAATCATATGTTTGCAGGTTGTTCGACGAATTTCCTCTTCCATTTTTTTATAGATTTGACAAAGTCGAATTGGTTATCTCAGTTACAAGCTTGGCCGTACCAACAATCTGGCGATGGTAAAAGCTTCATCTTTGTGAATCTTCTTGGCTTGATGTTTTCAGATGATGAGAAAAATGACATTTTCATTGGTAAAATAGGTCTTACGGCTGTTCAGAAGGACTATTTCAGAGTTTTGAACTTGAGAGATTTGCTTTTCAACGATTGTGGTGACAGAGTCGCGCAGTTGCTTCACGTAGAATTAGTTCCTCCTTACTCTCAGTACGATGCTCATCAACAAGTCTTGATCGTCAACACTCATTTGCTCTTCCCTCATGACTCAACACTGTCCATAGTACGATTGCAGCAGGTAAAGAATTCAATCTTTTATACCAACTCCAGTGCCATTGTGATGAATGATTTTGCATCTTTCTCTAAACAAGATTTTGTTTTTCACAGGTATATAAGATTCTTCAGTATGTAGAATCGTATCAGAAAGAAGTCAATCTCAGTCCCATGCCTATTATCTTTGCGGGTAACTAACAACTACCTTTTTCATGAGTTACATCTGATGAGATTTACTCAAAAGTCCTCTGTTTGTGCTGTTGTGGCAGAGATTGGAACGGGAGAAAGAGAGGACATGTCTACAAGTTTCTGTGGTCACAGGAGTTTGTGTCGTCGTACGACACTGCTCATCCGTACACAGATCCAGATGCTCACAAGGTCACTGTATTTCTTCATATGGAGAATACTTTTGGGTATACTGTAGCTTTTTGTGATTCTGAAAATTGCTGATCTTTTGTCTTTTTTTTTTTAAAGTGGGTGAGCCACCGGAATCATCGTGGTAACATATGCGCTGTTGATTTCATATGGCTTCTTAATCCAAACCGGTATAGAAAGCTTCTGAAAACAAGTTGGAGTGAGGCAGTGTTTGGCATGTTCAGGGTAAGACGCTCCTCAATATCTTGGGGGCATTTCACTGTTTAAAGTGATGTTACATCTTCTCTAACATTTGAGCATTTTGCTTTTGCAGTATTTACTGAGGCGAGCTTCACTAACAGCTGAAGATGCTTTTGCCTTTCTGAAAACCGACAATGATGGTGACCACATACATTCATGGGCTTCTGTGAGACTCTTCGTCAGGTAAGATAGAACCTGTAACGCAGTTTTTATCATTCCTATTTGCTTAAATTCAGCTGAATGAATCTTGACAGAGTTTTCTCTTTTCTCTAAACAGCTCAATCTAACGGGTCACTGCAATGGACTCACCACAAAAGAGATTAAAGATCTGTGGGTTCAAGCTGACACTGATGGAAACGGTCTTCTAGATTACAAGGAGTTTCAGGTAACGTTTCTTCATAAGACTCTACAACACACACACACACACACATGTTTGCTGAATTGTTTATGTAACGCATTGCAGCAAAGAATATGGAACCAAAACTGGTCGGAACAGAGAGATGCAGCGGACGGAGAAGCAAAGGGTAATCAAGAACAAACGGTTGGATTCAGCGTCAAGAACGCAGTTTTGTTTCCTCCGGAGGTCGAAAAAGGGATGTGGCCGGAAAATTACTCTCTCTCAGATCACGCGAGACTCACCGTTGTATTCTCTCCGATAAGAATGCCTTGCTCTCAATTGGTTTCATGACAAAACAACAAAAGAGACCTCTTGAGTTTTTATTTTTGGTGTGGCCCCTATACAGACTTTGCTCTGTTTTCATTGGTTCGGGGGAATTTTAAGACTGGACCGCAATGACTGACACGCTCTCACCCTGCGGTTGGAGGGGAAGAAGAGAGAAAAGGACACGAATGGTCTTTTATACATTATTATACTCTGTGTACAAAAACATGTAAACCAAATTATGGAAGCTTTTCTTGTAAAAAAGTATTGTTAGTAGAGAGATTTAAGAATCAGCTTTGCAAATCTCATTTGTTTTCTTTGTTTTTTGGGCATTTTTGTTTTTATTTTGATTAAAAAATCTTTGAAAGCATACCTCTGTAAAGAGATTGTTAGATAGGAGGTGATATTAGCAAAAAAATATTCACACAAGTTTTTTTAAGTTTAGTTCAGAGAATCACAGATTAATTTATTCAAGATTTCAGATCTCAATGAATTTGATATATTTAGTACGATTAGTAGCTACATCTAAAAATTGAACTAGACTAATTGTTTTTTCTTGCAAATTTCCACCATTTTTCAGTAATAATGTAGTAAAAATCTTCGCTCTTTGGAAATATTTATTTTCCAAGGTTTTTGTTTTTAATAATAATGTCGGATATATACTTTTATTAAAAAGTTTCAGATCGTTACGTCAATCGTCAGGTGCACTCTTCCCATTGGCGTTTGCTTAAAAAGTCGTCTGCTTTCAAACTCGATTCCTTGTTTTTTTCTCCGATCGTTGATCTCACTTTTGAGATGGGTGATTGCTCGATTTCATCACATTCAACGCCTCGTCTACTTCATCTTCCTCTTCTGCTTCTACTTGTTATCGCTTCCGTCCGTGGAGATCAAGACTATAATCCACGCCAATTGCTAAACGAAGCTCTGGGTGATAAAGACTGGTTGGTCTCCGTGAGAAGACGAATCCATGAAAACCCAGAACTCCTCTACGAGCTCCACGAAACCAGTGCCCTGATTCGTCGCGAGCTTGACCAATTGGATATTTCCTACTCTTACCCCGTCGCGAAAACCGGTATCGTAGCCCAAATCGGATCCGGTTCTCCTCCGGTTGTCGCTCTCCGGGCCGACATGGACGCTCTTCCCTTGCAAGTAATCTCCTTTTCTCTCTCTCTCTCTCAGTTATTTTCCTCAAAGTCTCAAACTTTAGTAAAATCGAGAAAATGTGCAGGAACTGGTTGAATGGGATCATAAGAGCAAAATCGACGGCAAAATGCACGCTTGTGGGCATGATTCACACACCACGATGCTCCTTGGTGCCGCCAAATTGCTTAGTAAACGCAAACATATGCTCAATGTAAGCTTCTTCTTCTTTGTTGTCTCTAGTTTGGTTGAAGTAAACATAAACTTAAGGTCACCAAGTAAGATTTATGTATTCTTCTCTGGTTTGATGTGGATTTGTGGAATAAGCTCATCAAACGAAAGCATAATGTGATTGTTTGTTGGCAACAAAAAGGATAAATCTTGCATTGTCTACAGTGTAGTGTTCATGTTCTAAAATCTTGGTAATTGAAACGTTTTAGAACATGAACAATTGATAACAGAAAAGTTTGATTTGGTTATAGAAAAGTTTGAGTCTTTTTTTTCTGTCTTTAGGTTTCTTTGTGAATGAAAAGCTATTCTCTTTGCTTGCTGAATTCAAAAAGGGAACAGTGAGACTTCTTTTCCAACCAGCAGAAGAAGGTGGAGCTGGTGCTTTGCAAATGATAAAGGAAGGTGCTTTGGGTGAATCCCAAGCAATATTTGGGATGCATGTTCAAACTGGCTTACCTACCGGAGAAATGTCAACAATCTCAGGTCCTGCTATGGCAGCTACAAGCACTTTCAGTGTAAGAATAAGTGCAAAAGTACCAGCTTCTTCTTCGGAGACCCATTCTTGTGTTGATCCTGTGTTGGCTGCATCTTCAACCATCTTAGCATTGCAACATATCATCTCCAGAGAAGCAGATCCTCTCAGAAGCCACGTATGTTGATACATCTCCAATTGATCTCTCACTATTTGCAAGTCTTTGACTCCAAAAAGTTTCTTGCTTTTTGGTTTTTAGGTGCTCTCTGTTACATTTATGAAAAGCGGCGCGTCTGAGCTCGATTTGATTCCACCATTTGTAGAATTTGGGGGGACTTTGAGGAGTCTCACAACAGATGGCATTAACTGGTTAAGGCACAGGTTGAAAGAGGTAGGTTTCAAGCAACCTTAAGTCTCTTGTAAGCTTTGAACATGTTATATAGTCTTCGGTTCGATGTTTAAGCCAGAGGTAAACCGGATTTTTGGGGTAAATAGGTGGTTGAAGGACAAACTGAAGTACATAGATGCGAAGCGGAGATTGATATGCATGAAGAGCGTCCAATGTATCCAGCAGTTGTGAACGATCACAAGCTACACGACCACGCTGAGAAGGTTTTGAAACTCTTGGTTGGACCGGAGAAGGTTAAACCGGGGGGGAAGATAATGGCCGGTGAGGATTTTGCTTATTACCAGCAGAGAATTCCCGGTTATTACTTGGGAATCGGTATCAAAGACGAAGAAATCGGTTCTGTGCATTCGGTTCATTCGCCTTATTTCTTCCTCGATGAGAATGTTCTTCCCATTGGATCAGCATTGTTTGCTGCCTTAGCCGAGATGTATTTGCAAGACCATCATAATCAAACCAAGTCTTGATATTGAAGAAGATAAAGAACAAAACTTTGATTTAATGTGAAGGTGTATAAGTCTCTTTAGTTAGTTACTTACTTACCTTCACAAAATAAAGTTGTGAATACAATTCTATAACTTTGAGAAATCAAAGTCATTGTTGTGTTGATAAATTGTGTAAGTAATGGGTCTTACTCTTACATCACTTGGTACTTAGTTGCAGTCTGAGTCATGAAAATGATGTCACTTAAGTTTGAGATACCGACAAAAATAATTTCAGGCAAAGTTTTCCGATAATATCAGTAAATAAAATGGCATGCATACGTTAAAAAAGGGTACAAAACAAAACATTTGTGTATTTTTCTTATAATGTTAATTTGTCTATCGATAATAAGTAAATAATACGCCGACAAAAAGAAAAAAAAGTTGTATAAGAAAACATTTGTCTGTTTTTTATAGTTTTAGTTTGACTATATATGTGATCAACAGAAGCATTGGCACTAGGGAGCATCTAGTGTGTGGAACAAAACAAAAATAAAGCAGCATCTAACTCTATAAATCTATGCAAAAGAAATTTTAATACATTTTTAATTTGTCCTTTCCCTATATGAAAATGTTTGGATAAGATAAAGATGAATGTGTCACATGTCACTCGCATAAGATCCAAAGCTCGCTCATAGAAGAGTATTGAGATGGTGGTAAAGGCGATTAGCAGATAGATAAAGAGATTAGCTCAATTAATTTCACCTAAAACAAAGACAAAAGCGAGGAGACTCAGACTCTTGGCCCAATGACCCTTAATTAAAGTCACTAGGGTCTTAAAGAATACTCTCCTTGTGCCACTAGTCGGAAAAAAGAAAAGCATAAGACGACGATCTAGCTCAACAACATGTACTTCCTTTCCTGCATCTATATTATTAAAACCTGCAGGAAAATTTAGCTCTAAGGTAGCTAATTTTTCTCTAAATTTATCCAATTTTTATGTTAACATAGTAGACGGAATACCTAAATTAGTAATGTATGTTATATAAAGCCAGAATAGTGAATGATTCCGCGAAAAAGATAGTACATAAAGTAATAAATTGTTTTTTCAGTGCATGCACCCCCACCTAGAACAAGTGGATTATGGTCCGAAAAATATCTAATTGAGCTTTATGTAAAAAATGGTTGATGCTAGGCTGTTAGCTAGTTCGATATTATTATATTTTATTTGCAATAAATATAAAATTAAATTAAATATATATTTCATCATATAAAAATATATGTCGTATACTATTTTAGTAAATATTCTGTCTTCATATCTATTTTAAACGAAAATATAAATCACTGATCTTATAATAATAAATAATTCTTTTAACGAAAAGAATAATAATTTTGTTTTTAATTAGTTCGACAGAGTAATTTGGTGATCAGAGCAAAATAAGTTGGCCTTCAGATTTGAAACTGATTTAAAACACAGTGGCGTAGGACTACTTTAAGTTGAATGTACGATAAGCTCGACGGAATATCAACAAAAAACAGTGTGATATGTTTTTATATAAAAAAGATATGTTGTCATTTCTTTAAATTCTGGTGCATGTATCAAAAATTATATAAATCTCTTGCCTCATCATCATTAATATTCGACTGATTGATGAACAAAAGTTCTATATGTTGGTTCTATTTTGTTTTTCAGAAGAAAACCTATTAGTATATAAATGGTACATTTGTATATATTATAGTTAGTGAGTAGTTTGTATTGTATCTCTAATCTGGGTTACTATAAAGACCCGTTGTACAGTTTATTCATGAATTAAGAAAGTAAATACACATTAATCTCTCTCTCTCTTTTATTCTTAATATGGTATCAGAGCCTAACAAACTTTCTTGCTTCCGCCATGGATTCATCGCATCTGACCTCGTGAGCTTCGATTGAGCTTCGTTTTCTTCGATTGAGCTTCCGATTCTTACTCATGAGTGCTCCGATTCGTCATTTGCTCCTTGAATCTCTCTCTTTCATCTTCATTTCTGTATTTGAAATTGTTTCCTTCATCTCTTTCGTCGTACTTTTTCCGCTCTTCCTTCCTTCATTGACCTAGATCTGTTGCCTTCTTCTTCTCTACTTACCGGCACAGTCTCTCTCTCGATTCATTGATCTAGATATGTTGCTCTCTCGATTCACCATGGGATCGACTCAACCATGTGTTCGTCAACAAGATCAGTATGATAATCCATTTTTTCTTCACAATTCGGATCATGCGGGGTTGATATTAGTCTCCGATCGTCTCTCTTCCGGTGAGGATTATCACTCCTGGCGTCGATCGATCCGTATGGCTCTCAACGTCCGCAACAAACTCGGAATTTATTGACGGTACTGTTCCTCGTCCCCCTCCTGATCATCCCGATGCTGGTTCTTGGTCGAGATGCAATGATATGGTTATCACGTGGTTAATGAACTCTGTGTCGAAGAAGATAGGTCAGAGTCTCTTGTATATGTCTACTGCTGAAGCTTTTTGGAAGAATCTAGTTTCTCGTTTTAAACAGGACGATGCGCCTAGGATTTTCGAGATTGAACAGAAATTAGGATCTCTACAGCAGGGACATGTGGATGTAAGCACATACTACACTGAATTGGTCACACTGTGGGAAGAGTTGAAGAACTTTGTTGAACTTCCGGTGTGTACCTGCGGCAAATGTGAGTGTAACGCTGCTCTCCTTTGGGAGAAACACCAGCAACGTAGCAGAGTTATAAAATTCTTGATGGGCTTGAATGATGGTTTTGAGTCTACTCGAAGTTACATTCTTATGTTGAAACCAATTCCTGATATTGAAGAAGTTTTCAATATGGTTGCTCAAGATGAGCGTCAGAAATCAATCAAGCCGACTGTGAGATCTGAGAATGTTGTCTTTCAGACTTCTGATTCTGCTACTGAGGGGTTTTCTGGTGGAGCTGAGAATGAGGTTTATGCTACTATTAGTAGTAATGGCTATCGTGGAAAGCAGAGACCAGTCTGCACTCATTGTGGCATGCTTGGCCATATTGTTCAAAAGTGTTTTCGTCTTCATGGATATCCTCCTGGTCATCGACTACACAATGCGAACAAGAATGTCACAGGACCTTCGCCTCCTCCTCGTGGTCCTTCTATGCCTCCGTCTCAGACTACGTTTCAGTCACAATCTCAGTTTCCTTACCAGAAACAGAACACTGTTGCTACCGTCACTGCTGGATCGCCAAATCCTTCTCCGGTTACCAATGCGATAACCTTTGATCTCAGCAAGTTTACTCAGGAGCAAGTCCAGAGTCTTCTACAACAACTACAGTCAGGTGTGAGGGTTTCGGATTCTGCTCCTCCTCCTTCTACGGCTCCTGCTTCCATCACAGCTCATGGAGTTATGGCTGCTCAATCTTCTTATGGTAACATTCCCTTTTCTTCATCTAGCCTCCGTTTTGAAAATCAAACACTCACCTTTCAACATCAGACTCTTTCTTCTATTTCCAATTCTATTCCTCATGGTGCTTGGATAATTGACAGTGGAGCTACCACTCATGTGTGTTCTGACCTAACATTGTTTAGTACAACTGTTTCTGTTTCTGGAGTTACAGTTTCTTTACCTAATGGAGTTAGAGTCCCTATCATACACACAAGCACTGTGCATATCTCTGATGCATTGGTTTTGCATAATGTTCTTCATGTTCCTTCATTTGCATTTAATCTCATCAGTGTGAGTAGTTTGTTGCATGAAAATCAGAACTCTGCTCATTTTTATTCTGATTCTTGCTATATTCAGGAGCATACTCAGGGCTTGATGATTGGTAAAGGCTATCTTCTGCATAATCTCTACATATTAGAAGCTGGTGTTGTTTCTCCGTCTGTCAACCTGTGTGGATCCTTGTCAGTAGATGAGAGTCTCTGGCATCAACGCCTTGGACACCCATCTTCTGTCAAGTTACAGCATTTATCTGGTATTTTACCTTTAGCAAAGTCTTCTATTGTTGCGTCTCCGTGTTCTGTTTGTCCCCTGGCTAAGCAGAAATGTTTACCTTTTGTTTCTAATAATCGTTTGGCTGCTTCTCCGTTTGATCTCATTCATATTGATACTTGGGGTCCGTTTTCTATCGAGTCTGTTGAAGGGTATAGATATTTTCTCACTATTGTTGATGATTGTACAAGAGTTACATGGATTTATATGATGAGAAATAAAAGTGATGTTTCCCAAGTGTTTTCTGGTTTCTTAAATCTTGTTCGTACTCAATATAATTGTTCTATTAAAGTCATTCGTAGTGACAATGCTCCAGAACTTGCTTTTACTCACCTAACTCGCGAATTTGGCATTATTCATCATTTTTCTTGTGCATATACACCTCAACAGAACTCTGTAGTGGAAAGAAAATATCAGCATATCTTAAATGTTGCGAGAGCTTTGCATTTTCAATCTCATTTGCCTCTTGCTTATTGGAGTGATTGCATATTGACTGCTGTTTTTCTCATTAATCGGACTCCATCCATTCTTCTTAAAAAGTTGTCACCCTATGAGACTTTGTTGCACAAGAAACCGGATTACTCTTTTCTTCGATCTTTTGGCTGTTTATGTTATGTCTCTACTTTGCAAAAAGATCGTCACAAATTTTCTCCACGAGCGAGCTCTTGTGTTTTTCTCGGCTATTCTACCGGCTATAAAGGTTACAAAGTTCTCGATCTTGACACTCATGTTGTTTCTGTTTCTCGTATTGTCATTTTCCATGAAAATGTTTTTCCTTTCAAAACGGCTATTTCAACTCTTTCAGCCGATGATGTTTTCTCGGATTCGATTTTAACTGTGTCTACTCCTGTTGATCTTGATTCAGTGCATATGTTTCCTGATTCTGCATCTCCACCTAATCTTGATACTTCTCTGCATAATGACCATGCTACTTCTGCTTCTGTGCATCCTAATCATTCTGAGTCTGTGCATATTGATCATTCTGCATCTGTTACTGATCATGCATTGCATCCAGACACTCGTGCATCACACACTAGTACTGTAGCTCCATTATCTGAGACTGTGACTGCAGGTACAAAGATTGTTGTGCCTCCCACTACTAGGCCAAAACGCGCTCCCAAGGTTCCAGGTTACTTATCCGAGTACCATTGTTCTCTTATTCAATCTTCTTCTTCTTCACCCACTGAAATTTCTTCTTCTCTACCTAAAGGTTCTTCTCGATATCCTCTTTCTTCTGTTCTCTCTTATTCACACCTTGCCTCTCCATATCAACATTATGCTCTCTCTCTCTTACCCTTGAAACTGAACCTAAGAATTTTGAGCAAGCTATAACTTCTGTTGTTTGGACGGGTGCCATGAATGAGGAGTATCGGTATCAGGAACTCAATAAAATTTTCACTATAGAATCTTTACCTCCGGGGAAGAATGTTGTGGGATGTCGCTGGATTTATACTTTTAAGTATAACTCTGATGGTGCAATTGAACGTCGTAAGGCTCGCCTGGTTGCTCAGGGATTTACTCAACAAGAGGGTGTTGACTTCACTGATACTTTTTCTTCAGTTTCTAAGATGGCCAGTGTGATGATGTTACTTGGTCTAGCGGCTAATCATGGTTGGAGCCTTACTCAGATGGATGTCACATGTGCGTTCCTACACAGTGATCTCAAAGAGGAAATTTATATGAGCTTACCTCTGGGTTATACTCCGGCTCCTGGTGAAGTTCTACCTCCGAATCCAGTCTGTCGATTACGGAAATCGATTTATGGCCTTAAACAAGCATCACGTCAATGGTACCATTGTTTCTCTTCGGTTCTTCTCAAACATGGTTTCATGCAATCCCCTGCTGATAACTCTCTGTTTGTTAAGATCTCTGGTGATGTTTGTATAGTGCTTCTTGTGTATGTGGATGACATACTGATTGTTAGCAATGATGACGCTGCGGTTTCTGAATTGAAAGCTCATCTTCATGCTGCTTTCAAGATCAAGGACTTAGGTGTTGCACGTTACTTCCTTGGCATGGAGATTGCACGTAATGATTCTGGTATCTCTGTTTCTCAACGGAAGTATGCTCTTGATCTGCTCTCAGATACTGGAATGTTGGGATGCAAACCTTCTGCTGTGCCAATGGATCCGTCTGTTTCTTTTAGCAAGGATTCAGGCTCTCCTTTGAAGGATATTGGTTCTTACCGTGAACTCATAGGACGCTTGCTCTACCTCACGATCACGAGGCCGGACATTACTTTTGCGGTGAATCGGCTTAGTCAGTTTCTCAGCGCTCCTACGGATGTTCACATGCAGGCAGCTTACAAGATCCTTCGATATATCAAGGGGAATCCGGGACAGGGCCTTTTCTACTCTGCTGACTCTGAGACTTGCTTGAATGCATTTGCTGATGCAGATTATGGTACTTGTCCGGATACAAGAAGATCTGTAACTGGTTTTTGCGTCTATCTTGGGAAATCCTTGATTTCATGGAAGTCGAAGAAACAGCATACTGTAAGTCGTAATAGCACTGAAGCGGAGTATCGTAGCTTGGCTTTGGCTTCGTGTGAGCTGATTTGGCTCAATCAGCTACTTGAGGATATGAAGGTTCAGGTGCAACACACGGCTAAGCTCTTTTGCGACAATAAATCGGCAATCCATATTGCTACGAACCCGGTCTTTCACGAACGAACGAAACACATAGAGATAGATTGTCATACCGTTCATGATCAGCTCAAGTCAGATTTTCTGAAGCTTATGCATGTTACCAGTGGTAATCAACATGCTGATATTTTGACGAAAGCTTTGCATCCGGGTCTGTTTTGTTCCCTTCTTAGCCGTATGTCTACTTCAAGGCTCTTTTCTCCTTCAACGGTTACCATTTTAGAGGCTTGAAGGGGTGTATTAGTATATAAATGGTACATTTGTATATACTATAGTTAGTGAGTAGTTTATATTGTATCTCTAATCTGGATTACTATAAAGACCCGTTGTACAGTTTATTCATGAATTAAGAAAGTAAATACACGTTAATCTCTCTCTCTTATCCTTAATAAAACCTAAGTTTAAAACTCGATTTTATCACTCGTAATAACCTCTTCTCTCACTTGGGGAGCCATGAGGAAGACTTTCTCTTAGTCCATGGTTCCTTCTAAACCAAGTTTAATTACGTACTTCGATAATCCCACGGATCACGTGAGTCCTCATGAATCTGTCAATTTACTCGCATTAAAATCTTCTGATCCAAACTTTATGCTGGCCTAAGCAAGAAAGTCCACATATTCTTTGTGGGGGTTGAGAAAAATCTTCATCAAATCTTCCAACATGTATACATGTATATACACGTACACACACACCTACACTGGTAACCCATATCTTTATATAGAACATGTATACATGTATACACGTTACGTACACTAATATAAGCTCTCCATTATTGATTACAGTGAGATCAAAAGCCACCCACCAATATGTACTAAAATTTTCGAATATTTTTATTTTCGTATAGTTTGGTGTTAGGATTTTTTTTTTCCCTTCTGTTGTATCCATCATTTTCTTCTTTTTACATGTCCTTGTTGGATTAAAAATGTGTACGCTAGCCAATGAAATGCCCTTGCTGAATTACTGTTGCTAATTCGTCAATTAATCTTTTACCAAAAAAACGTTCGTCAGTAAAGTCTGTAACTAACAGATTAATTGGTTGATTTTATTTACTGGTTGCAGTATATGTTTGATAAATATTGGATTTTAAATGTTACTATCAATGAAATACCCTTCGTAAATTCTTATTCAATAGTATCAATACTCCTATATAACTATTGTTAATTAGACAATTAATCACTGTAATTTAGTCTGTAACTATCAGATTAATTAGTCGATTTATTAATTAAGGGACCCTCTATAATAGAGGGCAATTTATGTTTGATTAGCGTAAGTCGACTTATGTACGTTGAATATATGGAATTGACTTAAAAGATTTATTTCGTTTAAACTATGTTAGTTCACACAAAGCTCCAGAAAAGGTAATATATTATATCATTATATTTATTTGTCCCAGTATGTGAACGGCTGAACGCTCAGTTTGTAAGTAGTAGACTGGACTTTTTTTTTACTTTATAAAAAAAAATTATCATATCATTTTATTTATTTCTCCCAGTATTTATGTATTACATATTTTGATCATTTTGTAAACATAACCGATTTTGAGCTTTAGAAGACCGCAAACCCATGATTAAGCATTTTTATAGAGTCTAGACACAATATACAGAAACCAGTGAAATTAGCCTTGTATAAGTATGAGTGTTACAGCAGTAGACCAATGCTGATATTGCAACTGGTTAACTATCGAAAAATATATTTCAAAATTAAGTTTAAACAATAATATCATTATATATCTTATCCATAATTAAAAAAAAATATATATATCTGAATTGCACGGCTGTATTATCACGGTTACGTATTTGATTTAATGTTCCTCATTAGAACATGAATGGTTGTTTAACATCTTATACATACGAATTGTTGTTATTCAAGAGTCTAGACTCTATGGTTTTAAATCATGAATAGTTGTTTAATGAGTATACGTTGTAAGAAAAGAGTAGTGTATACTGGTATGAGTCACACTTTAACAGCGTATTACTTTTTTCTTAATCTGATTATTTTGCAGACAATAAAGATTGTTAATAAAATAAAAAAATTCTAAAATGCTACTAGTAATTAGTAATTAGTATGCGGAAAAGGCGAGGGAATCAAATATCCAATTTTTAAAAAGTGTAAGGTATGGGTGCGCCAATATATAACTAAATTGATAATATAGGTTCACGTAAGGGATTTTATAGATCTCTAGTGACTAGTATCTTAATTTATCAATTTTGTAATTTCAAAGTCTACTCTTCGATTTTCTGCATGGAACAAAATCAATTTAAACTAACATTCTAGAGATTTTTTTCTTTTGTCAAATGAAGCTAATCAACAACATATATTAAGAAAAAAAATCGTTGTGCAGCGTAATAATGTATTTACAATATAGAAATAAAATTGCGAAATTATTTTAAAAAGAAAAGCATAATGGGAATCAAACCGTGCCATGATTGTTGTGCATTGGTCCCTTTACAACATTAGTACACGAAGTCACGAACTATAGTTAAAATCTCACTTTTGTTTTTTTTTTGTTAAAGGGTTTTTAATTGTAGTCACACATTTTTTTTTGTTAAAGGGCTTTCTTTAATTATAGATACACATGTTTTTTGAACCCAAAAAAAAAAAAAAAAAAAAAAAAAAAAAGATACACATGTAAGAAATTTTTGCTGAAAGTGCTCTAAATATCCATTAATGGCTACAACTCAAACACACTTTCAGATTTTATCATCGATTCTGAAGCCTCGGTTATAGAAAATTACTATTCGCACTTCAAGATTCCTCGATTCTGAAGTAGATTATCTATAATATTGTTATAAAATAAAATAAAGTTGATTCACAGCTCATCTCAATTTTCGGCCAACTGAAAATCTATTAATTAAATGTGATGAAGCTGATGATGTAACATTAGGGCAACATGCATGTGAACGTGGCAAGTTATATGCACACCATTAAATAAGCCATTAATCACAAGGTTCAAGAAAAAGAAAGCCATTAATCACTATTATCTCCAACAAGAATCGACACAGAATATTTTTGATGTTCGTATACAACTACCAAAAGAAAACCGGGGTACATCGTTAATTTTAGTCGTATATACCAATTGTTGAGCTCTAAAATCCGTTGGTTATTAACATTCGTCCAATTATGGCATATTTTACTAGTACGTAACCCATATAATTGATTAAGTCTAAATGAAATTCATGTAGTCATGTAGACCACTTGACGAAAAAATGAAATTAAAACCTAACATAGTAACATCTTTTTTTTTCTAATTCAGGAATTAGTCTAAATCCTTCCATATGTTTGGGATTTACCTTGAATTAAAAAAAAACATAGTACAGTAGAACTTATATAAAGTAATACTCTGATAAAGTAATACTTTAATAAATGAATAGATTTTTTAAGTCTCAAATTAAGTTTTGGTGTAATTGTCTCTTGATAAATTAATAATCTCACTAAAATAATAAAATATTATAATCTTAACATTATTATTTTATAGAAGTTTTACTGTAAAATGTTATGGTTCGTTATAAACAATTGGATTGCTTGTTGTCGTATTAATTGCTTTTAACAAATATTTTAGACAGACATTTTTTGACATAGATTTTAGACAGACATTGAACTAATTAATATTCTTTTTCTTTTGTTAATTTTTTCTGTTAAACTATATTGTAGTTTTGAAGAAAAAAGTATGATTTGTTCTAATTTCACTATCCTTACAAGAAAAAAATGAACATTTCTATTTCTAATTGGTTATTTTAGAAATTTGGATAGAGAAAGAAATGTCGGCATATTATAAAATATTTACAATACTCATATGGGACAAACTACTTTCTAAGGAAGGAACAAGTCTTTCTATTTAGTATTGGACCATCTATGGCAGTTATCATTTTAAAAATCCGTTCTTTAGCCTCCACTATTTTTTTACCTTTCAAAATATAAAATTTGGTTGGTTATAAAGCACTTTTAGATTTTTTTATTTTATAGATACGAATATGTAGCCATTACAGATCCAAATATTAGCTCATGATGAGCATTGGAGAATTGAAGTTTTTGTTTTTATTTATACTGAATTTAGGAGTGAGTGGTCCTAGATTTTGAATGGTATTGGTACAGATTTTATTTTATAGATTTAGATCAAGGATGCATTTTCTTATATGCGGAGCTCTACTGTTGGCTTTTGTTTTATTTAAATGAAAACAATTCGTATAATAAAACTAACTGTTCTTTTCCCCGATTTATATATACATAAATATTGAGAGATACATATATATGGATATGACAATGAATTATTGATAATATATAATAAGTGTCCTTTAAGCAAAATGAGAATTCAATGTATTTGAATGTATTAAACTCAAAATAATACTTATTATTGTCGAGATATATTCAATTATTGTTCATATACATTTTTTCCAAATGACATTTATTGTAAAATAGAGGGGTATCATTTTTTTAATAATAAGATCTACATAATTGAAAAAAACAAATTTTGCTGAAGCTTACCCAAAGAAAAAAAAAAATACTGAACCCAGCCATACATATAATATAACTGACAACTCTCCCATCCCATGTATATCTGTTTGGTTCTTTAACAAAAACAAGAAAATGTATATCTGTTTGGTTTTCTACAAAATTTGAAGTCATGAAGTATCCAATTATAAGACCCACTTTTATTTAATGCTGCTTTCTAATAATGCTGTAATGATTAATTTGTTTTTTTTTCCTACGTTAACCAAATACTCCCTTTTTATAATTCCAACCTGATTTTGTTTTACATCTAATGTGCACTGTGCGTGAGAAGCAGGTGATTAAAAAAAGAAGAAAAATAATTATATATATTTTATATTTTATAAACTAAAATTGAAATTATAATTTCTGTCTCTAGCTGTGATGAAAAGTGAAAGTAGTCGCCTATATAAAGACAAACAAGTGTCTTCACTTTCTCACTACTCAAATCTTCTTCTCTCACAAGATAAGAGATCATTCTTGAAAGAGTCTAGAAATTTCAAGATCCAAAGAGAAGAAGAATCGATCATGATCTCTGTTGTGATTATCACTGAGCTACTAGTAGAGTACACGACGGCTCTCGCTAAACTCACCGCCGGGATTCTTCCACGACGGTCCGGCGATAGAAACGCCCTACGGGTCGGTGGTTTCCTCATTCCCGCTCCTTCTGCGACTTCTATGATTCCTGATTTCTCTTCTCATCTCGTCGACTTCTGATTTTCCTCAAACTTTTGTTTTTGACTTCAGATTTGCTCCTCTCTCTGATATAGTCTTTGAGAAGCGAATGAGATTTTTACCGAGTGTCTCATCGTTTCTCTTTCTTTCTCTCTGGGTTTTGAATCGAATAGAGCTTTTGTAAATCCTTATCTAGTTTATATTAGAGATGATTGGTGGTTTTGAAGAACTATATCTTTTGTTTTAGTTTTTGTTTTTTGAATGATCATGATTTGTAATCTTCATAACTAGATTAGTTTCTAGTTTTGTTTATGGCAATGAAATCTTGCGAGCATTTTTACCTTATTTGTTTTCTTACATTAGTCATTGTACTTTAACAAGAAAACCAACAAAAAAAAAACAGGAGTCATTTGCTCACGAACGTCAAAAAAGAGAAGAGGACAATTACTCTTTTAAATATAGTAGTACTAATGAAAGTAGTCAAATTGATAATTACGGATTGATTTAATAATCGATTAGTTGAAACTTGAAAGACACCGAACGTTCAACTAGTTAATTCATGGAGAGTTTTGTAATGTACGCCATCTTTATAAAGAGCCTAGTGATTAGTGATACTATCTACACTAATTCCTAAGCTACAGAAAATTAGTTTCACTTTTTTTTTTCACTTTCTTTTTATTTAACTTAATTTCAAGTAAATTAGAGGTAAATTTATTCATCAGAAATTTTAAAAATAAGTTGTGATGCGTCGTGAGAATTAAACTCAACAAGATTCCCCAGTGACTGGCATTCCAAAGAAGTTCCAGCACATGGAAAGTTCCCAATGCATAAAATTCCAACTTCATCTCACAAGTCATAAGAGAGCTAAACCAGCATGTGATGTGCGGAAGCAGCTGACGCTTTGTGTGTGCATGATGAGAGGTAACATATGCATCTCTCAAAGTGGTATAAATGTCATCATTGCTCGAATTTATCAGGCACGTATAACATGTTCTAAGGACAGACTAGCTGTCCCAAAGCTACGAATCACATGGCTTATGCAAAAGGTCAACAAATAGTCGACATGTATCAAGCTCAAGAACTAAAGACCCGATATCCGAATACCAAAGGGTAAATCTTCATAAATATCAAGCTACATCCCCCATTAAAGGCGATCCAAAATCAAACCTGATCCCTAAAGCTCGAAAATGATTATTGTGTACAAAAACTCAATATATTGATTACAATTTATAAACCATTTCTAATTAGAAAGTTTTGTATTATCAGTGTATTATCTAACGAATATTTTTGTTGAAACAATCCAGCTTAGACTAACCGCACTATTTGAAATCACTTAAGTTGATTGGTGAGACCGAAAAATGATTAATATATGTGGCAAACATTTATCAGTTCATATCCTTATTGATTTCAAGTTTTGAAGGGCCAAGCCGAATGAATATTTATATATTAAGACAAAAATTTAGACCTTTGACAAACATGTATACCATTACCAGATTACTAGTAAATCCAAGACTATGCACAATGCACGCGTGGAGTGATTACTTTGCTAAATGACAACGTATTAGGTTGTTCTTGTATGTTGTTTCGTGGGAATTTTACAAAGAAAAATGTGTATTGCTGTCTACATCATCCTAGACAAGTACTTATGTCCTGTCTTACTACCATATAACAACTTTTTAGTTCTTGCTTCAAAAAATTTCAATAATTGGTATACATAGATACATAAAGGATTTTATGTATACATGAAAAGATATATATAGAAAAAGTTAGTTGGATATTTAATGGATGAAAAGGAGCCCAATTTTTTTATATATGATATGGAATTTTCTACAGTACTTTTTGAAACAATGCACAATGCGTTAGACTTCTTTTTTCTTGTTAAACTACATAATTTTTTATATTTAGTCCGTATTTTTTGTTTGAAAGAAAATTTACTTGCAAAGTCGTTGTCCAAATCTTTTTATTTTTGTGAGAAACATAGAAAGTAGAAAATGAATAAAATAATGATGCAAAAAAGGCGAATTAAGAACAGTGCTGTGAAAGCAACGGTTTACTCGAGGATTTTGCATTCGAAAAACTCGTCATTGCATCGGCTGGCATGTGCGGGTCCTCCTATTGTCACCAAAACTACCAATTTTATTACAATTAACATAATTTTTTAATTACGGTTCTAACTTCTTACTAAAGACATTCACAAATGACAAATCACAAAAGCTTATGAAGCTTTTTCTTTACAACATATCTTGAAAAAAGAAGAAAGGCAGCTTTACAAGTCATCTCAGCTTTTCAGAAGACGACTTGACTTATATTTCATAAACCAACTAGTTAAAAGAATTGAAGTATATCATCAAATTCGTTCTAAGAAATCTTCATGATACTACACGTGAATGGGACTTAACTATCGTATCATCAATTCGATTGCATCGTTTCCCATCACTTTTAGTTGGTATAGTTATTACCAATTAATTTCCAAACAGTAGTTACAATCATTTTTTATATCAAATGAATTATTTTAGAGCTGAAAGAAATTTATTGAAGGTCTATCTACTTGCATATTCAATACCTACCCATAATAATTGGTAATTGCCAGTTGCTCCCGAAGAGAATTTCAACACATCTGCTATATAGGACTGTAGTACTCCATGAATTATGAAATTAAATAATCTGAAATTTTACAATACAGGCATAGGATAAGTAAAAAATAGCTCAAGCTATTTCTAGATCCATGTGCTTTGTTTGGTTTTATTCTTATATGTATAAAACGTATAGTAAAAAATATGTAGTTTTGAAATACCCCTTAAAATTTAGGAAAAAAGAAATTAAAAAATGTATTTATTTTAGTATCTTTATATATATATATATATATAAAAATATATAGAATATAATTTTGGTAGCTTCTGTATTTCGGCGAAACCGTTATTTGTATACTTGTCTCATATAGTGCCAACTAAAAACATATTTTTAATGAACCGAAAATGAAGGTTACACTTTGATGTTGACCAGTTGAAGATTACATTTATGAGAAGAGATCATCTGATTGACACACGGGTTGAAGTCATGGAGACGATCAGAGTCTTATGGAGAACAGCATCGATCCTGGATGGGTATGGTATGGCATGGCTATAAAAGTCACGAGCACCAACTTATAGGTTCTATAGTGGTAAATTAATAAGACTAGTTTTTTCTTTGGACCTTATAAATATTTTTACACCCTAAACCCAAAATTATAAACTCTAGTTTAGCAAAAAAAATAAACCAAACATAATACTTTTTTTATGTCGCTTATTTAGGGTAATTAAACAAACATTTTTTCACAAAAGTATTTAGTTCATATTGGTTATAAAAACTTATTAATACATTTTTTCACACCAAAAAAAAAATAGTTCATTTTAGGGTATTTCACCAACTATTTCTCTTTAGAAAAAAAAAATAGAATTATCAATTTCAAGTAAACTTTACACTAAAAGAGGAGAAAGCATATAAAAAGTCAGTAGTCAACGGGCCTAAAAACAAGTTGCCCAATAATAGGCCCATTACAAGATTTTTCCAAGTGTCTCCGTTTCTTATCGCTAAAGGGATTTCAAGTATGACCAATATTTGTTTTGTTTGTTCTTCGAAAAAGCTCTTTTTTGATGCAAATTGTCTCGTGATCTTCATTCAATTAAAACACTAGAAACCCAAATAAGCATTATTACGTCTGAATCTAGGATGCTCAAATTAGTTATAAACTATCCAAATCCAACACTTTTTTTTTTCCTGTGAAAAGTTGATCACTTTACTCAGTTTCCAATAGTGGGGAGATGTAAAATTCAGAGAACCGTAAGCAATCATTTAGTCAATTTAGTGAAACAAACCTCAAACATGGTTGTGTTTGTACACTGAAGTCGAATCAGAAAATCAAAAAAGGATTAAGAGGAAAGAACAATGCAAAATGCTCAATGAGGAAATGTCATTACATGAAACCACAAAACACATTACTTATCCAAAAACTAAAATCGATCTATTAGTCTACCTAACTGAAAGTTCATAAAGAAGATCATTAATCCTAAAATATAACCACCAAATTTCATTTTGCCTTCACGGCTTCATCGACTTCCAAAAATCAGAGTCCTTAGCATTACAATGCGCAGGCGAAAATATCCAATCTTCACAAGGAGCAGGCTTATCGCAGACATAACAGTAACACTGCATTGTAAATTTACAATTGAGACAAGCAAGCATCAAAACAAAGTTGATCCATTTCATACTCTTTGGCAAAAACCCACAAAGAAGAAGAATTACCAGATCACAATGTGATGCATTTGGAGTTGATCCAAAGGGAAAATTCAAGCAAAGATGTCTTGGATGTGGGTAGTCTCTACAAGCAACCTGGTCATCAGATTCCATCAAAAATCAAAACTTTATGAAAACTAATAGCCCTAATTACAAAACCCATGATTTTTCAAAAACCTGGCCTGTCTCGTGGATGATGGCTACATCTTTATCTCCTTCCTCACAGTCGTCGCCGGAAAAGGAGAGTCTTTTAATGTCGAAGGAATCAGAGGGATTGAAATCGAGGATGAAGCAGTCCTCTGTTTCCTCGATTCTCTTCATGTCTTGCCTGATTTTAAGACATAATATGCCTCTCAAAGGAGTGCCTTCGTCTTTCTTCGTCTCCATTTTTCTCTCCCAGACTCGCAGAGATCGAAAGAGACCCAAACGTTTCGCTTCTTCTGGCACTTAACAGTTACAAGGGAAAAAGCAAAGCTATGATGCTTTTATGTTTTGATAAAATAAAATCGAGATTTAGAGGAGCTTACTGCAATTAACAACCCCTTTTCATGATTAAGTTATTGGGCTTTTTATATGGGCCTAATAATTAGCCCAAAGCTACCAAGTTTAAGTTCGAGTTGGAACTAGACTTTGTCCCAAAACTTTTTTACTGAAACATAAATTACAAAAGTTTTTTTTTTTTTTTTTTTTTTTTTGACAAAAATTACAAAAGATTATATAAAGAGTGAAAAGTGAAATCCTTTCGATGCGTGGCTAATATAAGATAAATCAAGAAAATATAACTATATATATGTGACTTTTTTTTTTTATAATTGGTGTGATCCAGTTTTAACACCCGACTAATTTTCTCAGGGTAAATGTAAATGTCAAATAGCATATTCACCGGGTTTTCTAGTGGGTTTAATTAGCATGACACTATTTCGACTAACCAAGTGAAAATAACTTAAATAGTTACACGTTTGATCTCAGATCTAGACCAATAGGACAACATTTTCACTAAGAAGCGATTAACCATACAATCCATTTTTAGGTAATTAGGTGCCATGCATGACAATATGTACGTCGATGACACTATTTTCCACGGTAATGGGGTATATAAGTAACTGTACGGGAGTATTGTTGTAGTAGGTAAGACTTGTGGCTGTGAGATTCGGGGCTTACCAATACCCTTAGATATTTATCAATACGATAGTCACTCACTCACTCTGGTCTTCAATATTTTGTTTTTCTTTTACATTTTTGGCATTTTTCAATTATTCATTTGGATTATTAAAGTTATATAAATAGTAAAATGCAATTCATGATAGTGAACTACATTGTACAAGGTTTATGGGGTCATAATTTTGGTGATTTAATTCTAATAAGGAGCCCATAAATTAGGTATTGGGGTCTCTTTTAATTTTGGGTTTTGTGCAAAAAAACCAGGCAACTAAATTAAATTTGCAAATCAACTCTCAACTTTGTGCAAGTCAATCCCTCCAACTCTAAAGTCACCCGCTAAACAGCCATTACGTATATTGCCCACGTGTCAACAACGAAACACTGCGTTTTAGACATTAAAACAGGGACGCAGTTTAAGTTTCTATGCCGTTTTGGGACAAAATTAAAACAGGTGAAATGAAAAAATGTCGAATTCATTGGGAAAAACTAAAATCGATTTGGGGAAATGCTAATTAGGGTTCTTGGCCATTTTAGATCTTGGGTAATCTCTTGGAAGCTTGAGCGGCTTCACTCGCCTGAGATGTACGAGATGATTCACAACCATCTAGCCTTGATTCTCTGAAGCAGAATGGGTGACCTGACCTCTGTTGCACAGATAAGCAAACTCTGAGTTGGACAAGTCGATGCTGCTTCTGTCATGTATGGATACTTCTTGAAGCGGGTGGACCAAAGGTTTCAGCTAGAGAAGACGATGAAGAATCTTCCTGGTGGGTCTGATGAAAGTAAAACAAACAACCAGAGGACAAGACATTTCAGGCTGTATCCTCTCACCCCGAGGTTGGTTCGTTTGCGGCTGGAGTTAGCGCTGAAGGCTTTGGCAGCGAGATTAAACCGTCCCGGTTAAGGACATACGCGATGTCGTATGATAGCGAGACGCTTCAGAGATACGCCACGATAAGATCAAGAGAAGCAGTTGGGATCATCGAGAAAACACCGAGGCATTGTTTGGTAAGCCCGAGATTGTGATAACACCGCAAGTCACTACCGATTCATCGAAAGACGAACAGATAGAGATCAGCTTTGGTGGGATGAAGAGGCTTGTCTTGGAGGTTGTGACTTTCGGGTCGTTTCTCTGGGACGTTGAGAACCATGTAGGTGAAGGTACCACTTTGTATTGAACTGAAAAAAATGGTTTGTTGTATTGTAATGAAAGTTTGACTAACTTCATTAAGAAGATATATGCCCATTACGAGAATCATTACATTTGTATGAGTATGATATTATTAATTTGGATAAGCTATAGCTAGCTAAAGATGATGGTAGAATGCTAAACTAAGAAGGAAGCCTACCTAGCCTGCAATAAGACTTAACAATCTTAAAATCTATGTTACAAAAATTACAAGGAAATCCAAATTCTGTTAGGCTTCTGTTTCTTTCACCAAAGGAGTCGTGTGACGAAGAAGATCTCGACTAACTCTGCGTCCACGACAAATGATCGGAGACAGATCCAACGGGTGTCGATTTCCCGGAGAATAGAGCTTAGCTGAGCTTCTGCGTCACCTCTGTAATCATGGTTTCCCAAAACTGCAGCATTTGTATTCGAGATTTGATGAGTAACAAAACAAAAAAGTGGATTAATTATCTTCCGTAGAACCAGAGAGTAAAACACCCAGCTGTCCAGTGAATGGACCTGGTGCTGTTGACATATTATGGTTAACAGATGAAAGAAGACTACCTGCAGTTGATATCAGCTGTATGATTATGGAAGTAAGATCAGTCGTTATGAGCTGTTGCTGCTGCTGAGGCCACGAGCTCGTTGTCTTGACGACTACCGTGAAGCTGCTGCCCGCCGTTGCGTCCGACGATCAGATGAAGATAGATTGGTAAGCATCGTTCTTGGATCCCATGCTTGAGCTCTAACGCCTTTCAAGAAATCAACATTGATTTGTTGTTGTTGTTATCTTCTCCTGAAGCTTTCATCTGTTGGAAAAATTGCAAGCTACAGTAGGTGGCTCCATATCCATTTTGATTGAAGCATCTTCCCACTTCTGATTTGGTGTAGTGAAAGTTTGGTTTCCCGGTTCACTCAATTTTGAAGAGCTTCTTCCCCAATTGTCGTCTTCTGTTTCCATCTCTGGTTTCACTGACAAAATCTAAAACAATAAGGATCAAGATAAACAAGAACATATAAGTTTTGAAAGACATCATAAATCTTCATCAGAAAAAAAAAAAAAAATCTTCATCAGAATCAAAATTTGGACCAATGAGACAAAGATACAGACGCACAAACGGATATTTCACAGAATCAAATTCGACTAAAAAGCTTCAATTCTCTCGTACTGAGAGCAAAAATCAAACACCTAAAACCAGACGATTATTAAGCTTTAACTTTCATAGAAACCGGAACAAACAAAAATGCAGTCAATGAAAATCGAAAAATTCCTCAGTCAGCGAATGAAAAAAAAAATCATATCAAAACGAATTAGACAGAAGAAAACCCCTCCAATCATAAAATCGCTCAAGCTTCTAGAGTTTACCCAGGATTCAAGCTTAAAATCACCAAAGAACCCTAATTTAGTATTTCTTCCAAATCGATTTTAGTTTATTCCCAAATGAAATCCCGACCATTTCATCTCGAGTGTTTTAATTTTGTCCCAAAACGGCATAGAAACTTAAACTGCGTGCTGTTTTAATGTCTAAAACGCAGTGTTTTGTTGTTGACATATGGGCATATACGCAATGGCTGTTTAGCGGGTGACTTTAGAGTTGAGGGGATTGACCTGCACAAAAAAAAGTTAAGGATTAGATTTGCAAAATTAATTTAGTTGCCTGTTTTTTTTCACAAAACCCTTTAATTTTCCTATAAACCTTGTAACCAACCCAACGTCTCACACATATCACGCAAACCTCAACACATACAAACCGAAAAAAAAGCAAAGAAAAAATCCTAGAGATTTCAAGAAAATGGGGGCAACGGCGGAGACACAGATGACTCCGGCACAAGTCACTGACGACGAAGCTAACCTCTTCGCCATTCAGCTAGCGAGTGCCTCCGTTCTTCCGATGGCTTTAAAATCCGCTATAGAGCTCGATCTTCTCGAGATCATGGCCAAGAACTCTTCTCCCATGTCTCCTTCCGAGATTGCTTCCCATCTCCCGACCAACAACCCCCAAGCTCCCGTCATGCTGGACCGTATCCTCCGGCTTCTTTCGGCTTACTCCGTCCTCACTTGTTCCGTCCGTACACTTACCGACGGCGTCGAGCGAACTTACGGGCTTGGTCCGGTTTGCAAGTACTTGACCAAGAACGAAGATGGTGTTTCGCTTGCTGCTCTTTGTCTCATGAACCATGACAAGGTCCTCATGGAAAGCTGGTAAGTTTTTACGTAGCTACACTGACAGTTATCATATAAGCTGTGTTAATCTCCCACGCTAAATCAACTTGGGATTATATATGTTTTTCGTATTATAAGTTATAAGCTTCTTGGTTGATGTCATTAAAATCGTAAAGGTAAAGGTGATAGTGAGAGAGCCAAGAAGTGTTAAAGACAATCAGACGAAAACAAATAAATTGAAACGACTTTGTTGATTGTTAAGTCATTTTATGAAAATATGGCTGAAGATAAGTAGTTGATCAAACACATAGATCGATTAGAATATAAGTTATTTTTTTATGTCATTTATTTATTGATTTTATATTTTATATTTAATTAAAAAAATTGGTTATAGAAAACTAAAATAATGTAAGTACAGTATATGAACAATTGCTATTAATAGATATAAGAGAGATGCTGAAAAATCAACTATTTTAATAAACGATTTTAGGATTAAGAAAACTATATATACAAGAAAACAGAGAAAAGGTACACAATCATAAATACAAAGGTGTACTTGAAGTATGTGGCTTGATCATTTTTAACAAAGCAGTTCGTTCCATCACTTGCTTTTAGAGTGTGACTTCATTGTCTTTCTAATTATGAGCATGAAGAAGGTAAGGTTTCACATGCCATATACAACGGGCCGGCCCCGCAAATAATATTGAGAAATTTAATAAATAAATATATTAGTTGGTCACAATAGCTAGAGAGAAACACTTTGAATATATAGAGAAAACGTAATCGTTCGTCCTTCTATTGAGTATTGAGTAACCACAACAACAAAAGAGAGAGAAAGAAGAGAATAGGTCCTCAGATTATTGAGCAACAAGAAAATAAAATATATAGAAGACGTAGTCATTTAACTTTTTAAATTTTCTAAACACAATTTTTTTTATTGACATGCACGCTTCCTTCATTTAACTTTGGTTTTACATGTGGGTGTGTGTGTGTGTGTGTGTGTGTGTGTGTGTTTCTTTCTAAAACTCATGCCAAAGAGACTTGTTAATTTGCAGGTACCATTTGAAGGATGCAATTCTTGATGGTGGGATTCCATTCAACAAAGCTTATGGCATGAGCGCATTCGAGTACCCCAGGACTGACCCTAGCTTCAACAAGGTCTTCAACAAAGGAATGTCCAACCATTCCACCATCACCATGAAGAAGATTCTCGAGACCTATAAGGGTTTCGAGGGATTTACTTCTTTGGTTGATGTCGGTGGTGGCATTGGTGTTACTCTTAAAATGATTGTCTCTAAGTACCCTAACCTTAAAGGCATCAACTTTGATCTCCCTCATGTCATCCAAGTTGCTCCATCTTACCCCGGTATTTTCCAAAATCTGATTTTCATGGATCGTGTTTTAAATTTGATTATGAGTGGATTGTAAAATAATTATTGTAGGTATTGAGCATGTTGGAGGAGATATGTTTGTAAGTGTCCCCAAAGGTGATGCCATTTTCATGAAGGTTAGTAATTTAATGGACCGAAGTCAATACTAACTGTTTGACAAAAGAAGTCAATACTAATTATCAAACAGAACAAGTCAACATTTTAAGTTCAGTGTTCTCATTTTGTTGTAATAGTGGATATGTCATGATTGGAGCGACGAGCATTGTGTGACATTATTGAAGAACTGTTACGAGGCGCTTCCAGAGAATGGAAAAGTGATATTAGCAGAGAGTATACTTCCAGAGACACCAGACTCAAGCCTCTTGACCAAACAAGTGGTCCATGCAGACTGCATTATGATGGCTTTCAATCCTGGAGGCAAAGAACGAACTGAGAAAGAGTTTGAGTCACTAGCCAAAGGATCAGGCTTCAAGGGATTCAAAGTTGTTTGCAATGCCTTTGGTGTCTGCATTATTGAGTTGCTCAAGAAGATCTAAAAAGACAAAACTCGATCTTAATGATGATTTATAAATAAACATGCTCTCATGAGTCATGCCTACGTCTATGTACCTTAATTTCGTACTTGTGTTTTTGTTTGTTTGGAAGAAATTGTGCAAGTGACGAAAACTAAAAAAAATATTATATATTTATTATTTTGAGAAATTAAGGAGATAAATAAACTTTTGTTTCCTCTAAATTTAGAATGATCAGTCACTAACTGAATTATGATCAAAAGATGATCTTACTAGGAGTTACAGTAGTTCTGATTCTCAGAGATCTTACGCTCCGTAGAGTCTGCTGAAGTATTGCAATGCGAAGACATCCACTGTGCACAAGGAGCAGGCTTATCGCAGACGTAACAATAACACTGCATATATCCATGTTTATAACAAGTACCAAATCTAAGTGAGAAAATGACAGTTTCATAGGAGACTTCGAACACTAATTAAGTTAATCCATTTCAGAAGAAAAAAAAAAAAAAAAAAGAGAGAGAAGTAACTAATATGGCAAAGATATGAGTTACCAGATCACAATGGGTTGCATTAGAAGTTGATCCAAATGGGAAATTCAAGCAAAGATGTCTTGGATGTGGATAATCTCTACAAGCTACCTGCTCAACAGATTTCATCATATTTTTTACTAAAAAAATTAATAATAAAAAAAACGTAGAGGTAAGAAACCCTAATTTCAGAACTCAAACCTGGCCTGTCTCGTGGATGATAGCCAGATCTTTCTCTTTCTCAGAATCATGACCGTACAAGGAGAGTTTTTTAACGTCAAAGGAATCAAAAGGATAAAAATCGAGGATGAAGCAGTCCTCTGTTTCCTCGAATCTCGTCATGTCTTGCTTGTTTTTCAGACATAATATGCCTTTGAGAGGAGTTTCTTCTTCTTTCTTCGTCTCCATTTTCTCTCCCGACTCGCAGAATTGAAAGGAGAGTCTGGAAGATCAAACGTTGCTCTTGTTTTGGGGTAATTAGAGAGAAAGCTATAATAATGATGATCAATAAATAGTGGTTTCTGACTTTCTCACTGTTTTTTTTCAAGAAATCGAGATTAGAATCAGAAGGTTTCAGTTGTAATTAGCAAGGCCTTTTTGTTTAATATTAGCTCATAATCGGGCCTAAGGGGATGATTGGTAGGGGCTGTGGTTGCTCTGCACAACCCTAAATCTCTCTACAGCAATACAAAATTACCAATCAAGCTTTCATTCCACCTCTTTCCATTTTTGAAACACAGAACAATTTTTTTTATTTATGGAAGTTTCGTGGCTTTGGAAAGCAATTTTTCTAGAGCACCAAATTAAGTGCTCTTAGAATGTTCTCTCTTCTCTTTTCTTATTAATCTTTCAACATTTATTTTTTAATCTATTATTTTTATATCTTAACTTTTTTATTTTAATGCTATATTTAATGATACAATCTACCAAAAAAAAAATCTTACAGCACTAAAATCTAAAATCACAGCCAAAATTTCTACAGCAAAAAAAATTAAATCTACAGCCACAACCAATCAGGCCCTAATTAGTGGCCCGAAAATTACAATCAGATTCTTGACAAAGTGATTGATTGCTATTATAACCTTTAAACTAGGGTTTGACCCGTGCCCAGCACGGGGTGATAGTTTCTGAATTTGTATTTTTATTAAAAATATTTAAATATTTCGACATTTTATGCGAGAGATTTTTAACCTTTGTTATTCGTTTATAGTATGGAAATTAGGCATTTTAAAAAAAGAAATAAATTAAAGCATTGATCGTAACCACAGATTAAATATGATAGATTTAACCGAGATACATAAAACTCAAATAACTATAATATAATAAGATAGTTTAAAAAAAAAATTGAAAATAAAACATTATTCTTTAGAAAAATTATACATCATGTATTTCATAAGATAAAAAGTTTTAGCTGTGTGGACACGGATTAGAACTAATTTTTTTCTTTCTTTCAAAACTAAAACATGCTTTATTATAATTTCAAAACAATCCAACCAATCAGAAAATAATATGCAGAATCCAAATTGTCAAAACAGCAAAAATATAATTAATTTTGTATAGAAAGTTGAAACAGATAGAGTAATATTCAAAAGTTTAATCAAAATAAAATATTTATAAAAAGAACTTTTTTTATTCGATTTAATTATAGATTTTAATTAAAAAACCATATTAAATGAAAAAAAAATTACCTTTGGATACCTACTAAATGAGGTTATATACGAAACAATTTATATTATTTTGTTTTTAAAAATTCAAATCATAACATGTACAGAAAAAGTTTTAGATTTTTTTGATAGATTTTTTATATTGTGATTCAAATTATTTTATTAAATAAATTTAAACAAAGATGATAGAAGATGTATACTGATTTTAAAAGAAATTATTATGATGGAATTAAATTGAATCTCATATCTTCCTTATTTACTAATTTTCGTAGTTGCCAATTAAGGAAAGAGAATGATAAATTTAATTTCATTATTTGGTTGTAAGCATAATATGCAATGGCATATATTGTAATTTGTCTAGTAAAGCTTGTCTTAATTAGAAATTGCTCTAAGAGTGAACCTAGTGATGACACCTAATGACATTCTTGTTAATAACACATTAGACAAAGGTTATTTAGTTAGTGTTTTCTCTTTTAATATATTAGGGATTTTGCCAAAGTAAAACAAATTAAAGGAGACTTTCTGAAGTTGACCTAAAGACGAAGCAGCACACAGAAATGGACCGATGATGAAGTAATAAAATCGAATTGTATATGGATACTACTACATGGTTGATATAGAGTCAAACACAGTTGTACTTGTACCAATGTATTATTTATTTATAGTTCAATAAATATGTATAATTTGGACTTTCCGATTATACAATTGCTGCCTCGTTATATCTACATCGTTGTTAATTCAATCAAGCATTGTTTAATCGTGTATACATGTGGGCAGACTGTATATCTGTCATCAAAATAAAATAAAGAGAAAAGTGTAGGTAATGTTTGATTTACGGTAATATGATCATCACTATGAAAATATTTTCGTCACTTCGTTTTGAAAAGTCAAAACTTGCAAAGCAGCTTTTGTGCCTTAAGACTCCGCATAAAATACGTAGCCAGCGTTTTTAAGTTTAACTTTTGAAATCGTGTGTTATCTGGTGGGTTTATTAATGGTTGATTCGAAGACAAAACGAAAATAGAATTGGTGACGTTTTTCAGCTACGTACATTATTTATATCTTTCTAAGCTTTGACGCCAATCCGTTTGCATCTATGCATGTATAGTCAATCGGTATTTGGTATATCAAGTAAAAAAAAGCTTTGACTATCTAAATTGTTTTTGTAAATTTGGATTTCATTTCGTTCATAAATCCAACGAACAAATTAAAACGAGCTTTGAGAAAATCATACAGGTAGTTAAGTAAGTTTTCTTCTTAATTCTTTTAATAAAGTAAATAAAAATAAGTACGTTCGTTCGTATACTTATGATGTGCATGAATAATATATATACAGAATCATTAGTTGTATATTTCATGTCGAGCAGCAAGCCAGCAACCCACCAAAAGCTTGGACAAGTGTACAACTCATTGCTATCTAACAAGTATTTTACGTTTTCACTCATTTGTATAACACTATTTTACTTAATTTATTCTCTTATTGATATATGAATGAAGGTTCTGTGATCATGACGTATCACTTAACACACGGTGGTAGGTAGGACTTTGAAAGTTCAGATATTCGATTTTGTGCCTTTTTTCTATTGGTTCTTCTTTTTTTTTCTTCAAACTGGTCTGTCTTTTTTGTTTATTTTGACAGCAGATTCTTGTGTCTTTCGAAATTGCTATAACGGATTCCATTGGATTAAAGTTATATAAACAACATCTTTAATCCAACATTTTTCACAAAATGAACGTAAGCTATCCGTGTGAGTAGCTCATAGACAAAGATTTGTACTAGTGCGATGCTCCTTTTTTAAGTAAATGTTGTACTGTTTACATTTTTTAATTTAAAACACAAATTTCTTTGCTAAATAAACCTATCATTTTCAACGGATAAAAAGCATGTTTAAATATTAGAATCAAACTGTTGATATAAATATTTCACGTTATGTACTTTCTATTATATAAAACACCATTTTTTCGGTAAATAAAACTACCAATTTCAGTTTCAACAGTTTCTGTAATTTTAATCAGAAATAATAAATTCTTGTACGTGGTACGTGGATGGGACTTGTGGTCCTAGAAAAAGTTTAAAACTAGCCAATTTCCATTCAGTAGTGTTCAAGATGCGTTCACAACATCTTTCAGAGGAGTAGGTGAGATGCTTCTCTCTTTTTTTTTCTCTCTCTTTTTTTTTTTTTTTAAATACGAAATTGTATCCTATCATAAAGTCACAAGTGTCTCGTTTGAACAGAATCCATTTTTTTGTATATAAAAAATTATAAGAAGATCAAATTATTTGTGATTGATATTTGATTTTCTGGTGGTTGTGGTCGTGGTTGGTGAGAGAGATAACCAACTATGGCTTGTAACGTACTTCTTTTAGTTTTTTTTAACATCAAAGTATTCTCTTAGTTACAAAAACAAAATTACATACAATTCTTTTTTTTATATAAAAGGTTTTCTAATTACATACAAAATTAATGACAAGATTAGAGATTTTCTCAAAGATTCTAAACATGTCATTTTGTTACATTCAAATCCACGAAATTTAGACTTGTAGTTATGTTATGGATTGAGTATCGAAGATATAGACTTTGAATCGAGTAACAAAAGTGATGACTACGATGTTAATCTAACTTATCTACTAAAGTACTGCGTACATTAGTTTGCCCTTAGTTTACAGATGGAAACAAGAATTTTATGCCCAACTGTTTTCTTTTTCATAATTAAAATTATACTTTTATTAAAAAAATCAAATTAAAGCATTATAAGGTGAAACTTTTCAATCGTTTCTTTTTCTGACGTGGATGACATTCTTTGAAACCAAATGTCATTAGCGCTGAAATAATGAAACAAATGTGGCGTGTCGGTCCCACTCACCATACTATTTGTCCCGCTTACATTGCATAGTAAATGAATAGTCCTCACAAGTCGCATCTATTTCCTTTACTGGATCTCTTTATTTATTCACATAAAAAGTAGTATAATCTAAAAAATAAGTTGACAGAAAAAAGAGTGTCTAAAAATAATCTAGAAAACTATCGTACAAATTATGCTAGAAAACATTATGTAGACTTATGACACACTTGGACAAATTTCAGCCAGTTTATTTTCTTAAAACTATTAATGTCAGAATACTTGGATTTATAAAAAAAACTAGCGTACTGACGCAAACTCAAACAAAGTTATGGTTAATTTAGATATATAATCGGCAAATGTAGTACTACATGGTGTGAAGTACTAACTAGTTACGTCTAGCCAAAAATGGCATACTTTATTTTGTTACCGAATTTAATAGCTTTGTAGCAAGTTTAACATATGACTTATATATTTTGTTAAAGAAGTCGATATTGTCCGGCGTAATGATGAATCATTGTTTGTTAATGTTGAATGGATATTATGGATGAAATATGAATATACAATAAACACTACTTGAGTATTAATTTGTTTTTTTTAGAACGGGACATAATAAATTAATAATTAGTTTGGATGTATTTAATATTTATTCAGGAATATTTAATTCTCTTGGCCCAATTCTTTTATTAATATGAAAAATACTATTTTTATATGAGTCGATTTTCAATTGGACCAAACACTAAAAGCCAGATCAGATTTTAGAGTTAAAATATGTCAATCGGCTACCTTCTTTTATATATTTTTCATATAAATAAACCTCTTAACGTCCTACTTCTCACCCATCACACAACCCTCTCAAAACAGAGAAATCCAAAAAAACAAAACTAGAGCAATCTGAAAATGGGATCAACGGGGGAGACACAGATAACTCCGGTGCAAGTCACCGACAACGAAGCTGCTCTGTTCGCCATGCAACTAGCCAGCGCCTCCGTTCTTCCTATGGCTTTGAAAACCGCTTTAGAGCTCGATCTTCTTGAGATTATGGCCAAGAACTCTTCTCAAATGTCTCCCACTGAGATCGCTTCTCATCTTCCGACAAAAAACCCCGAAGCTCCGGTCATGCTCGACCGTATCCTCCGTCTCCTTACGTCCTACTCCATCCTCACCTGCTCCAACCGTACACTTCCAGGCGGCAACGGCGTCGAACGGATTTACGGGCTTGGTCCGGTTTGCAAGTACTTGACCAAGAACGAAGATGGAGTTTCGATTGCTGCTCTATGTCTCATGAACCAAGACAAGGTTCTCATGGAAAGCTGGTAAGTTTTTTTTCCATATCACTTACAAAATTATCATATAACTTCTTGTTTTCGTTAGATCTTGCTAAATAAAGTTAGCAAATTCTTATTTTTGTTACCTTTATAATATTTGTTTCATAATCTCTATGCTTCTTGATTAATATTGTAATAATGCAAAGGTATACACAAGAGAGATATAGCCACAGACTGTCAAAAGACAATCGGATAACGATGTCTTTTTGACACGTATAATATACCTTCTCTCCACTAGAAAACTATATAGTATACGATTTTTTTAGTGGTTAAACGTGCCTTCTAGACGTTTTCTTTGTTTGTTTGCGTACCGAGTGCTCTTGATTAAAAGTTTAAAATAAGTGTTTGATGAGAATTTTGAATAAAACAAAAATAAACGTGTGTTGGTCCCAACTCCCAATCAAGTATATCTGCAAAAAATAGACTTAAGTTAAAGCATTAGGTAAAAAAATTGAATGCATAGTGTGTGTTTTTCATTTATTGAAACTCATGTCACGGAGACTTTTTTTTGTAGGTACCACTTGAAAGATGCGATTCTTGATGGTGGCATTCCATTCAACAAAGCTTATGGAATGAGCGCGTTCGAGTACCACGGGACAGACCTTAGATTCAACACGGTCTTCAACAAAGGAATGTCTAACCATTCAACCATCACCATGAAGAAAATTCTCGAGACCTACAAAGGTTTCGAGGCCTTGACCTCTTTGGTTGATGTTGGTGGTGGCACTGGTGCTACTCTTAAAATGATCCTCTCTAAGTACCCGAACCTTAAAGGCATCAACTTTGATCTCCCTCACGTCATCGACGAAGCTACTCCTCATCCCGGTACATTACATTTTCCTATCATTTTCTTGGATCATTTAAATTTTATTTATTTATTTTGAGATTGGCTAATTGTTAAATAATGTAGGCCTTGAGCATGTTGGAGGAGATATGTTTGTTAGTGTCCCCAAAGCTGATGCCATTTTCATGAAGGTTAGTAGTAATTTTCAAAGCTCCTACATACGAAAAAAAATCAAGAATTGAATCTAATAACATTTTTTCGTTTTGATTTTTCTCAGTGGATATGTCACGATTGGAGCGACGAACACTGTGTGAAGTTCTTGAAGAACTGCTACGAGTCGCTTCCAGAGGATGGGAAAGTGATATTGGCAGAGTGTATGCTTCCAGAGACACCAGACACAAGCCTCTCGACCAAACAAGTGGTCCATGTGGATTGCATCATGTTGGCTCACAATCCTGGAGGCAAAGAACGTACTGAGAAAGAGTTTGAGGCATTAGCTAAAGCATCAGGCTTCAAAGGCATCAAAGTTGTCTGCGACGCCTTTGGTGTTCACATTATTGAGTTGCTCAAGAAGCTCTAAACAAATAACAAAAATCATTTTAAATAATGTTTTCTTATAGTATTTGTCTTTGAGTCTACACCTTCCATGTTTGTTATAAAATTTTAAACTATTCTGTTTAATAATAATGATTTCGTTAAGAGTTTAATAGTTTGCTTCGATCTGTTATTTATTTTATGGTATTTGTGTGGAACAAAATTATGTAAGTAAATAAAAAAATAATTACTAGATATTTGTTGAAATCAGTCAGAAATCTTATCATGATACAATCAATCACATTCACTGAAAATCCACGTGGACTATGTTAGCTCACCGACCATTCTAGTTTCAATGAATCTTCATCAAATTCAAAACTTGTCAAACTTCTTCTCTTACTCTTTTCTAGACTCTTCTAGCTTTCCTTCTCGTTTCCGACTATAAATAGTTACCGGTCATCTTCTTCTTCTTGTCAAGAAACATAAATTCCAAAACTTCAGAAAAGCTAGAAGAAACTCGATCATAATAACAGCAAATAGAATTTGAAGATGATGTCCATTTTTAGCCCCTTTGATGCTCTTTTCTCCGAATCCAACGGCTTCAAGATGAAACAGAGCAGCCCGAAACAAAGCTCCAGTGCTAACCAGTCGCCGGCGACGGAGCAGCTGAAGACCGGCCAGAAAACTCCGTTCTCATCAGACGACGATGGAAAGAGCAATAAAATGAAGAAGATGATCCAACCGATGAGGATAGCTCCAGAGCTCGATGGTGTTCATTGCTTCGAAACAATTCTTCCTTTTTGATGATCATATCACAATAACCAAAAAAGATCATCACTTTTTCAATTTTATTCATCACTTGTAAACAAAAGTGAGAAATTTTATGAAATACACCTCTCAATGCAATTTTCAAAACTACATCTATAGTGTGGAAATTTTCAAAAATACACTTTTTCCCAATTTTAATATATATGTTTGGGTTCACTAATTTTATATTAGGGTTTAGATTTTGGGATTTAGGGTTTAGATTTAAGGGTTCAATGTTAGATTTTAGGGTTTTGAATTTATATTTTAGGGTTTAGAGTTTTTTTACTAAATGAAAAAAGTGTAGTTTTGAAAATTGGCACCATAGAAGTGTATTTTTGAAAATTTGCACTTCAAGAGGTGTAGTTTTGAAATTTCCTCAACAAAAGTTGCTTCTTTTGTGTATAAAGAACTAGTAGAGTACCCGCACGTTTGTGCGGTGTGACGTTGTTGTTTTGTGTAGAAAATTTAAACCCTAAATCCGAACCCGACAAAAAACCCTAATCAAAAAATTTAAAAACCCAAACTTTTTTAATAGGTCTAAACATGAAAATCCGAAATCAAAAAAATCCCGAAAACCCTGACTGAACAAAAAAATCTGGAAACTTTTTCACCCGGAACCCGACCCCAATACCTAATCAAAATTTTAAAATACTCAATTTTTTTAATATATCTAAACCCGAAAACCAGAAATCTAAAAAATCCGGAAAACCCTAAACTGAAAAAAAAATTGAACCTAACCCGAACAGAAATTTTCAAAGAAACCCGAACAATTTCTATATCTCTATATATATCTCTATAAAATTATGTCTCAGATTTTCACCCAAACCCGAACTTGTCTATAAAAACCCGAAAATCCAAAAAGCATATTCTATTGATTTGGAATTATCGTTAGATTATGTTAAGTTTTTTTTTTGCAGATTTTTAAGAGATGGAAAACGGAAGTTTTCTAAACCATCGGTTTATTTTAAGTTATTATTCTTGTATCCAAACAATTTTTTCCATTTATTCTTCTATCCAAATAGATTTTTCTCTTATTCTTATATCCAAACAACTTTTGTTTCCATTTATTCTTCTATCCAAATAGATGTTTCTCTAATTCTTGTATCCAAACATTAGAATGTACTTCTCAATTAATAATATAAAGATTGTATTTAAATCTGAAAAATCTTCAAAAAACCCAAAGAATCCAGAAAAAACTCGAACTAAACCCGTAAAAAAACTTAACCGAAGCTAAACCAAAATATAAAAAGACTACAGTTTCTATATCTATAAATTTGAAAAACCAAAGCCCAAAGACCCGATCCAAATCCGACATGAAATGTGACCAGTGTTGTTATTTTTTATAGTTTATTGTGACATATATAAAAAATTACAAATAAAAAAGGGAAACAAAGACACGTGTTCTCCTTTTCTCCATCTTAGAGACATCATCACTTTCCTTCCCCTTTCTCCACCGAAAAACCTGTACTTTGCTTTCTTTCTCTAATTGAGTTTATGCATATACTTTGATCCCATCTTCTCCATTGACCCATCTCTACATATACTTTGATCCTTTGAACAACAGAACAATCTTGCCTTCCTTCAATTGTATCGTCTTCTTCTCTGATATGGCTAAGGAACTTACGTCCAAGGCACATGAGGCTTTCGTAGACGACGACTTGGAAATTGATGTGGACTTGTATTCCAAAGTCATTGAATTGGATCCTAATTGCGCCGATTTCTTCGCCGATCGTGTTCAAGCTAACATCAAACTCCTAAACTTCACTGGTAACTTCTTCCCTTTATTATAAAAAAACGGTACTTTGTTGAAGAAGAACATAAATCTTCGTCATTGAGCTTCTGGGTTGTCATGTCCTGGGTTCTTGTTCGAAACCCATATTAAGGTTCAATGGGGTCTCCTTTTCGAAAATGTTGGTTTCTCAATTTCGCTCTTACTCTCACCTCTCTTTCTTCTGCAAAATTGCTTTCGTTTTCTTCCTTGGTGAATTCCTTTTATTGTAGATGTTGAGAATTATCTCTACCAAAATCCCACTAAGCAATCGATTTTCTATTTTCCTTGTCAGAGGAAGCCCTTTTAACACCTGCTCTGTCTCCGGTAACTCCCCAATCAAAATCTCTCCGTCCCGGTAACCCCCATCAAAATCTCAACAATCCGGTAACAGCTCACCTACCAACTACACTGCGAAACTCAACAAAAACCAGACAGGGCTGCATCTTCGCCAATTAATCTAGTTAACGACGGCGGTTCTTCGATTAATTGTGGTGGCAGATTTTTGGGTATAATCTGGATCGCCGTGTTACTGGATTCAAATTCTCGACTGATTGCTGTTATCCGATTTCCAGCGACACTGATTTCACAAAACCAATAGCTTTGGAATATTAATTGGAAAAAGAGGCTATGGAGATTTCCTGCTCGCTCATCCTTTTCATCTCAAGCTTTTAGCAAGCGATGATTGTTCCATCACCGTTCTAGATCAATTTAGGCATAGAAGCCTCAGACGGTCATCACAAATTATATAGTAGTAGGTAGATAGGGTTTATATCGATGATATTTCTTGATTATCAAGGTTTTTTTGATTTGGTATTATCATAAATTATGTTAATTTTTCTTTTTGGTAGATTTTCTTAGAATTGAAAAAGGGAAAGTTTTCTGATAATGTCATTATCGCCGATAGGTTTCTATTTCTCAATCTTTGGTTTAGTAAAATTCAGTTTTTGGTTTAATAGAATCAAATTGGTAAACAAAAAAGCAACAAACACGGTTTGATTTAAGTGATAAAGATCCGCGTCCTTTACCAAATCTATTTGGGTGGGTTATTCTCGATTTAAAGCTATTCGGGTGGGCTATTCGCGAGTTACCGAGTCAACTCAGCCGAGTTAGCTTTTTTTTGCCACTTTTAACCCCTGTTATCCTTGTATACAAACAGTTTTCCTTCATAAAAGCTAAGGGTTTTTTGTCTTTTTTTTTAAATGTATTTCTCGATTAATAGTAAAGAAATTAAAGATTAATACTTTTGCAATTTATTTATCACTTGTAAACAAAAGTTGCTTCTTTTGTATATAAAGATTTATCAAAACAGCTTTATTCCACAATTTCTACAAACTAATCTTGGAATTATTCTCAATCTAAACTAAATCCCATTTGAAGACTCTATGAAGAAGTAGTTTGACTCTGAGTCGTTGTTGTTGTAGTACTTGTTGTTGTTGTTCCTTGGAGCTGACGTTTCTTTCCACCATTACAAAACCTTTTCCCAAACGCTAACACAAACGCAGGAGGAGCAAGAGCCACTCCGCTCAAACTGCAAACAACCGCAATAGCTCCACCAAGAATCAACAGTTTCTTCAAGTTCGCAGCTCGGTTTCCTCCGTTCGATGTAACAACAGTCTCATTCACAGGCGTTGCGCCGTTGCTTAGCGAGATGAGATGTTCTGATGTGACTTTGGTGTTGATTTGAGCTGGCCGAGAAAGCTTGGTTCTTTCTCCGGAGAGTCGTAGCTCTTGGTAAGCGCGTAGACCTGGCTCCATCTTCTTCACCGCTCCCCACATTCCTCGTTTCACTCCGAGCTTTGCGATCTCTCTTGGTATCCCCATGTCTTCGTGGTGGAACAGAAGAACCTCGCAGGCGCTTGTTACTCCATCGTCTCTTCTTGATTCCACTGCATAAGAGAAAAGATCAATGCTTTTTTAAACACAAATGTACTCAAATGATCACAAAGTGGTGAAATGTTGATTATTATTACCTGGTCGAATGCACCAGCTTGAGTAGAACAATTCCACACGTTTTTGTTTGTTGTTACGCGGTATTGAAGGCACTGAGACTCCCTGAAGCAAGAACCATAGAGAAGATCTTAGATTAGCACACAAAAATTGAAACTTTTCTTAACTACACTATTCACAACGCTTATCACAGTCTGCTTCTTCTCTGTTAAACCAATTCAGAGTTTAGTTATTGCTAAAATGGCAATTCAGTTGCTTCTTTACTCTTCTATCAGTGCAAATGGTTCCATTTTGTTACAAGTACACATACCTTTGTAACACAGTAATAGGATTTGCCACAGTTCCATATCCTGCGACCGATCACATACTCTCTATCACTGCAGAAGAAAGGGAACTGCGAATAACATAAAAGGAGAACGTCAACAAACGAAATCACATTGAGAAACAACCCATGAGAGAAGAGTGATCAAAGACTAACCTTGCGTATCCATCTAACAATCATGGTTCCAGTAGAAGGACACTCTTCAACAGTAGTGGAACTAGAGAGCATTGTGTCCCAAGTTGGTCTAAACTCATCATCCCAGAAAAAGTCTCTTAAAACCTCAGGAGTTGCATCTTCAAACACCGTTCTGCTTCTATACTCTGTAGGACCATTCTAAAACAACAACAAAAAGAATGAGAAACCACATCAAGATTCAACACCAAGAAGAGAAGCAAATCTCTCATTCAAAAACCAAGAACAAGAACTCACCTTTGGTTCTCTTAACCAAGCTTGATATCTCATACCAGAAGTGAAACGATCCATAACCTGAATCCAAGCATGACCACCATCTTTCCTCTCAACCAATTGCACAAGCTGCCTCAAATCTAATTCCGTTACAGTGTTAGGCAATCTCTCCTCTGTTTTCTTCCCTCTACAAAGAGCAAACAAACAAAATTTAACAAAAAGAAAACTCCTTTTTCGTTTATAGAAGTAAACCAACTCTCAAAAATGTAAGCTTTACCCAGGAATTGCATCTACATGTTCAGAGGAATCACAAGATGAAGATGAAGAAACAGGAGAAATTGTCTTCTGCTGTCTTAAAGCCATAGTCCATGTCTCACAAACAAGAGCCTTTAAGCAAGGAGCTGAGCCAAAACCCTTCATTGGAGAAGAAACAGAGCGAGGAGAAGGAGATGATGATGATGGTAAAGAGACATCGAAAGATCTCGGAGCAGAGCATTGCAATTTGACTTTGTGGTTGTTATAAGAAGATGAAGAAGAAGAAGCCCATCTCGGTCTCCATGCCCATCCTATCACCAATCCAACGACGAAAGCTAACCATCCGGCGATTAGCCCTAAGAGTAAGCTCACGAACAAAGCCATAGCCTTTTGGGAAGAAGAAGAAGAACAAGTGAAGGGGTATGGTTTAAAAAGGATCGATTTTTATTTGGATAAATATAAAAAAAAAAATCAACAGGCGGTGAGAGGAAGACGACAGAGGAAGATTTAAGAAAGGGATACGAGTGGTGAGAGGAAGAGGAATAAACTTATGGTAAAGGGTAAAGGGTGTTATCGTGGACGTTAATTTTTATACAAATTGGGATGGATATTCACAAAAGCTTTAAACAGCCATTGATGGAGCTTGAAAGGGCAATGGCTTTTTAGAGGAGGAGATCAACAAAAATGGTGGACGGAGAGTGTGAAACGACGACCACCGTCCATTTCGGACTATTTCTAAATTTTTAGTGTTGGTTTAGATACAAGAGTTCAAAATCATCTAGGTTTATTTTCCTTTAAGAAATTTTATGAAATACATCTCTTGGGGTACAAATTTTCAAAACTACACCTATAGTATGAAAATTTTCAAAAATACACCTTTTTCTAATTTTAATATATATGTTTGGGTTCACTAATCCTAGATTAGGATTTAGATTTTGGGTTTTAGGGTTTAGATTTAAGGGTTTTGGATTTATATTTTAGGGTTTAGAGTTCTTTTACTCCATGAAAAAAGTGTAGTTTTGAAAATAAACACCATAGAGGTGTATTTTTAAAAATTTGCACCTCAAGAGGTGTAGTTTTGAAATTTCCCCCCCTTTCGTCAATTATTTTTTTTGGGTTTATTTTGAACTAGATTAAGACCCGCGTATACGCGGGTTTATTTTAAGATTTTGTAATAAAATCATGGAAAATATTAAACCAAATTTGATCATTTTAAAGTAAACAGAATAATATTAAAAACCCGATAAAAATATTTAAATAAAATAAGATCGGTAACCTTTTTACGTTTTTATTGTAATTGATATTTTTTTTGAATTCATGATATAAAAAATGAATTAATTTTTTTATTTTTATTTTTATCCAATATAGAAAGACTTATATATGTAAATATTTATTTAATAATTTTTTACCTAACAATATTGAAAATATATTAAACTATTTAAAATTAGAATATCGGTTCATTATATTTTCTTAATATTAGTTAGTTGCTTGATAATTAATTTGTTAGTTTTCTATTTATATTGTTTCTTTCTCAATTTTGTTTTTGACTCAGACCATTATAAATTTTCATTTTCATTATTAGTTAGTTTTTTTATTATCATTATTTTATTACACATATCGCAATTTTGTGAGTTATAAAAATCATACGTATTGCTATCATGTTGTTTGCTTTGATGAGTTTGTGAATGAGAAAAAAAAACTACTTTAACTCTCTTTTTATAGGGGTTCATGTAACTTATTCCATGCAGTTATAGGAAATTTAGTTTACCTAACCTATTTCATGTACTAATAGGATTTTATTTATTTCATTAATTTGAATCTTATATGTGTTTGGATAATATAAATTTGATGAATGAGAAACCTTTTTCTATTAGGATATGACAAATATAATTTTTTTTTCTTTTAACTATAAAAGATTAACTAAACCTAACCTATTTCATGTACTAATAGGATTTTATTTATTTCATTAATTTGAATCTTATATGTGTTTGGATAATATAAATTTGATGAATGAGAAACCTTTTTCTATTAGGATATGACAAATATATATTTTTTTAACTATAAAAGATTAAAATTTCGTTTTTTTTTCCTTTATCTAATTTTTTTAATTATTATTTTTTTTTTTTTTTCTAAGACACATGTCACGATCTTAACGGACATAACATTAAAAGTGACACATGTCGCAAATCCTAAATTTTATAAAAATCCTACGTGTCGCAACCACGTCACGCGCATCCAGAAGATGTCACGTTTTGTTAATGTGTGTGAAACCAAAAGTTCATAATATACAAGTTTTGACTTATTCTTGAAATACTTTGACTATGGAATATTGTTCACTGGCATTAATTAATTTAATTTAAAGCTTGTTGTTAACGAATTACGATTTATCCTTAATTAAGAGCATCTCCAACCCCATACAAAATACAAAATATGAATATCTATACTATTGAAAGGGACTGTTTGGGGCCTCAGAGGCTATCACCTCAGTTCTTTTAGAGAGCTTCTCCCCTTGCCATGTCATCTGACTAAAAATTGTTCTATTAATTTGCCACATCAGCAATACTCGCTCCCGCTTCCTTGTGACTATGAATCGATCCATCTTCTCCGTATAATCCTTAGAATTCCCTCATCACAGCCTTAAATAACATGCCCTTCGTCCTCCCTCAATTCATCTCCACCAGAACCTAAAACCCTCTTTCTTTCTACTCTCTCTCCTGAAATCTCTGATTAGATTTTTTTGATAGATCTCTGATTAGATTGAAATCTCTGACTACTCTCTCATGCTCTGCTGATCCAGGTTACGCTTCGTTGCTGTATTAGCGTCCCCATGACTCTTAATTCAAGGTAAGGTACATCTTATTGATTCTAAAAAGTTGATTATTGATTCTAAAAAGTTGAGTTCCTATAGGTTTTCTGATCATCATCGGATTGAGAAGGAGCCAGAGAATCCTGGGTTTGAAGCTGTTCCTCGAAGGAAGCAGAGTTGAAGCAAGTGTCAATAGGATGGCCAACTTGGTTTGTGTATTTTGCTGGTGAGGCAGTAGTGCATTGGGCTCTTTGCCGACCAAATACCTTTGAGATACTTGAAAAAGTAAGTTTCTTTTGTTAGATTGGTAAGGATTATTCTCTGAATTAGGTTAACAAAAGTTGTTATATTCGTGGATGCAGATTGGTCAAGGAACATAAAGCAGTGTTTATAGAGTTCTTGATCTTTTTATACGCAAATGATACGGACTCCGGATCCACAAGTCCGTATATTATAGACACCAATCTCTGACTTGCTATATCCATGGATGCGTATTTGATTAGATAAGTAATGAACTGCACTTGGAGTTATATGATGTGGCTTGATATAGCAGTTGTGTTCCTTTTTTTCCCTCCTCATTTGTCTTATCTTCGACTTCATCACTCCGTAAAATGGATACCTTTTCAATTGTGATCCTTATCTTTTCTCTTCCAAATCAAACTCTTCCACTATCTCCATCATTCACTTCTTTGATAGTTTACAAAGTTTACCTATGGCTTAAAGTATTCATTACAAGATCTTTTGTTATCATCTCACAACTCATTCTATATATAATAGATGAAACTTTACAATCTCACACCGCTAATCCAGTTTCTGGAAAATGCACTGATCTTATTGTATTTAAAATTTTGTTTTTTGGTCAGTTGTTCAAGCTGGGGCCGCTTCAGTTCGTCTGTGTATCTGATAGTTCGAATTCCGCAAAGGAGGTAAAGCAAAACCTCTCATTTTGTTCATTAGTTTCCTTTCTTTGTGAGTGTTGATGAGATTAATTTTCAATAGTTGGTTTTGTCACTACCCTGTATCTGATACATTTTCTGATTCTTTAACCAGAAATCATTCTCTCGAGGAGTCGTAATAAAATTTACAGATGAGAAGGAAAGCAATGATTTTTGTGATTCATTTGGGGAATGGACATAGGATGCTGTTAAACAAGGTGACTCTTAGGATCATCCTTGCTAAACGGATCTGTTTCAGATAACAAAGGCAAGTTCGACAACAAGATAGAGGCTGCTTCAGCCAAAATGTATTTCCATTATTATGGACAACTTCTGCATCAGCAAAATATGCTACAGGATTATGTGAGAACAGGTAAGATGTTTGGCGTTTGTGTTTACCTCATTTTTATTTCATTCCTTTTTGGTTGGTTTGGGAGGATGTGCATCCATCAGAAGAGGAATATCTTTAGTTTTTTTTCAAATGGCTATTTGACTGAAGATAGCTCTTTTTATGTCATATTATTGTCTTCAGGTACATATCATGCTGCAGTCACGGAAAATCGTTCAGATTTTGCTGGTCGTATTGTGGTCGATGTGGGTGCTGGAAGTGGCATTTTGTCAATTTTGCTGCACTGGTATGCAAATATTTAAGAAACTTTGGGCCAAAAGGTCTTACAGCTACTCTACATCTGCATTTTGCTAATGTTTTTCTAATAGACATCCATTATTTTCCTCCTAATATAGGCTGGTGCCAAGCATGTGTATGCTGTGGAAGCGTCAGAAATGGCTAGATATGCCCGTAAGTTGATTGCTGGAAACCCATTGCTAGCTGAACGGATCACAGTAAGATCTTCAGTCCAGTTTTGTTGGTTCATTTTTACATATATATACATCTTTCTGATTTCTTCAAGTTGGCACAAGTGTATGTGGTCATCAAAGGGAAAACTGAGGATGTTGAGTTGCCTGAGAAGGCCGATGTTTTGATCTCTGAACCAATGGGTATGTGTTTCAGAGACGGATTCTTTTCACGTACTCTTCATGAAAATCAGAATCTTTCAGAAGGCAAACTTTGGTCTGTGAGAACTTAAGTGGAGAAACATCATTACTGATTCAAAACTGTAGTGATTCGTTTGAACGTAAATCTTATACTTAAAAATATATGTGCCTGTAGGCACCCTATTGGTCAATCAGAGGATGCTGGAAACATATGTTATTGCTTGTTGGGGACCGTTTTCTGTCTCCGAACGGAAAAATGTTTCCCGCAGTCGGAAGGTAAAGTTCATCTCTGATAGTTTTACTTTCGTATTTCATAAATGTCTTCTTTGTCATGTAATTTAATCACTGTACGATCCACATGGCACCTTACTCCGATGAATTCTTATTTGTAAAATGGCAAATAAGGTACTTGATGCACATCTTATAAGGAAGATATGTCTGAGATTGCTTACAACATAAAAAGAAATGGCTGGCTTAAGTATAGCTTTCAGTAATTTGTCTTTCCACCTCTACGCAAGCTTTCTTTGGCAGCAACAGAACTATTATGGAGTTGATTTGACACCTCTATATGGATCAGCACACCAGGGTTATTTTTCCCAGGTATATACATTTACAACCAGTGAATAGCTGATTAGTTTGTTTGTTTT